CAGAGAAATACGGTCTTTTTTTTTTCCTCAAAGAGGCTCTTTCCCTTCAAGGTGAGTTTTCTCTGCTTCTTGATTTGTTTGGTTTCAGGGGGCCACACCCAGTGGCCCGAGGGGGTCAGGAAAAAACAGCAGATAAGGCATTTAGAGCTAGGAGCAAGCCCTGAGCACCACCAGGTGTGATCTCTGAGCACAGAGCCAGGAGTAATCTCTGAGCACCACCAGGTGTGACCCCTGAGCACGGAGCCCGGAGTAAGCTCTGAGCACTGCCAGGTGTGATTCCTGAGCACAGAGCCAGGAGTAAGCCCTTAGCACCACCAAGAATAAGACCTGAGCACAGAGCCAGGAGTAATCTCTGAGCACCACCAGGTGTGACCCCTGAGCACAGAGCCCGGAGTAAGCTCTGAGCACTGCCAGGAGTGATTCCTGAGCACAGAGCCAGGAGTAAGCCCTTAGCACCACCAAGAGTAAGACCTGAGCACAGAGCCAGGAGTAAGCCCTGAGCACCACCAGGTGTGACCCCTGAGCACAGAGCCAGGAGTAAGCTCTGAGCATGGCTGGGTGTGGCCCCAAAGCAAAACCAAAAAAAGGCTGAGAAAAAAATTTGATCTTTTCCCTTTTCGATTTCTGGGTCCCTCCTGGAGGGGCTGAGGGATGGAAGCCACGCCGCCAGCACACTGAGTTCCCCTTGGCGGGAGGCCGGGAGTCCATGAAGGCCCTGATCTAGGCTTGACCTTGGCGAAACGGGGCTGCGTGTTCGCGCTAACTTCCCTTTCCTGTGTCAACTCCAGACCTCCGATTCAGGCGATCGTTTCCAGAAGAAAATCCAAACGCCTGGTGATTCCTGGGCGGCACCAGACTCCAAGGGGGGGAAAGAGGCTGGAGATGGAGCCGGTTTTCCAGGACACATGGGCTATTAGCAGCTTCTCAGAAGGGGATCCAGGCCCTCGCCCGCGAGTGGACACAGACCACACGGCAAGTGCTGAAGCACAAGTGGGCCCTTCCGTCCCTCTCGTGGGGGACACCTAAATGGCTGGTTTTTCAAGATAAAGTTTTGGAGATTTTTCCAATAAAGACTACTCTGATATTTCACTGAGTTCACATGATCCCGCAAAGAGAGAACCTGGAACGAGGGAGATGTTTTTGTCTTTAAGAGATGTTGGAAGCGGGGCTGGAGCGATAGCACAGCAGGCAGGGCGTTTCCCTTGCACACGGCCGACCCGGGTTCGATTCCCAGCATCCCATATGGTCCCCCATGCACCACCAGGAGTAATTTCTGAATGCAAGAGCCGGGAGTAACCCCTGTGCATTGCTGGGTGTGACCCAAAAAGCAAAAATAAATAAATAAACTTCAAAAATTAAAAAAAAAAAGAGAGATGTTGGAAGGGCCCGGAGTGATAGGACAGCAGGCAAGGTGCTCGCCTTGCGTGTGGTCAACCAGGGTTCAAATCCTGGCATCCCATAGGGTCCCCCAAGCCCACCAGGGGTCATCCCTGAGCACAGAGTCAGGAGTCCTGAGAATCACAGAGTGTGGCCCCCAAACAAAAACAAGAACAACAAAAAAGATGTGTGGATGAAAGAGATTGTGATTTTTTATTTCACAGTCACAATCACAATCTTGTGATTTTTTTTCTCCCATACTGGCCCGGGTTTGGGAACTGGTGCTAAATGGTCCAGCCCGAGTACGATGGGTTCCTCCGTCATTGACGTGAAATCGAAATTGTGGCTCGAGCTGGCCTTTGTGATTTTGAACTAAAAACACCTTGTGACGCCAAGCTGAAGGAATGTTGTCACCAGACACCTCGGCTCTGAGCTCTAGAGCGTTCTGAGTACATCAAAGGACTCTTTGGGGGTGGACTTGGGTGGGCCAGCTGAGGTTTGGGGTGGGGGATGTGATTCTGACTCTGATTTTATATGTGAGATGGAATCAAACACAAAATGAGGTGTGGGAGAAGAGGCGTATTCATATGGTAATAATCAGTGTGGGATCACTGTTCACACACATGTATGCTACACACATGCACATGCTTATACATATAAACCTTATTTTTTTCCCTTTTTCTTTTGTTTTGGGGGGAAGCCACATCTGGCAATGCTCAGGGGTCACTCCTGGCTCTGCACTCAGGAATTACTCATGGCGGTGCTCAGGGGACTCTATGGGATGCTGGGAATCGAACCCGGGTGGGCTGTGTGCAAGGCAAATGCCCTCCCTGCTGTGCTATCGCTCAGGCCCCACATGGCGACCATTCATTTGCAGAATTGCCAGTGGTTCCCAAGGCAGGTATGCCTGTACTTCAAATAGGAGGGCTGGGAAAGGGGCAGTGACCAAATTACCGGGGGGGGGGGGGGGGTTGCCATCTCTTGCATCACTGCTGAATTGAGGAGACAGCTGGGAGCAATAGAGGCACCAGCCTCCAGCCAGAGCCCTTGGAGTCACTCATTGACTCAGGTGTTGGGACACAGGCCTTGTTTGAACAAGGGCCTGAATTTGGTCCCTGGCATGCATGACCCCTGAGGACCACAGGTATGGCTTTGAAGTCCCGAGCCCTGGGGCCCCGCAGCACTGCTGGGCCGAGCACTGAGACATCAGCCTGCCTGAGCATCATGGGCCTGAGCCTGAACTGCTTGGGAGACGGTGCCAGAAATCGGCGTCCCCGGGCTGTCCCAGGGGGAGTCCATTCTTTTAGGACATGTCCAGACCAGCTTAATCCTTGGGGCCACTCTGTGCCCCTAAGGGATTCTACCACGCCTTGGTCTGGGGTCTCCACGGGGGAAAAATCTCCCCAAACCTGCTCTTCCATGCCTATTCTACTGTTTCTGGCCACCTCCAGCAGTGCTCAGGAGTCGCTCCTGGTGGGCTCAGGGGCCCCTATGGGGTGCTGGGGATAGAACCCGGGCCAGCCGTGTGCAAGGCAAGCGCCCTGCCCACTGTTCTATCACTCCGCCCGCCAAGCCTAGTTTAGCTCAAAGTGACCCAAGTCACTTGGGTTTTCCGATGGCTGCTTGAGAGCTGGGGGACCCCCATTGTTTTATGTCGACAGGGGACGCTCTCTAGTCAACGTCACTTATTCTGTTGTGACATTCCTCATGGTGCAGTGGGGAATGGGGGAGGAAGGGGTTGGGTGCAGGACATCAAACCCAGAACCTCTCCATCTTGGGCCCCAGCCCCTGGTCACTGCAACATCAACAACCAAGGAGAGAAGGGAGGGGTAGGTTCTCAGACGTGCCAGCTCAGGCACCCATTTGCTCTGTCCCAGGATGCAGGCCCTCCCAGGTGGGCACACACCCTACCGCTGAGCCCCTCTCCACCCCCAGATGTGCGCTTCTAGACACATGGCAAAGACCACCACCTGCTCAGAGTGAACTAATCTCAGGTGAGGAAGGTTCCTGCTCCAGCCACACCTGGTGGTGTCAGGGCCCGCTTGCAGCGGTGTCCAGGGGGCTTGGGTGTGTTTCTGGGGCTCCCACACCCCAAGCGTGCACTCAGGCCTCTGAGCCATCTCTCGCCCCAGGAGCCACTGTTTTTTTTTCTTTTTGGGTCACACCTGGCAATGCTCAGGGGTTACTCCTGGCTCTGCACTCAGGAACCACTCCTGGTGGTACTCAGGGGATCATATGGGATGCTGGGAATCGAACCCAGGTCGGCCGCGTGCAAGGCAAATGCCCTCCCCGCTGCGCCACTGTTTTAACAGAGGGCTCATTTCACAGGCTGCGCGACTCTGGAAAATGCTACCTTCACTCCACAGATGTGTTAAGTAACTTGTCCACTGCCACAGGGCCAGTAAACCGCCCACCTAGAAATGTTGGGCCCGAATCCTGGGCTCCCATGTGTCACAATCCTTCCAAACAGCTGCCCACTAGCATTCTATTAGCCTTTCTTCACCTCTATTTTTTTTGCGGGGGGAGGGGCTGGGACACACCCAGCGACGCTCAGGGGTTCCTCCTGGCTCTGCGTCTAGGAATTACACCTAATGGGGGCTCTGAGGACCATACGAGATGCTGGGGATCAAACCCAGGGCAGCAAGGCAGACGCCCTCCCCACACTGTTCCATGGCGCTGCACGCGCCCCCCACCCCCCACGCTCTCGAAGGCTCAGACCACGTCAGCCCAGGATCTTAAGCTGTAGCTGGCTGACCCAGCAGAAAATGACAGGGGACAGGGCTGAGGTGACAGAACGCCCTCCAGTGTTCCTGAGAGGCGAATGCTACCTTGGTCCTAGGAGCCTCCGTCCCGGGGGGCTGCTGCTGCTCACGCAGAGCTGAGTCACTGGCTGGGGCTGGGGCGATAGCACAGCAGACACGGCCCGATCCCCTGGCACCCCGTAGGGCCCCCCAACCCTCCTCAGGAGTGATCCCTGAGGCCTGCTCCTACACCAAGGTGTGAGGGGCACCGCCCACCAGATCTTCCATTTTTAGAATAAAACTGTCAAACCAGACAGTGTCTCTGTGAAACGTGGGAAGTGTCTGGGCCCCACTTATCAGGTCCCTGCCAACATCAACTGCAGCCCATCCTTTTGGCTTCTCCTTGCCGTCCACCTCAAACGGTCCCCAGAGCACTGCCAGGGGTCACCCCAGAGCCTGGCCAGGCACAGCCCCAGAGCACAGCTGGGGCTGCCCTACATAACACATTTTCCCCGTCCCCGGGAGTTGGAGACCCTGGGTAAGTGGCTTTAACTTGGCAGCACCCAGCAAGTCCTGAGAACAGCTGCACCCCCTGTGGGGGAGGGCGAGTTACTGCCTGAGAGCTCGGTGCTCCTGACACAGTGAACACCAACACCAGGCTCCACGTCCTCCTGGGCTGCGCAGTCCCCGGGAAGGGAGGTGAGTTTTCTCCTGTGTGATGATGGGTTCTTGCATATTCCTCTCAGCGGATGGGCAGGATGTGCGCAGGGCAGTAAGCAGGGGCACAACTGCCCCCTAGCGGCCAGCGGCTTTTACTGGAACATCCCTGGGGCAGTGCCCTTGAACTCCACATCTCAGGACGCTTGGAAGCATTTTTCCCTTTGTAAGTGACTTTATTAGTATGGTCACAAGTTCGATGTCTACAGCACATTGATAACGGAGCTGAATACCAGTATTTTCAATACAAGTATTTTAAGTATTTTAAACACGGAAGTGTGGTGACCTGGAAACTTGAGTACTCATGCATTTCCCACGCACCTGCACTTGTACTTCCCACGTACCCCAAATGCCACGCTGGCTCTGTGCTTATCCTTGTTGGCTCTCGGGGGTTGTGTGGCTCGGCCAGGCCAGCACCGCTGTGCCTCTCTGCAGCCCCAGGCTGTCCCGGGCCAGGGTGGTGGAATATGGCATTCCACAGGCAGCGTGGAGGGTGGCGGGGGGTGGGGGGACCCATGCTGGGTTTGGCTGTGGGTCCAAGTAGAAATCGAAGTACCTGCACTGACTATTGCTTGCGGGGGGCCCCCAGGCCCCCGGAGGCCAGCGCCAGCCCCGAGGCCGTTGTGGGATCCCCGCATGAGGCCAGCTGGCCATTCTGGACTCGGTTTCCCTCCCTGGGGCTTCGCGGCTAGAACTGAGACGCGCAGTCTTCCACCAGACAGTCAGTGATGTAGCTGCAGTGCAGGTAGGACTCGTAGTACTTCTTCTCGCTGAGGGAGTTCACGGTCCACGCCACGACCTCAATGTTTTTTGCTGACCACTTTTTCAAATAGTCTCTGGAGAGAAAGGGACAACCAATTCGGTGAGATGGCGGCCAGACGGTTCCAGGAATCTCCTAATGGCCACTTGGCCTGACACTGGCTGAGCATCAGCAAGAAAAGCCTCACGCGATCATTCTCCGCGTGAGAATGCCCACCCACCCGGCTCATCCCCGGGGAAGACACTTCAGTGACCCGCTCAGGATGCCCTGTCCTCATCTCCCGAGTCACACCGAACGGGAGCCCGGCTCCATCCCGCCTGCCCCTGTACACGCCTTTCTCTTTGGACTCCAGAATGCCGGTCTCGTTTTTTAGTTCCTTCCAAGGAACAGGCTCCCTCCTGCCACATCCCTAGTGTATTCTGTTTGCTGCTCATCCAGCCCGAAGCCCACCCACTCTGGACAGTTAGTTTAGCTTACTTGCCGGAGATCCTGGACTGCTCTGGTTGGACCAGATCTCTTTCTCTCTCTCTCTCTCTCTCTCTCTCTCTCTCTCTCTCTCTCACACACACACACACACACACACACACACACACACGTTCCCAAGCACTGATCTCAGCTGCAGCCTTCTGCTGATTGTGTTTTGGGCTCCAGAGGCTGATTACAAACCTCACGAAGGCAGACCAGAGCTTTGTTATAGCGACAGCACCTTACTGACTTGAACGTGCCCACGTGGACATGAGACCTGGCAACTCTAACATAACAGGAACACAGGGGCTGGAGCAACAGCACAGTGGGCAGGGCACACGTCTCGCACAGGGCTGACCTGGGTTTGGTCCCCGGCACCCCACAGAGTCCTGAGAGTCGGTGAGCAGTGAGCACCGGGAGCAGAGTGTGGCTCCAAACAAGGGAAGAAAGAAACCCTGTACTTACGGCGACACAAAATCCTTTTGTATGAGAAAAGCTGAAATCCCACACAGGTACCACAGGATATTGTGCATGCTCCAGTCGAGCAATATGTCCATGACCACAAAGAATCCGTGTTTCCACAGGGAGTCGTAGCGCGGTTTGCCCTCGCCCGTGTGGCTTAGGCTCCACGGTCTGTGCGTCAAAGCTGTCACTATATTCCCATCCGCTTGTCTCATCTGCGGGAGAATTCGGCACCACAGTGATGACATCTGGAGGCAAGCCTCTCTCACGTCTCCGATACACTCCTCTCCCCAAGCTCCCTTCTTCAAAGAGGGTCTTAACTGAGCCCATTTCCCAGCTATCTTTTCATTTTTATTTATTTTTTTGGCTTTTGGGGTCACACCTGGCAATGCTCAGGGCTTACTCCTGGAGGTGCTCGGGGGACCCTGTGGGATGCAGGGGATCAAACCTGGGTCAGCCACATGCAAGGCAAACATCCGCCCCGCTGTACTATCGCTCCAACCCCTACCTTTTTAATTTTTTAATGCCGCCTTAGTCATCACTATTATCCTGACAAAGGGGCAAGATTTTGAACGCTACCTTATAAATAACTTCAGGTAAAAACGAGCAGACCATACTATTATTGTAGAGCTGAGGAAACTCCATGTATATTTTCTTCAGAGCATCAGTTGCCTGTAAAACAGAGATTTCATGTATCTTAAAAGCGATTCAATGTTCTACCCAGTAACTATTACATATTATGTGTAATCCTAGAGACTCCATTAGAAGCTCAGACAAACAAGGCTGTTAAAAGGGCTATTTTGAGAGATTCTACTCTCCATGGGGATACTTTTTCTTTCTCTTTTTTTTTTTTTGGTTTTGGGGCCATACCTGGAGATGTTCAGGGTTTAGTCCTGGCTCTGCTCTAAGGAATCACTCCTGGCAATGCATGGGAATCATGTGGGATGTTTGGGATCGAATCCAGGCCAACTGTGTGCAAGACCGGTACCTTACCTAACGCTGTCCTATCGTGCTGGCCCCGGAGAGGCTTTTCGCTGGACACACTTTTTAGAGGCCGGATAGTACGGTGCTCAGGCCTGGCGGCTCTTGGGGCTCATCTGGGTCAGACCCAGGGTCAGTGGAGGGGTGACACTGGGGTCTGAGCTCAGGGTCCCCAACAAGGAAGCCCACCCTCCCTCCACCACACGAGCTACCTGCCCAGCCTCTCAGCCACACCGACACAGAAGCTGGGATTCTGTGGCTTTACTATCTTGTCAAGCCACTCGCCCCTTTGGGCACATTTTGGGCAAGCAGAGGCCGGAAGTGAAACTTGAACAAGCCGATGCTGGCTGGGCCCCTGTGTGGCTCCCACTCGCCTGTGGTTTAATTCACACTAATGGCAGCACAGGCATCTGTGCGTTAGAATCACGATCTTGTCATCTAGTTTCGTTACAGGGAAAAGCCAACTACACCCACAACTCACTCTCTCTCTGCTTTTCTTGCTGAAGCCAGAGCCAATCAGCTGGAGAATTTCAGGGCACAGATTTTTCTCAGTCACAGGGCCCAGCCATCTCCAACACGGGGCAGAAGCAATGGGACAAGGGAAGAGAAGGGGAAGGGCCAACGCTGCCCCAACAAGCCAGGGGTGTCTTTGCTCTAGGAGCCTGGCGAATAAATGAAGAAGTGATTCTGCAACCTCCATGTGTTCGTGGACTGGGCCAGTGAGTGCCAGTAGCAGTGTTAACCAGACATAAAGCGGGAGTATATGCCACCTCGTGGCAGCTGACTGGCAGGCAGAGTGTCACAGATGCGTGCGCACCAACTGCTTTCTGGCTCACGGCACGTGCATTGGGCATGGCTCCTAATTACATCTTGTCCACATGACCAACTTGGTGAGTTTCTTATACTCCCGTTTTGTCCAGGATGCTGAAGCTGATAGAGCCTGAGGCTAGAGCTGAGTGCGCCTGGTGCCGGCACTCACTCGGTCTGTTTCCCTCCCTCCGTTATGCAGATTCACCATCTCCAGGGTGCTACCCATATTGCCTCCATGATTTTCTTTTTCTTCTTCTTTTTTTTTTTTTGTTTTGCACAGGTGGTCACTCCTGGCTCTGCACTCAGGAATCACTCCCGGCTGTGCTCGGGGGACCATATGGGAACCTGGGTCGGCCGCGTGCAAGGCAAAAATGCCCTACCCACTGTGCTATTGTTCCAGCCCCGGCTCCGTGATTTTCTTACTGGCCTCCTGGGCCACGCCCAGTGGTGCTAAGGGCTGACTCCTGGCTCTGTGCTCAGGGACCAGTCCTGGTGGGTATGAGGTGCTGGAGATCAAACCCAGGTCGCCGTGTGCAAGGCAGGCGACCGCCGCTGATCTAGCTCCCTGGCCCCACCTGCTCCTTTCTACTCCATTTTGGTGAATCAGATCCTGGTGTTCTGCCCAATTTTGTCTGGGACACCTTTGACCACACAACCAGAAAACTAAGAAATTAACATGAAGGTTGCTTCACTATGGGCCCCCAAACCTCAGTGGAACCTGGGGTGATTGTTAAAGAGACAGGTTTCTTTCTCTTTTCCCATGTTTTGGGAAGTGCCAGGGATCGAACCCAGAGCTGGTAAGTGTTCTCCCACGCACCTGAGCCCTGCCAATAAGAACCCTGCCATCCTATGCATTTCCAGAACTTCTTTTCAGGAATTATGGCCCAGGAATTCCTAGTTTTAAAAAGGTGTTCCTGGTCATTCTGATACAGCCTTGATGGGAAAAGCTAGACAAGGGGAACTACCTGTTTATCAGGCTAAATCAGCACCATTTTCCCTCTCTTCAAAACTGGGAGTTTGTTATACTAAATGAGTACATGTTAAGGGCCACACTGCAAGTGTTAATAACTGGGAGTTTATTAGACAAAATGAGTACATATTGAGGTTCACAATTCAGGTGTTAATAACTGGTTTTAACTATGTTCTTGGATTAATAATAATTTTTTTAAATAACAGAGGTTGGAGACATAGTACAGTAGGAAGGGTGCTTGCCTTGCAAGCAGTCACCCTGGGTTCCACCCCCAGGCCCCCCATGTGGTCCCCAGAGAAGTGCCAAGAGTAATTCCTGTATTAAGAGCCAGGAGTAACCACTGAGCATTGCTCTGTGTGTTCCAATTCCCCACCCCCCACCTCACAAAAGGACATCAGAATTCTCAATCATAGATGAGCAGATTTTAGCTATTATTACCCCTATTACCCAAATGGGGAAAAGAATATTTATACTCAGAAAACTGGTTATAATAGAACAAATCTCCAGTCTGAACCCTATTTTTCCATTATAATATATATCATATATATATGACATATATTTTAATGGGAGGGATGCTAGAAGTTGAACTCAGGGTCTTAAGGATAGAAAGCACACACTAAAAAGGATCAACTCTACAATATATTTATCTAATTAAAATTTAAGCAAATTCTTAAATATGCCATCTATATAAGAAACTAGTAATTTTCTGATGAGAATATATCCGCTCAAATCATAGATAACCAAAACTATATAAGGAACAGAAATCACACAGAACAGATAAATTTAGGGTAAAAGATAAATATTCTACTAGCTACCGGAAGCTTGAAAGACAAGGGTCTCCTTTACCTCCGCTCACATGTCTGAAGATGCTTCATGCATTAGCCAGACCAACTAGCTGCATTTACAACTCTCAAATTCTTTTTTTTTTTAAATGAAGTTATCCAAGCGGTCTGATCAAAAAGAGCATCTTTACCAGTTCCGTAATATGTTTTGTAAATACTTTATGCAAAGAAGGAAATCCAACTCTTGGGAGCTGTAGCAGTTCTAGCAAGGGTTAAAAAGGTTTCATGCTTGACTGTGTCCTTGAAGATGTGGATTTCTTGTACTGCGTACTTTTGATCAGCAAACACATTACTGTGGGAAAGGAATAATTTAAGGGGACCACGTAACAGAAAAACAGAATCTACTTTGGAAGTGACCTTGGAAGCAGGGTGGCCTCTGTGGCACGAACTGTACCTTATTTGCTTGGCTTTTGACATCAAAGAAGATTTTGAGGTCATACTTCAGGCACTCTGTGACAGCTTCCCTTAGAGTAGGAACCTTTTCGTCAGGGAAATCATTCCTATGAGAGAGGGAGAAGGAGTACATGCACAGCAGGGGCAAGGGGCAAAGGGCAAAGGGTCAAAGTGTCATGAACAGACAGCGGACAAGTGTCTCCCCAAGGAATAAAAAGAATGTTTCCCCCCAATGTCCCTTCCTCAGCCATGCTGAAGTCCAAGGGTAATTAAATCTATGCACCGAAACCAACTGCCAGTTGCTCTTTTTTTTTTCCTTTTCTTTTTTTGGCCACACCTGGTGATGCACAGGGGTTACTCCTGGCAGTTCTTGGGAATCATATGGGATGCCGGGGATCAAACCTGGGTCAGCTGTGTGCAAGGCAAATGCCCTCCCTGCTCTATTGTTACTCTGTCCCCTGCTAGTCACTGTGGACCAAGAAAGCAACAATCCCAACAGTTACAAATTTTAGAAAATAACTGGATTTCCACTATATGAAAAATAATTACAAACCTTTTTACCAAGGGGTAGGGTATAAGCCACTTTTGGAGAACTGTCCTGACAGCATGCTATCCAGGAAGGTCAGTTAACTCTACCAAGTGCAGCGGTGCAACTTCCCGGTAAAGTGTCTCATACCAGATTTCTCACACGATGACATTTCGTATTCTAACTTACTCTGTGAATCCAACTACCTTAGCTCAAGGCCTTGGCTGGAAGAAGGGGGGTGGGGGAAGGTCTTTTAAACAGTGCAGGTGAGTTCCGGCCATTCCTTCCAGGCCTGTTCCCCGGGAGAGATGGGGGTGTGAGGAGGTGGGGGGGGGATTTGCAATCCCCTGCGAGAGGCACAGCTCCATCTCCTTTCTCGGGATGAGCATCTCTCTTTGCACTAACTCTGGGCTACTCTCCTTACAACGCGGCCCCTACACAGGCCAGTTCTTCATGTGTGTTCCTACAAAGAAAACACAACTATGCCAATGATGGACATGAGTCTGGTTATGGTAGGTATGAAGAAGATGAGAGATTCACCCCTGAATCACACCTCCTGGGAACTTTTATTTATTTACTTGAGGGGGAGGACAGGGTTTCAGCCACACCTACTGGTGCCTGGAGGTCATTCTCCATGGTGCTGGAGGACCCTGTGATGCTGGGGATTAAAATCTGGGGCTCCTGCATGCAAAGCGTCCAGTCCATCTCAGTCCTTTGACACATCTCCCTGGGTTCTCCTAAACGGTTTCTTTTTCTTTTTTCTTTTTTGCTTTTTTTGGGTCACACCCAGCGATGCTCAGGGTTACTCCTGGCTCTGACTCCTGCGGTGCTTGGGGAGACCGTATGGGGTGCTGGGAATCGAACCCGGGTCGGCCGCATGCAGGGCAAACGCCCTACCCGCTGTGCTATCGCTCTAGGCCCTCCTAAGCAGATTTTTAAGGGTGATCTAACTTTAAGCAGTTTTTGCTTTTAGTGACTTTAAGCCCCCCATCTTTTTGTGGTTATGATGTTGTAATATTAAAACCAGCCTCTTTCTTGAAAACGCCTGAGCAATGAGATATCTGGGAAGAGAAAGAGCAAGGGTCTACAGATGGACTCCCAAACCTCTTCGAACCAAAGGATTAGTTCATCTGGCTGATTTGCAGTTTACCAATCCTAGGAAAACACAAGTCTTGATCATCTTATAGGGAGGTTCATACCATGATGACTGAATCGAGGGGGGGCAGGAAGACTTGTCAAAGGGCTTCGTAGGTCAGGGACTCAGATTTAATCACAGGCACCCCCTGTGATCCCCAGAGCATCAAAGCAGGAGCCGCCCCTTGGCACTACTGGGTGGGGCCCACAAACCAAACCACCCAATGGATTAATCATCAACACTTAAGAACGGAGCATTTTCTAGACAAATGATACAGCACAAACAACTGAGTGCAGAACGTTTATCAATATTATAAAGAGCTGCGATTTATATAACCACAATCCAAAGTATACCAAACAGACAGTAGAATATTCCAAGATGTTGAGAGCTGTTTGTTGGATCGCAGGTCTAAACATTTTAGGCTTAACATGGGGGGGGGGGGGCGCGGGGTGGGAATTAGGTCTAATCAAGATATACTCTGTCCAATAAGTAGGCGTGTCTGGCTCTTAAAAGTTACTGAATTCATGATTCCTCAGAAGGGAGGGCTGGGTCAAAAGACGTTTTGAAAGATTTTAAAGAATGTGTAACATCTTTTGTGTGGAACCATAGCTGAAACATATTTGAATTGAAGGCATACCGCGCAATCATTCTTTTTTCCTTTTGTTTGGGGGACAAACTGGGCCACACCCAGCGGTGCTCAGGACTTACTCCTGGCTCTGTGCTCAGGGGTCACTCCTGGTGGGGCTTGGGGGACTGTATGTGGTGCTGGGGATCGACTCTGAGTTGGCCCCCACACAATTACTTTTATATTTGTGTATATTGTGAGAAGGTCTTCAGAGGAAGGTGAGCTGACATCCATCATCACACCATGGACACATTTTTGGGGGTGCCGACACCTCACACTTCTTTTGTTTTCATGTAATGAGAATTTTCAAGATCTACCCTTGGGACAACCTTCAAACGAAGAATATAGCAGCATTAACTCGACTGTCACCAGGCTATTAGTCCTTTAATTGCGCACTTATTATTTGTTCCTAACTGTGTCTTTTGACCACGGGCACCAGTTTTGCCCACCTCTTATCCAGCTAATTTCTTAGTGTACCTAAATCCCAAACACTGACAAGTCAACTCTTTTGAGGGGCAAGAGGGGTGACGCCGGCAGTGCTCAGGGTCACTCCTGGTGGGGCTCAGGGGCCATACAGGATGCTGGGGACCCCGGGTCAGCTGCGCGCTAAGCAAGCATCATACCCGCCCTACTACCGATGCCGCCCGAGGCGTTAACCTTTGCCACTGCTCTTAACCTCGGGGGACTCTCACTTATCTGACAATGCAAAATGACTGCCCGGGAGCAGCAAGACCGAGTCCTGTGGGGCTGGAGCCATGGGACTTCGGGGAGGGCGTCAGTCTGCCCGGGCTAGTCCCGGGTATCCCACCCCGTCCCCTGGGCACTGCCAGAGTTAATTCCAGGAGTGACCCCTGAGCACTGCAGAGTTGTGACTCAGAAAGGAAAACAACCCCCGCTCCCCTAAAACAAAAACACAGAACAAAACAGAGTCCTGTCTTAAGACGAATTCAAAAGTCAAATCTGGTGTCAAAAGAAAGACCTGCCCAGCCTATCTCTGTGGTCACTGCTGCTGCCTGTTATCTGGAAAGCCTGTCACAGAGGCCGTCGGAAGGCGTCCTGCTTTGTGAGCACCGCCCGCAGCAGCTCTGAAACAGAGGCCAACGTGAGCCACTCACCTTAACCTGTGATTTGCTGCGGGATTCAGTTTCCTGACTTGTTCGAAGGTCAAATCACACAGTCGGCCCGTACCGTCGGTCGTCCTGTCTACTGTGTTGTCGTGCATCATGACGGGAACCCCGTCGGAAGTGAACTCAACGTCCAGCTCCACACCCATTGCTCCATTCTTAGCTGCCTTAACAAAAACAGCCACAATATTAGTGGCAAGTGGCCACCGGCACACTTGTCAATCCCGCCGCTCTTCCCTTCCTCCACCCAGAAGATGGTGGTCTCCTTTGCTTCTTCCTGGAGTTAATCTTCGACTCACATTTAGAGATTCTCAGAAACGGCAGCTTCCCCGCCCTGCCCATCCCTTACCGAAGCGGGCAGGAGGCAGGGCAGTGGACGCTGACGCTTGCTCTGGTTGCTTTAAAGACACGTGCCCACAGAGGGCTTAACGTTAGAGATACTTAGGGGCAGAAGTCACAGTCTAACGGCACTTGCTGCGCAGGCGGTCAACCCAGGCTCCATCTCCAATGCATCACATGTTCCCTGACCCCCTCCAGCAGGGTTCCCTTAGCACGGGGCCGGAACTCCAGAGCACTGGTGGGTATACGGCCTCCAAACAAACAAACAAACAAACAAAAATGCAACCTGTCTGCCCCATTTCCCCATTTCTGTCCATCAACGCTGACTGGTCCCTGAGACCTGATGAGGCTGGTCTTGCTGATCAGCGAGATATTATCACACGACTTGGGCATGATAAGGTTGGTGGTTTGAACTGCACCTTCTGCAAGCAGGAACCCAGGCAGTGCTTCACGGGGAGCTCACATTTGGTTGAGGGGGCTGAGCTGGATGGGCTCTGTGGTGTCACCAGGAAAGGAGGGCCTGAACACACCACAGGGGCCGCGGGCCGCTCCCCTGGGGCACCAGCCCACCTTTAGTTCTTGGCTTCTCTGTCACAATGAGAACGTGAGTGCTCATCACGAAGGAGAGTTTAAAATGTATAAAGAAATAAACAGTGCAAGCATACGTAGCAGTATACAGCAAAAGAAAAACAAGACGATGTCACGTTAACCAGACTCCCATCTACCTCTTCCTGACCCCAAACAGAGGAATAGCTGAGCATTCCCTGAGTGCCTGAAAGATGTCAGTGACTCACCTGACCCTCCCAGTTCTATTGGCGGCTACTATGAAAGTTCTCCTTTTCAGGTGTCTGAGACATATTCGATATGCCAAACACAGTCACAAGTCTCACGATGGAGACATTACTGGGCCCGCTCGAGCAAATCGATGAACAGCGGGAGGACAGTGCCACAGTGCTACTATCACAGTGCTTTTCAGGTGAGGAAACGGAGACAGAGAGCAACTCAGAAAACTTGGTGTGGCTCAAAGAATGAGGATGTGGTCACAACTGCATTTCTTGAAACTGTAGCCGATGCTGGTTTACCCAGCCAAGGAGGAGGCACACCCCAGCCCCAGATTAGGCTTCTGATGAGGGGCTCCCCCTGGCCATGAGGGAAGTGCTCACAATTTTGTACATTTGCCAACTACTTATTATTGTCGGCTGGGTTGTTTTTTGTGGGTCGGGGTGGTTCAGGGTCATACCCCGGTGTGCCTGGGAGACCATGCGGTGGCGGGGATCTGAGCCTGGGCCTCCTGCATGCGAAGCATGCGCTCAGCCCATCTGGCCTCCCCTCTAGCCCTGTGTCTTGTGTATCGCAGCTGTCCTGGTGGGTCTTGAGTGATGGTTGGTACGTGCACGTCCCCGATGGCTGAGAACATGGAGTCTTTCCCCTCAGGAACTCAACTGGCCACCTGGACATCACACACTGTCCAACTCAGAGAGTCTAGAGTAGATTCTGCCAGGCACTGCTGAGCTGAGAGGAGAGTGGGGAGCGAGAGAGAGCGAGAGAGAGAGAGAGAGAGAGAGAGAGAGAGAGAGGGGCGGGGGGCTGGGTGGGTTGTGGGTCCCTACCCATTTTAGGGGGGAGAAACCAAGGACAGTCATAGCACAGGCAGATTTGGTCTTGTAAAAGAAGGCGGGAACGTGAAGAGCCAGGCCAGTGGGTGACTCCGGATAAGGCAGCCTGGAAGGCTGAGCCCCGGCTGATAAAAGAGAACCAGCGGGGCAACAGGACAGCGGGGAGGGCTCTGGCCTTGCATGTGGGTTTGACCCTCAGCACCCCATGGAGTCCCCTGAGCCCCACCAGGAGTGATCCCCGAGTGCAGAGCCAGGAGTTGGCCCTGAGTACAGTTGGGTCTGGGGCAAAAAAAAGGGGGGGGAGGGGTAACTTCTGTTTTCTAAGTAAAAGGAAAGTAACAGAAAGGCCCCCAGGCAGGAGTAGGTCACCAGCTGGACGGCTTGGGGCTGAGAAATGGCCTAAAGGTCAAAGGACTCGCCTTGCTTAGGTGGCCAGCAGGCCATGATCCTCTCAGCATTTCAAAATGCTGCCCCCACCCCACACACACAGAGTTTCGATCGCTTATGCAAATCAAGTTCTTCTCTGCACAAAAGCCAGAGTTATCCTCGCTTTAACCGGGTGTGGCGGACAATGGAGGCGCTTCTGGGAAGGGAAAGAGGGAGCAGGGCGGAGACCAGTGCTGGGGTGAGAGATGGTGACGCCTGCGGGTGGCAAGGGCCCTGGCAGTGTCCAGGGCTAGTGAACACGCTGCAGACGGTCACAAGAATCCTAAGCCTCTCGGATCCAAAGTGACCCCATGGGCCTCCCCGACACGCATGCCTCATGATGGAAGTCCATTTACTGCTTAGGAATGCAGGTCTGTAGTCCTGGCTGCTAGCGGCCAAGGCATCCTCAGGGGCTGGGGGGAGCGCAGAGGTGGGGCATTGCCTTGCAAGACTGAGGCCCTGGGTTTGACTCCCGGCACTGTGGGATCCCCCGAGAACTCCTGGGAGTGACACCCAGCACAGCTGGCTGTGTTAACCCAGGCCCCCCAAACACCCTGATGAGCACCAGGAACAGTGCAAGGGCTTTAAGATAAAGAGGGCCGGACAGACAGTGCAGGGGGTACATCCCTCCCTTGCAAGCAGCTAACCCAGTTCTGATCCCAGCATCGCCCAGTTTCACCCTCAGCCCCACCAGGAGTGATCCTTGAGCAGAGAGTCAGGAGCAACCCCTGAGCACCACCGGGTGTAACCCACACAACAACAAACAAATCAACAAAATTAAGGCAACAGAGGGAAAGATAAAAGAGAAAAGGGCTGAACTTGACCCAACAACAACGAAAAGCGATAGCACAGCGGGTAGGGCGTTCGCCTTACAAGCGGCCAACATGGCCGACCCGAGTTCGATTCCTCCGCCCCTCTCGGAGAGCCCGGCAAGCTACCGAGAGTATTCGATATGCCAGACACAGTAACTGTTGTTAAGTCTCCAATGGAGACGTTACTGGGCCCGCTCGAGCAAATCGACGAACAACGGGAGGGCCTTTTAAAGCCAGGATAAAAACTGATTTATACCTAAAATAAAAAAAAAAACCCAACAACTTACTTTATTTTTGAGGCCACACCTGGCAGTGCTATTCCGGATCCCTGAGTTTGGGGTGGGGGTAGTTCTGGGTGTGGCCCCCCCCCAAACAAAAATGGTGGTTGAACGTGGTTAGAAACAATCCAGCACCTTCCATTAGACTAAAATCTAACTGCCCACCCCGTTTCTCTTCCACACTTACATGTTTTGCTTTTGCACTGAGATGACTGTGAAGATTCGCGCCACCTTTAGACTGGCTGAAGCAGCTGGCACCTGTGGGGGTTTACCATGGCCCGAGCACTTCAGGTGGCAGCGAATCACGACGATTTCCATTTTACAGATGAGGATACTGAGGTCAGGGCTGGGGCTAGAATAAGGCAAGGGGTCCGGCAGTGCCTTGCTTGCTAAACTCTCCTCATGACTCGATGGGGACACAGACAGCTGAAGTAACAAGTTCATTACCCAATGGTCTGCCCCTAATTGCACAAAGGGCGGTCTGCCCAAGTTTTTACACTTGAGAACTTATCTGAATGACCTAGAAGAGCACCCAGAGTGGAGTCAGCAGGCTTAATTTCAGAAGGAGCCGTGGGTGGCAGAGCTCGGTTCCTTCCCCCCACCCCCATGTCAAAATCATTATTTGTTCAGGAAAAGGAGAAGATGAGATGGATTTCCGCATTTGCAGAAGTGCCTTGACAAACACTTGCTAAGCCCAGTTGGCATGACTGGAGCTGGGAGGAACCACAGGGTCCGGGAGAGCTGCAGGAATAGCGGAGGGTGGGATGGGTGAGATTATTCCCTGCGTGCGCTGAGCTGGGTTCAATCCCTGGCACCCTATCCTGTCTCCTGAGCACAGAGCCAGGAGGAGCGGAGAGAGCGAGAGAGACCCCTGCCTGCCTCCAGGGAGGTCTGGGGAGGGAGATCATAGAGATGCTTCAGATGACCAGGAAGACAAACAGGTCAGCTCCTTTGCCCGGTCTGGTTAGAGACCCACTCTCGCCTAAGCCTCTACTTCACATTTCCTCCCCCCAGGGACAGAATACAGCCGCCAAGTCAGGCCACTGACCCGCCATCAGGCAGCTCTACAAACCAGTGACTGAACTGGGAGCTTGTCCTCCCATTCCCAGGGCAGGGCCTGGGCACTTGCGGGCACCTGTTCCAGGACACTCACCCCCACCCCTGCCCCGGCTCCCTAGCTGGTTCCTGCTAATCATTCCAATCTTCGGCTCAAAAGCCACCGTCTTGGCAGGCCAATCGACCTGGCCCTGTCATTTTAAGACTCCCAACCGCCCGAGGCTTCCCCCACCCGCGCGCGCAGCCACCTGAGGTTCCGGTGACCCCCTCCCCGGGTAGGGGCCCACAGCCAGGCGGCGGCGGGCGCTCCGGGGGCTCTGCAGTCCCCAGAGGCTCCGGCACGCAAAGCCTGGACCCTGGGTCCTCGGAGCCCTCTCCACGGCCCCTTCCCTGCACCCCGGGAGTGTCTCCAAGCAGCTCGGCTTGTTCGGGTCGGGGCGGTCGCGCCGGGTCGCGGGGGGCGGGGAGGGAGGGGCGGCCGGCCGGGTCCTGCAGCTGGGGAGGGGCGGCCGGCCGGGTCCTCCGCGCCCTGCAGCGGGCAGGCCAGCAGCGGCGTCCTGCTTTTCCCTCCTCCTTGGAGAGTCCCGCCCGGCTCTGCGCCCGGGGCTGAGGCCTCCCGGCGGGGCGCGGGGGTCGAGCCCGGGTCGGCCGCGTGCCCGGCCCAGCCCTCCCGCGGTGCGCCCCGCCCGGCCCCGCCGCCCCTCCCGCGGGCGTCCCGGGGGTCCCCCGCGCCGACTCACCTGCCGGATGGCCGCCAGCGTGTTCTCGGGCGCGTCGTGGCTGCCCCCGCGGTGCGCGATGGCGGCGGCGCGGTCGCGGGGCCTGAGCACCTGCAGGACGCGGCGCGCGGGCAGCGGCTCGAAGCTGCAGGCGCGCAGCAGCGCGTAGAGGCTGCAGGTGAAGAGGCAGGAGCTGAAGGGGCTGCGCGTCGCGAGCAGCAGCAGCAGCAGCAGGAAGGAGAAGGGGCCCAGGAGGCCGCCCTGCTCCTCCCACAGCCACATGCCGGCGCCCGCACCGGCAGGACGGGAGTCCCGGGCCGCCGGGGCCCCGGGCGCTAGGACGAAGGACGAAGGCGCGGACGCCCCAGGGACTCGCCGCGGCGGCGCCCTCGCCGGGACCAGCGCTGCGCAATGGCGGCGGCGGCCACGTCCGGAAGGGGAGCCGGCGGCCCGGCCAATCGGAGGCCCGAGCGCGGGGGTTTGGGGGGGGGGCGGGGCCGTGGCCATGGCAACGGGGGCGGGCCCAGGCCCGGGCTCCGTTCCGCAGGGGCAGTGGGATCGTTCCCGGGTCCCACACCGCGCTCCCGCCCCGGGGTTTCTCCTCCGCGGTAGGAGGAATGTGAAACCGCCCAGAGGTTGCATGTAGGTCACGGTGATTTTTTCATGCAATCTGCAAGGAGATTTCTCGGGGTGGGGGCGGTGGGGGCAGTGCTAACGTGATTTCGTTCAAGCCGGTTCGATCCTAGATGTGCGGAATCCGCTGCCCCGGTCCATCTGCTGCCCGGGACTGCTCCCCTAGGACTTAAACTCTTCTGAGTAAAGCGAAACTGCAGGAAGTGCAGTCCTTGGAAGAATACTGACTCTTTCATGCCTGAGGCAATTAAAGAGGAGGCAGAGTCGGATGTAAAGCTGGAAGGGCTTTGGTGGTTGTTTTTGGGTTTTGGGGGGGTTCACATCCGACAGCGCTCAGGAGTTACTCCTGGCTCTGCACGCAGGAATCGCTCCTCGCCGTGCTCGGGGTACCCTATGGGATGCCAGGGATGGAACCCAGGTCGGTCACATGGAAGGCAAACGCCCTCCCCGCTGTGCTATCGCTCCAGTCAAGCTAGGAGGATTTTAATGGTTCCCTTCATGTTATAGATAAGAGAACGGAGGCCAGAAGAGGGGAAACAATTGAGCAACAGTGGCAGATCAGAATTGGCTTGAAGGACCCCAGATTTAGGTCTGAAACGATTCCAGTACTGTTCCTCTGCCTAAATTACTCCTCTTCCTTCCAAGAACTTGGAGTGGGCCTTACGTAACCAGGTGTAGTGCAAGAAAGAGGGAGCCTAGCAACCACCCTCGCACAGACTGCAGGGGGAAAGGCGACTTTTGAAACTCACATTGCACTCGCTACAAAATAGCCACGGGAACGAGTCTCTGTCTGGAAGGCAGAAGAGAGTCCTTAAGTCTAAAAACAGAAAGGGGTCATTACATCCTATGTTGCAAAGCTGGAAACGTATTTAGAGAACGTTGGCAAACGTTCAGGGTCTTTCCTGCCATCTTCAACCTGTTAATTTTCCACTTGAACCTAATTTCCCGATATATTGAGGAAGGGTAAGGGAAGTCTTAATGCTTAGAGTTGGCAGCTAGGATTCAGCAGGTTTTATTGACAGAGAAAGTATTTTGGCGAGTATCATGATTTTCAACGACCTCAGAGAAAGTGTAACCCCTTTTAAAGATCAGTTTTTTTTAAAGTTAGTTTTAAGGAAAATTTCTGGGGCCTTTAACCTTGGTAAATGTCCCAAACACAGTACGTGACCTTTTGACAGACGCTGGCTTGCAGCGAAGACTACGCTTCCCGGCGTGCACTGCGCCCCGTACAGGACTCCGCCCTGCGTCCCCGGACCGGGGCCGCGCAGTCCGGCGCGCAATGCACTTCGGGGATTGTAGTTTTCCGGGACCCCACGCGGCGTGCAACGGCCCGGGAAGCGCCCACCGGAAGTGCCTTCTGGAGAGGTGGAGCCGGGACGGTGCCCGCGGCGGCCGTTGCCAGGAGCCCGCGTTGCCGCCGAGACCCGTACTATGGCGGGGAGGAGGAGGAGGAGGCGGCGGCGCTCCGAGCTGCGCCCTCTCGGCCCCCACTGAGCCTTGTGCTTGCTGCTCGGCCCGCGGGGCGCAGGGGAGACCAAGGTGGGTGAGGCCGGCGTTGCACCCTTCCGGGGGTCGTGGCTGCCGGGCGGTCGCCGGGGGCGTCAGGGGAGCCGAGGGCGGAACCCGAGCGCTGCGGGCGGGGTCGGGCGACTCGAGACCCCCGCAGAGTCGCCGGGGGTGCGGACGGCGGATGCCCGCGGGCCTGGCAGGGGATGCTGGGTACCACTCGGTGCAGCCTCGGGATGGAGCCTCCTTTAGCCCGAGGGGCTGGGGGTGGGGATGGGGGGCGAGGGCAGAGAGGGCAGAGGGTCCCCTCCGGTGAAGGCTGAGGGGGCTCTGGAGGATGCCACTGCCGGGTGATGCTGAGCACCGCTTGGTGCAGCCTCGGGATGGAGCCTCCTTTAGCCCGAGGGGCTGGGGGTGGGGTGGGGTGTCCCCATTCAAAAATGAATGGGCGAGGGCGGAGGGTCCTCCCTGGGGGCGCGGGGCCGGGATGCGTCCCGCGGCTCCGGGGGTCCCGTGGGGGGTGCAACTGCCGGGTGACGCAGGGCACCGCTTGGTGCAGCCGCGGGCTGGAGCCTCGCTGGGGTGGAGGGGTGGGGGCGAGTGCAGAGGGTCCTGGGCAGAGGGTCCTCCCTGGGGGCGCGGGGCGGGGATGCACCCCGCGGCGCCGGGATGGGGGTTGCGAGGCCGGAGCGGTTTGTTTTCCGTTTCCCTCCGGGCGTCTCCAAGGAGGCGGCTGGCGCTTTGCTGCGCGCCCGTAACCACAGCCCGGCCCGGGCGCGGCGCGCTCGCTGTTTACCAGCCCCAGCGCCTCTGGGGGAACGCGCCTGGCACCGGCCCGGCACTGGCTCCCGGTGCCGCCAGGCGCTGCCCACGCCGGGCTTCCAGCTCCTTCCAGTCCTCGGCCCTTATCCTCCCAATCCCCATCCCCCCCACCCCCCCAACGCCAGGCAACGACCGGAGCCTAGAGATGGGCTGGGGGCGCGCCCGTGCGTGGTGGGATTTTTTTCCTTTGGAGGGGGTCACACCCGGCGATGCTCAGGGGTTACTCCTGGCTCTGCACCCAGGAATCTCTCCGGGCGGTGTAATGGGATGCCGGGGACGAACCCGGGTCAGCCGCGGGCACGGCAAACCCCCTCCCGGGCTCCAGGCTCCCCTGCGTGTTTTTAAGTCACATTGGATTTTCTTTTTTTGGTGGGGGGCACCCGGCTGTGCTCAGGAGTTACCCCTGGACCACACTCAGGGATCACTCCTGGCAGCCCCTGGGGAGGCGGCGCCCCAGGGGATGCTGTGGATGGATCTCGGGTTGGCCTGGCGCAAGGTACGCGCCCTACCCACCATCCTGTCTCTCCAGTGCTCCTTTCAGCCCTGTTTGAATCTCACCAGAATCCCCCCTCATTCCAAACCCCACCCCCACCGCCCCAGGGCAGGAGGTTGTGATGGGAATCATGCCCACAAGCCCCAAATTTGCAGAAAAAGCAGCCGGCCTTCCCGAGGTCCGGACACACCCCCTATGTCCTGCGCTGTATGTTCCTTGTCCTCTGTGTTTCAGTTCATGAGTCCTGCCAGTCTTGTGTTTTTTTTTTAATTGACAACAAAAATGAAATACCCGATTTTTAGCCGAAGAGAAGGACTACATGGAGGGCGGGATCCACAGATCCCGAAGGAAAAAAAAAAAAAAACCAGGTTCCAAAAAGAGCCGAGATCATCGGGAAGTCCCAGATGGGGTAGGTACCGCATCCCGCCTCCCCCAGATGGAACCCCGGTGACCAGAAACCTCTACAAGCACAGCTCGAGTATGCGGGAACTAGGACTTTTCCTCAAAACCGCGCGGCCGCTTATGCGGCCGCGCGACATCTCTCTATATACAAAGTGATCCATGGGAAGTAAACCACCTAACGTTTCTCTCTGAAAATCATAGTTAAGCTTTGAGCACGGCCACAGCCCCAGAAACACAAGTACTTAATGCATAACCCAGCAGCTTGGAGCAGAAAAGTGAACGGGTTATGTGTTAACCCAGGCCATCAAGTCCGACAGAGGGGAAAGGGTGTTGGTCCCTTCCGCCCTCCTCCCTCTGGAAAGAAAGGTGGCGGCCACATGGGAGCCTTGTGGACAGCAGGTATGAGCCGGGGGTGTGGGGGCGACTAAAACCTCATGGGAAGGGGGGCGTTCCGGTCCGTCCTTCACGCCCTACCGAGGCCACCAGTTGCCCCCCACGAGCGGCTCTCCAGCACGGCCACAGCCCCAGAAGCACAAGGACTTAATGCAGAACCCAGCAGCTTGGAGCAGAAAAGTGAAAGGACTATGCGTTAATCCAGGCCATCATGTCTGCCCGGAGGGGAAAGGGTGTTGGTCCCTTCTGCCCTCCTCCCTCTGGAAAGAAAGGTGGCGGCCACATGGGAGCCTTGTGGACAGCAGGTATGAGCCGGGGGTGTGGGGGCGACTAAAACCTCATGGGAAGGGGGGCGTTCCGGTCCGTCCTTCACGCCCTACCGAGGCCACCAGTTGCCCCCCACGAGCGGCTCTCCAGCACGGCCACAGCCCCAGAAACACAAGGATTTAATGCAGAACCCAACAGCTTGGAGCAGAAAAGTGAAAGGACTATGCGTTAATCCAGGCCATCAAATCTGCTGGAGGGGAAAGGGTGTTGCCCCATTTGCCCTCTCCTCTCTGGAAAGAAAGATGGCGGCCACATGGGAGCCTTGTGGACAGCAGGCATGAGCCGGGGGAGCGGGAGCGACTAAAACCTCATGGGAAGGGGGGCGTTCCGGTCCGTCCTTCACGCCCTACCGAGGTCACCAGTTGCCCCCCACGAACGGCTCTCCAGCACGGCCACAGCCCCAGAAGCACAAGGACTTAATGCAGAACCCAGCAGCTTGGAGCAGAAAAGTGAAAGGACTATGCGTTAATCCAGGCCATCATGTCTGCCCGGAGGGGAAAGGGTGTTGGTCCCTTCTGCCCTCCTCCCTCTGGAAAGAAAGGTGGCGGCCACATGGGAGCCTTGTGGACAGCAGGTATGAGCCGGGGGTGTGGGGGCGACTAAAACCTCATGGGAAGGGGGGCGTTCCGGTCCGTCCTTCATGCCCTACCGAGGTCACCAGTTGCCCCCTGCGAGCGGCTCTCCAGCACGGCCACAGCCCCAGAAGCACAGGGACTTAATGCAGAACCCGGCAGCTTGGAGCAGAAAAGTGAAAGGACTATGCGTTAATCCAGGCCATCATGTCTGTCTGGAGGGGAAAGGGTGTTGCCCCAGTCGTCTTCTCCTCTCTGGAAAGAAAGATGGCGGCCGCATGGGAGCCTTGTGGACAGCAGGTACGAGCCGGGGGAGTGGGGGCGACTAAAACCTCATGGGAAGGGGGCGTTTTGGTCCGCCCTTCACGCCCTACCGAGGCCACCAGTTGCCCCCCACTAGCGGCTCTCCAGCACGGCCATGACTCCAGAGCACAGAAACCAATTTCTTAACTATCTGACTTTCAGTATAAATACTTCCAGGGTCAATAAGTAAAATAGCAGAAATCCAAAACCAACATTTAATTCTTGAACCCAGCTGTAGAAAGCAAATCACGTCACAATGCTTTTTCAGCATGTCTGATTTGGGGGGGGGGGTAAACTCTAAATAATAGTGGTGAATCTTTTATTGAAACAATGAATCTAATCAAAGCAGATAGAGTGTTAACTAGAATTCATCTGCCCCACAGGGACTGGGAGGGGTGGGGGTGGGGTTTTATTGGGGTTCTTCATGGTAAAAAAAAAAAGTATTGGTAAAGGGAAATGTGTTTGATATTTGCATGACTGAGACCTAAACCTGAAAGCTTTGTAACCTTTCCCAAGGTGATTCAATAAATAAAAAAAAAAAAAAAAAAAAATGAAATACCCCCATTTTACAGATGAGGAAATTGGGGCAGATCTCTGAGCTACCAAGAACATAGCGGTCCCACCTGCCTGAAGGAGAAACATTCTCCTTTATTACCCCTACAAGAAGTTGATGTTTAAGTGGGTGGAGGGATGGGGGTGGGTGGGGACAGGGGCTGTGGGATGAAGAACAACTCACATCTGGGTGGTCAGGCGTTTCTGGTTACCCAGGGATATGGCGCAGGGCGCTGAGCCTTTGTGGTTTGCAGTGAGGCTCATCTGGAGGAGTGGAGGTGGAATGAAGGGAGCCACCGAGGCATGTCTGAACTGGGTGCCGCGTCCAGATTATTAATTCGAGTGGCCTAATAATGCTGGGTGATAAAGTCAGGCCAGTAGATTTGTGGTTGGGGAGGCCCTGTAGTCCCGATGCCCTGTAAAACAAGACCCAGCTGATAGTAATTGCGGTGTGAGAAAGTCCCCTCTCACTTAGTCACATAGACTGGGGACGCTCCTTCCTCCTGTGGGGCTGTGCAGTTCAGAGGTACCGTTTGTCTGAAAATAGGGTCACCCGCGCAGGCAACTTGCACCCCTACAGTTCCATTCTTCCCTGCTCTCTGGCCTACTTCTCCCTCCCTCTTTTCCTTAAAAATATATATATATGTGTATATATAGTTTATTTTTAAGTTAGTTGAGCTAGGTGACCCAAATTTGTTTCTTTGATGCTTTTACCAAGTGCCTACTGTGTGCTGACGCTGGTCTGTGCCGGGCATGTGGTGATGAGCAGGACCCAGATGGTGCCTGCGCTTATGGAGCTTCCGTTTCTGTGGAAGAAAACAGACAGAAACCGAGGAAATAAAGGAGATAATTTCAGATAGTGGTAAGTGCTGCGAGCACCTGAAAGCAGTGCCCTTCTCCGCCACGAGCCTCTATTTATTTATTTATTTTTTCCCTTTTTGGGTCACACCTGGCACTGCTCAGGGGTTACTCCTGGCTCTGCACTCAGGAATTACTTCTGGCTGTGCTCGGGGGACAGTATGGGATGCCAAAGATCAAACCTGGGTGAACTGTGTGCAAGTCAAATGCCCTACCCGCTGTGCTACCACTCCAGCCCCAGGCCTCATTTTTGATCAGATAATCAGGGGACATCCAGACTGGAGCAGGAGGATCCCATCATGCTCTAGGACCATGTGAGAATTTCCATCTTTTCCTTATTTGCACATGAATGGTACTCTTCTGTGCATTATCACATACTGGCAGTGAGGCATGAGATGTGTGTGTGTGTGTGTGTGTGTGTGTGTGTGTGTGTGTGTGTGTGTGTGATCCATGGCCTGTTTGAAGTTTGTGACTTCCTCTTTCTGAAGCAAAGGGGATGTACCTGGATGCTATTGAAGGAAAAAAAGGTGACCATCAGGATCCTTTATTTCCTTAAATTTCTAAGACCTTGAAAACAGAATTCCAGCTCTGGCTTGTTCACCCCCACCTACAGCGCAGGATACTGTGTCCATTGTATGGCAGTCTTGATGGTTCCTATATTGCTCAGTGTATAGGTTGTAATCCATATTAAATTGTTTTAGCAGAAATTGGGTTATTTGGGGCTGGAGCGATAGCACAGTGGGAAGGGCGTTGTCCTTTGCATGTGGCCAATCCGGTTAACCTGAGTTCGATTCCTTCGCCCCTCTTGGAGAGCCTGGCAAGCTACCAAGAGTATCTCGCCCGCATGGCAAAGCCTTGCAAGCTACCCGAGATGTATTCGATGTGCCGAACATAGTAACAAGTCTCACAATGTTATTGGGCCCGCTCGAGCAAATTGGTGTTACTGGGCCCGCTCGAGCAAATTGGGAAGACAATGACAGTGGCAGTGACAGTCAATTTCTGTAAATATTGGTCCTCGAGGGGGAAGTCTGAAATCTGAGGATGGGCGTGTTTATCCTGCAGTGAGGCATTATGATTTGTCTTCTGTCCATTCCGTATGTTTTGCATGGTGACCTCTTTTGCGGGCTAGAGAACCACTGCTTTTTAACTTAAACTCACTTTATATGTATGTCAAGCACAGAACTAATCACATGTAACGGGGTGGTAAAAAGAACCCATTGGTCAGAGTTAGAAAGTTATTTTTCATGATCTAATCAAAGCGTGAATATGCTTTTTGTTTCTCTTATTCATCTGTGCTTATTGAGTCACAGTGAATCACAAAGCTAAAAAGATATTTGTGGTGTATAAATATAAATATTTATGAGTTTCAGGCTTATAATCTTCCAGCACCAGTCCCTTCACCACTGTCCACTACCCTCCACCATTGTCCCCGGTTTCCCTGCTGCCCCCAGCCCACCTCTGTGGCAGACACTTCCCCCTCCCCCATTGCCCTAGAGTTCCCTTCCCTAAGTGATCCCCCACGCCCCTGTATACTTTTTATTCCTAATTGCACAATTTGTTCCTGACCCTAAATGTAGTATGTTAATACCATTAGGGGACTGTCATAATCTGGCTTCTTTCGTTTCTGTATGCCCCACCCACTCATGGTTTCTCTGCCCTCCTTTTTTTTTTTTTTTTGGTAATTCTTTCATTATTTTTAAATCAGGACTTAAAGGAATATTATTTATTAGTGCTTTTTTTCTTCAATTTCATGCTGTTATGATTTTGATGATGTCTCTGGCAATGTTTTCTTGCTTATGTGAAGGAAACGGTCTAAGCTCTGGGAAAACAGGTAGACGAAAGTGAGTGCTTCATGCTAGAGGAAAAGGCAGCTCAGATAGAGAAGAGAGCCCCAAATAAAGGGTGTTGGGAGGATCCTCCCAGGATGGGAGATCCGTGCTGAGAGTGGACTGTGGACCGAACATGATTGCCACTCAGTGCCTCTTTTGCAAACCACAACAGCCGAAAGGAGAGAGAGAGCAAAGGGGAATGCCCTGCCACAGAGGCAGGGTGGGATGGGGGGTGGGAGGGACACTGGGACCCGTGGTGGTGGAAAATGGGCACTGGTGGAGGGATGAGCATTTGATCATTGTATAATTGAAACCCAAGCACAAAAATTTGAAAGTCTACAGCTGTACCTCATGGTGTTTCACTGATAAAAATTAAAAAAATTAAAAAATTTTTAAAAAGTGAGTGCTTTCTAGGTGAATAGACCCTGGGCCTGACCCTCCCAGCTTCCCCGGTGGGTGTGTCCCAGCCACCATCACAGTGCTCCGGAATTGCAAATTTACTGAATTAATATTTTTTTGAGTAATTTGGTGGTTTGAAACAATAAAATAGGGGCCAGAGTGATATAGTATAGCAGGTAAGACACTTTCCTGGCACATGGCTGGCCTGCGTTCAATCCCTGGCTTCCCATATAGTCCCCCAAGCACCACCAGCAGTAGTTCCTGAGTCCAGACCCAGGAGTAACCCCTGAGTATTGCCAGCTGTGGCCCCCAAGTGAAAATAAACATGAAAATAAACATGAAAACCAATCCATTTTCTGTTTTCTCATCCTGACCGCTCTGGCTAGTTGTGACTACGTAGTCGATTGGAACTAATAACCCCGACCTCTGTGATAGAAGAATCTCCCAAGTTATTATCCCCTACCATAGCTTTCTTGGGCCCCAGACGTGTTTCCACTTTAGTCGTGATGTGTTTCTTGAGGCTTCTATTGACAAGTCCTGCTGAGGAGAATATCAGTGCATGCTTGAGACCCAGACTCGAACCCATTGCAGGAGAAAAAGAAGCAGAAGTATACACTATTTTATACTCTACAGGACTTTCTTGCTTTGCAGAAGAGTTCACGGCTGCGTTTGTAGTTCTCCTCTAGACGGACTGCATGTAAGGATTGCTGTACGTGCGATTGTAACACATGATTGTAACACGCTTAACTCTCACGCTCTCCAGGCAGTAAAAGACACCCAAGACACCCCACCGCTGAGGCAGCTGAAGAAATTGCCGGGTTGTCTCAGCACCCTACAAAATTTGCCCAACTATTGCCACCTGTTTTCCTCAGCGCATTAAAGTGACTTTTTCTCTCTCTAGTGTGGTTGTGGAAGATGGAGGAATATGAGAAGTTCTGTGAGGAAAGTCTTGCCAGAATCCAAGAGGCACCTTTGTCTGAAGACAACTTTCTGCATCCCGGGTCTGACAGCATTTCACTTATCCGCTTCCATGGAGTTGCTGTGCTTTCTCCCCTGGTAAAGGCTGATTTCAAATGATCTTTTTTTTTTTTTTTTTTTTTTTTTTTTTTTGTAAAATAGCAAACAGGGAGTTGGAGTGATAGCACAGCGGGTAGGGCGTTTGCCGTGCACGCGGCTGACCCGGTTTCGATTCCCAGCACCCCATATGGTCCCCTGAGCACCGCCAGGGGTAATTCCTGAGTGCAGAGCCAGAAGTAACCCCTGTGCATTGCCAGATGTGACCCAAAAAGAAAAAAAAAAGAATAGCAAACAGCGAGATAGTACAGCAGGGAAGGTGTCTGCCTTACACACAGCTGAGTTGGGTTCAATCCCCAGCCTCCCATATGGTCACCTGAGTTCAGGGCCAGGAGTCAGCCCTTACCACAGCCAGGTGTGACCCAAAACCCAAGAAGAGAAACTAAATAAATAAGTAAAACAATGAACCTTTGGGACCAGAGAGATAGTACAGTTGGGGAAGGTGCTTACCTTGCTTGTAGCTGGCCCAAGTTTGATGTTGACACTGCATAGGGTTCCCGGGCTCTGCCAGGAGTGAGTTGTGAGTTCAGCTGGGTGTGGCTCACACACACACACACAGATTAAAATAGAGCACCACTAAGTGGTCCACAGAAAAGCAGAAGAAAAGTTTTATCAGCAGTGGAAAGATGCCTAATCTTTATTTGTAATGAAAAGAATAGAAATGAATTAGCAGTTTTTCCGTACTGGATTGGTAAAGACATGATTGGTAAAGGACCTGATTTCCTTCGGTTTGCGGGGAAAGGTGCTGAGCAGTGCACTTTGGCCGTGACAATCAGTTGATTTTTGTGTGTGAATAATTTGGTTGTGGTCAGCGGATTTCAAAAGGAACCTTCTAACCCAGCAGTTCTGTTCTGGGTACTATCCTATAATCATACTTGTTTGTGTCCCCAAAGAAGTATGGATTGAGGCTCTTAGTGGCATTGCTTAAAGTAGCAAAAGTAGCGGCTGGAGCGCTTTCAGCAGGCAGGGCACTTGCCTTGCATGCCTGGCACCCCTTGTCATCTCCCGAGCCCACCAGAGCCAGGAGTAAGCCTGGAGCACCGCTGAGTATGACTCAAACACCAAAAATAAAATAACTAACGTAAATTAGCAACCTTCATGTACATCAGTGGTGGGCTAGTTTAATTGCGATCCATTTTGAAGATTCCATCATGTCACTAAAGTTTGAGGACAGTCCATTGAAATATGCAGCACAGCCTACTCCAAATTGCGTCACAGAGCTCCCCTCGGAGCCAGGGTGAGGGGGTGGGGAATGGCTCTGCTCTCGGGCTTTCTGGCCTGACTTCAGATCTCTGCACTGCCACTCACTTGCTGTGCAAACTGGCAAGCCCATTTTCTTCATTAAGTCAGGGTACAAATAGTGCCTTCCAGCCTGAGGGAGAGAGCCCAGTGGGCTGAGGGCAGGTTTGCATGTGGGAGCTCAGACTTTAATCCTTGGCACCACGTGGGCCACTGAGCACTGCGGGGAGCACTCCCAAGCACTGAACCAGGGAGTCCTCCTGAGCACTGCTTGTACACCCTGCCTCCTCCCCATATAGCGTGTGCCTTGTGGAAGAGGCCACTGGGGGTGAAGAGGGAGCCTCCCTTGCAGTGCTGAAGGAACTCTGGGAGCTGCTCCCAGTGCTCCTTGGTGGTGGTTCAGTGTCAGGCAGCGGGATGCAGGGCTCCTGGCACCCCAAAGTGCCATTCCTGAGCTGCTCGAGGTCCTCTAGGACCACACACAGTGATGCGCAAGAGGCGACCTGGCACTGGAGCACTTAACCAGCCTGGCACAGGTGCTCCAACCACTGTACTATCTCCCTGTCCCCTTGAGGATATTTTGTTTTTGTTTTTTTGGTCACAGCCGCGATGCTCAGGGGTTACTCCTGACCCTGCACTCAGGAATCACTCCTGGCAGGGCGGGGGGTCCATATGGGATACGGGGGATTAGAACCCAGCCGGCCTTGTGCAAGGCAAATGCCCTATCTACTGCACGATCGCTCCCGCGTCCCCCGTCTCCCCGGCAACCCCCTTGAGGATTAGGTGGACGAACACAAGCGGAATGCTCGGCTCGCTGTCTGCCTCATCAGAGATGCGCAGACTACATCAGCTGTTTCCAACAGAGTCTTTCTTTCCAGTCAGAACGTTGATACTGAAAGCGAGTTTTGAGTCTGATATTTTTATGCAGCAGTTGAAATGGTAAGATTTTCTCCCAAGCTTTTATAAAATTTCTGAACATACAGAGAATTGAAAGGTGTTTTCAATCGGTGGTTGCCCGGGTCTGTCATTTAGAATCAGCAGTTTTGAACGCTTCGGCCATCTTTGCTTTCTCCACTTTGTGGTTTTGTGTACGTGATGACATGCTCCCTGTTGTTTTGAATGCTGTAGCACTGTCCTCCTGTTGTTCATCGATTTGCTCGAGCGGGCCCAGTAACATTGTGAGACTTGTTGTTACTGTGTTTGGCATATCGAATACATCACGGGGAGCTTGCCAAGCTTTGCCGAGATACTCTTGGTAGCTTGCCGGGCTCTCTGAGAGGGGTGGAGGAATCGAACTCAGGTCGGCCAGGTCAGCCATGTGCAAGGCAAATGCCCTGCGTGCTGTGCTATCGCTTCAGCCCATTTTTTAATGCTGATTTGTGAAAATTGCGGATCTGTAATACTTTCCTAAATATCTCGCACAAATTTTTGTTTTGTGTGTTTTGGGACATGCCTGGCAATGCTCAGGGGTTACTCCTGCCTCTGCTCAGGAAATATTCCTGGTGGTGCTTGAGGGACCGTTTGGGATGCCAGGGACGGAACCTGGGTCTGGCTGCATGCAAGGCAAAGGCCCTGCCCACTCTACTATCTCCCCAGCCCCCTAAATCAATATTTTGGTATTCATATTCTAATAATCAGGTTAGTCTACATAAAACCCCAAATAATCACTATCACACCTTGAGAAAATTACTATTTTAAATAGCATCTGAGAGCTTTACCTATTCAAATCCAGCCATTTGTGTTCAAAATGTCTCTCTTAACTATATTTTTCCCAATCCAGATTAAGTCAACATTTACAATAACCTTTGCTTATTCTAAAAATATTTTAGCACTGTAGCACTGTTCATCGATTTGCTCGAGCGGGCGCCAGCTATGTCTCAAAACAAATTGTGAGACGACTTGTTACTGTTTTTGGCATATCAAATATGCCACGGAGAGCTTGCCAGGCTCTGCCACGAGGGCAGAATACTCTTGGTAGCTTGCTGGGCTCTCTGAGAGGGACAGAGGGATCGAACCCAGGTCAGCCACGTGCAAGGCAAATGCCCTACCCACTTTTGGTGCCACACCTGGAGGTATTCGGGGCTTACTCTTGGCGCCAGGCTCAGTGGTCACTCCTGGTGGGGTGGGGGACGGTTTTGAGTTGCTGAGGATCAAACCTGGTCAGTCCGTGTGCAAGGCAAATGTCCTACCCACTGTACTATCTCTCTGGCCCCTCGACACCAAATGTTTTCATCTGTCCCTCAGCCTCTTCAAATGTTTTCTTCATGATAATGAATTTAAGAGACCACATCTGGGGCCGAGCAATAGTACAGCAGGGAGGGCGTTTACCTTGCACATGGCTGCCCCAGATTCGATTCCCAGCATCCCATATGGTCCCCGGAGCACCACCAGGAGTAAATTCCTAAGTGCAGAGCCAGGAGTAACCCCTGTGCATCGCCAGGTGTGACCCAAAAAGCAAAAAAAAAAAAAAAAAATTAAAAAAAAAAGAGACCACATCTGTTATTTTAAAGGATATATCAACTTGTTTTCTCCCTTGTCCTATTTAACTTGTCCTCTAGTTCTTGTTGTTCCCATAAACTGGAACGAAAAATCTGACAGTTTGGGGCTGGAGTGATAGTACCATGGATAGGGGTGTTTGCCTTGCATGCGGCCGACCTGGGTCGATCCCTAGCATCCCGTATGGTCCCCCGTGCATTGCCAGGAGCAATTCCTGAGTGCAGAGCCAGGAGTAACACCTGTGCATCGCCAGGTGTGACCCAAAAAGCAAAAAAAAAATTTTTTTTGACAGTTTGATTAGACTAAGAGTCAGCATTTCGGGAAAGAACTTTTTAGAGATGATGCCACATTCCAAAATCAAATTAATAACTAATGTTCAGTTGTCCTTCTGCTAATGATGTTTAGGCTTTGCTATTCTGGGACTCACAGCTGACTGACTCTTTGAAGATTTTTCCTATTTGGATTGGTCAGGAAGTCAGAATGATTCTAGGGTGTCATGCAAATAAGGAGAAGTTCGAAAATATTTTCATCAGCTCCTTGGTACCATATTGTGAGTAGTTTAGTGTGAACCAAAATCTCTGACTATGAGTCAAAGCTGATTGTGGACCTTGAGCATTTTGACCTTGTATTTGGAAAATGCATAAAGCAAGATTGGAATCTTTTCTTGTATGATGTTTTCCACTTGTGTGAGTCTGAAATAAATCTCGACTTCTTGACATGGTGACTAAACTTTCCAGGACTCAATAATTAAGATTGAATCCATTATAAACAGATAAGATGCATAGAAGCCTTTAATTTTGACATCGTAATACTTTTTTTTTATTGGAGGGTGCAATGAAGTGGAACAAATTATGCATTGTGATTTTGTAGGCAAATAACACACTGTCAGTTTCTCTTACCATGAGACATTCGGGCATTTTCTTGAGACATTAAAAAAGTAAAGTGTATATTTAATAAATGATGAAAAGTTGGAGAACCGCTGCCCAAGTGAAGGAAGGAAGACGTTGCCAAATGAAGTTTATCAGTGGCCGGGGCATGTGTGTGGTGGCAGGGCTAATTTCATCTCTAGTTTCAGGACATTTGATGAATGATTCAGAGTGTTTACTTGTTTTGTTATCAGGGGCCCGGGAATTGAACCCAGGGCAAGTCCAGCACTGCTGAACTGCCGGCCTCTTAAAACAAAAGCAGAGCCAAAATCGTCTCAACGTAGAACCGGTAGAATGCACAGGTCTTTCATTGTTGTCATTTGGGTGCCACTGCTGGCAGTGCTCAGGGCTTCTTCCTCCGGCTCTGTGCTCAGGGGTCAGTCCTGGTGGTGCTTGGGGGTCGAAATATGGCGCTGGGGTTGAACCGGGGTTGAACCCGGGTTGACTGCGTGCAAGGCAAGCGCCTTCCCCCGGTGCCGTCTCCAAGCCTGATGCGCGTCGCTCTTAAGTGCTGAAGTGCCACAACTGTTGCAGCCCACACACACTCGTCTCGTCCCTAGGCACCCGAACGCTCCCATCAGCACAGAGTGATGGGGCGTCTCCCCCCCCCCACGCATCACCACTGCCCATCACTCCCGGGTCTCACACTCCACATAGGTTTTTGCCTTTTGGGCACGTTTTTTCCGTCCTTCTGACTCATAGCTTCCTGTGTTTCGTGACAGCCCTGGGGCTGTGCATAGTAATCCCCTCTGTGCTACTTTGCAGCTCAGTCTTGAGAAAAGGAAGGAGATGCAACAGGAAAAGCAGAAAGCACTCGACGTAGAAGCAAGAAAGCAGGTTAATCGGAAGAAAGTTTTACTGACGCGAGTCCAGGAGATTATTGAAAATGTTCAGGTGTGTATGCTAAGCTTTTTAAAACTATAATGAAGAACTTACATGGTGATTTCCAAAGGAAAAGTGGTGTTGGCGGCGTGGGCTATGAAGAGAAAGCGGATCCGTGTCTAATAGAAACTGAAGATAGATACTGGTGACCATTTCTCAAAAATCTATTACTAATTACCAATATGCTTTACTGAGTGTTTGAGATGCTTACTCCTGGCTTCCGAGGAGTATAATTTGAAATACTCCGTTTCAGTTAGTCTATGGAAAATTCACTAACTTGTTACTGCTTAAATCAGAGGGTTCTTAGACACTGGAGCCCAATACTGAATATACTTGTGTATTGTCTTTGTCTTATGACTCTTAGAACATTGAATTTTCAGTGACACAGTGGTAGAATTGACCATTGTGCTTTGTCCCTGAGCTAATTACACTGTTGATTCAACTTATTCTCAGTCTCTGCATGTAAATAACTGCCCTCATTTATTTTTCTGATGAAAATTCTACTCTTAGGTACACAAATGCAACTCAGATTTATTTAGTTTAAGTTAATAAAGACAATTTCTTTTTAACATCTGGATCATTTCCCTTGAAAGAGAAATTAGGGCATGGAGCAGTAGTACAGCAGGGAGGACACTTGCTTGGTGTGGCTGACCGGGTCCAATCCCCCGCATCCCTATAGTCCCCTGAGCACTGCCTGGAGTGATTCCTGAATGCAGAGCCAGGAGTCACCCCTGAGCATCGCTGGGTGTGGCCCAAAAATCAAACAACAAAATTAATGGGCTGGAGACAGTACAGCTGGTAAGGTGCTTGTATTGCCTATGGCCGACCCTGGCTTGACCCCAGCATCCTGTATGATTCCCCAAGTGATCCCTGAGCAGATCCGGGGTAAGCCCCGAGCTCTGCTGGGTGTGGCCTCAAAACCAAAGAGAAAAAAAAGAATGAATTGCAGCAAATGAATCTGTCAAATCCAGCACTGCTTTGCTGGTGACATCTTTTGATCTTACTCTTTGTGTAATTCATACGAGACCACACGTGTGTACTGAAATTAAAGCTCTTTCCCCTGGTTGCTGCCTTCTTTCTCTTTGAGCGATAGATTTTAATTTGCAGATTTTAATTCCTGCCCATGTTAAGTTTAAAGGTAGAATATGTAGCCCTTTAACAGTAAGAGTAGGTTTATGACTCCTGCGTATTTACTGGTGTTGAAATGCCAGTGGCTTTTCATTCTTGGTTCGCTGAAGGAGTATATCAAGTGTACTGCTGCTGAAATATTAAGTATGAAAATATCCCCTTTGAAAAGCATGTGTGCCCTATTGTCCTGTGGAATTAGGATTAATGATGGAGCTAGAGAAATTTTATGTATTGCAGTCAGATTTCTCTGTTGTTTCCCTTGTAACCCAAGACTTAGCTGTAGATCTTTGTTGCTGTGCTTATTTACCTGTCTAAACAAGGATTCGTTTAACTGGGGTCCAAAAAATGTAGCGAGTTAAAAATTTCAAGTATAAAATATTTTAAAGAAATCACATGCTTTGCTTTAACCCACAAAATGCTCCTGGGCTTTGTGAGTATGACATCATGTTCGTTATTTTGGTCCTGAGGTTGTGAGCAAGAGCATCTGGCTGTACTGTTTATTGTTTTGTGCCTGGAAACCATCTCCTGTCTTGGGATTTGTGAGGTAAAACAGAAGTGCCATCTGGTCTAGGGGAAAAAACAAAACAAAAACACACAAAACAACCTAAAAGTACTCAGAGCTGGGATCCTAGGATTTATTTTCATATAGTAACATGATATTGGCTGCTACCAGTTTAACATATGCTTCTGTAATCTTTGCAAACCGTTCAAGTGTACTTGTTTTTTTTTCTTTTTGGGTCACACCTGGCGGTGCACAAGGGTTACTCCTGGCTCTGCACTCGGGAATTCCTCCTGGTGGTGCTCAGGGGACCATATGGGATGCTGGGGATCGAACCTGGGTCGACCATGTGCAAGGCAAACATCCTCCCCACTGTGCTATCGATCCAGCCCCCAAGTGTACTTTTTATTCTTTTGAAAAGTTGAATTGCTTCAACACAAGAAGTAATTTTATTTTTCCCTATTGGTTCTCTGACTCACATGGTTTTTCTTATGTTAATTCATCAAATATTTGTATTTTACTTTTTCTAAAACTCATTAAATAGGGTGCTGTCCTCAAGGAATTGAACTGAAAATTGCTTTAATAATAAGATTCGTAAGCAGTTACACTATCTGGCTCAGTTATCCTTTACGACCAGTTATCTCAGAGAGAGATTTTAGTTAACATATGGGAAACAAGTCGTACTGATACGGAATTTGTTAAAGGGAATCATTAATGAAAGAAATTTAACAACTTCTTTTCACATACATTGATCCCCTAAGATGACAGCTCTCATTGGTGGAATAGTCGGTCAGTTATCACAAGTACAAAAAATGTTAAGACAAATGCTTCTATTCTAAAAGTAGGTTATACATGGAGATCTGGGGAGATTTAGGGAGATCTAGGTGTGTATACAAATATATGCTTATATTTGTCTCAGTTTTGATAGTTAATTAAAAAAAACTTATAAATAGACTGGAAAGGTCAGATCGTGTTTCTGTCAGTAATTTGAACTCCATATGACACAGAATCCCATAGGAAATAGAACTTAGTTTTTGTGTTTACAGATTAATCAGCTCTCTGAACCTTGGTTCTATTTTAGAGAACAATGACATTTAAAGTCTTCTTTAAAAAACAAACAAAAAAATATTTCCCTCTTGTAGGTTAGAAAAGCACCCAGCGTCTCCGCTTTTGAGCTGTGGGAGACGGGAACTGTTTACTCTCATCCCGACTCGAAGAGCTTGGACCTGGCCCCCGCATTTCCAAGCCTCCTGCCAAGCCCCATCGAACGCTCCACACTAGCAGAGCTCGAGAGGACAGCTGGAGCTTTGCCAGCGAATCATGAGGCCCCATCAGAGGTGAACGGGGTAGACGGAGCCACAGAGGCAGAAGCATTGGAGCCCCTCAGGCCATGTGAAAGGTCAGACGCCGGCCGCCCCGAAAGTGAAGTGCCGCCAACAGCCTCCCCAGCTGCCTCACTGGAGACGCTGATTTCGGAAAATTCCTGCCCAGCCAGGGGAGACCAGGACCTGTCCCCCGGGGGCGAGGCCGTGCCCGACCCCTATGTCCTGAGTCTGCAGAACCTGATGAAGAAGTCCAGGGAGTACATCGAACAGTCCCGACGCAGCCTGAGTAGCGGAGGCAGGAGGAGTGGCCACGAGAGTCACTCAGACAAGGAGAACAACGAGACTGTGAGAGTGACCGCGAGGGTGGTGGAGAAGGCCCAGCCAACGGGCAGGCACTGTGGCCCCCTCATCCCCGACAAACCAAGCCTTGACAAGTCCAATGTTCTCCTCCAGGGGGTTTCTGCGTCGGTCAGCAGCCTGAGGGGAGCTGGCTGGGGCGACCTGTCCACCGTGGTCCTGCCGATGGTCCCCACTGCTGGCGTGGACCCTCACACTGATGGTCAAGGCCTCCCCATGTTTGTCCCCGAGAATAATGTCATCAGAAGCCTCACAAGTTCCTATGCCAAATTACCTAGTCCAGAGCCCAGCCTGAGCCCCCAAATGCACCGAAGGCGCTCCCGGCCACCCTCGGCGTGTCACATCCTCATCAATAACCCCATCAACGCCTGTGACCTCAGCCCCAAAGGAAAGGACCCCGCCATGGGCGCCGGGCCGGGAACACCTGGCCCCGACCCTGTGCCAAAGTTCCTCTTCGATGTCACAGGAGTTGTTGGTCCCGGCCAGGTTCACGGCGGCACTCACATTCCCGAAGCCATCGAGGAAATAGTGGCGGGGAAGATGAACCAGGCGTGTCCGCCTCCAGAAAGTCTGCCGGAAGATGAGCCCCTGCGTGAGCTCGCCCTCACAGAAGGTCAGTCCGCAGTAGACGGGAGAGGCCCCCACCGGAGGGACAGTGCTGGCCCTGCCGTGCCAGGGACGCCCGAGCCGGTGGGCACCGTTGGCCCGAGTGCCCCAAGTCCGAACATGGCAGCTGCAAGTGGTCTCAGGCCGGCTGACACCTTGGAGAACAACGCAAGCTCCTCGCAGACGGAGCTGAACAAGTCTTACGACGTGAAGAACCCCTCTCCTCTACTGCTGCAGAGCCAGAGTGCCAGGCAGCCCGGGGAGTCCTCCGCGGCGCCCGCGGGGAAGGACCAGGTTGGGGATCCCAGTTTGGAGAAAGTGAAACGGAGGCTTGATCTAGACGCCGACAGTGTGCAGAAGGAGAACTGCCCGTACATCCCGACCGGGGGAATCAGTGACCCGGAAAGGCCACAGTTGTCAGAAAAGCGATTCTCCAAGGGCTTGGGCTGCCTGCACAGGAGTAAAATCCTCGAAAGTGCTTCCAAAGGTAAGGCTGCCACGGTTTGTTTGCGTCCTGTTCATACTTGATACAACTCAAGAACCTTGTTTGCTTCTGGGGCAGAGGTTCTGGCGGCTCGAAAGTCGCTTTAATCCCTCCATGGTTTCAATCCCTTATGTTCCCAGAGGACGCCTTCAGTTCCATGCTCTTAATTGCCATTTTGCAACAGCAACAACAAAAACACAAAAACACCGACAGTCGTGTCCTGAGAACAGTTGAGGACTGAATTTCATTTCAGAGTGTGGTCAGCACAAGTTGATTGCCTTGTGACAGGCTTTCGCTTTGGGAGATGGGTGTGGGCAGTGCCCAGAGGGTTGGGTGGATCATGCCTGGGATGAGTGGGGGATGGAGTCAGGGCTCCAAGGTGGAGAGCTGCCCTTTAGTCCTTTGCCCCCTTACCCTGACCCTCTAGGCAGGCAAGCTTTTTTTGGTGTTTTGGAGGTGGGGAGTGTGGGGGGGGGGGCGGCCCACACCAAGTGAGACCCGGGGCTTACTCTTGGCACTATGCTCGGGATCATTTCTGGCAGTGCTGGGGGCCCCTGTTGGGTGCTGGGGATGGATCAAGAGAGCGCCTTCATCCCTGTATTCTCTCTCTGGGCCCCTGGGCAAGTTTTTCTGTCAGTTGTGACATTTGACACAAGTTCTCACATGGAAGCCACACAGTTTCAACCCCCTGTATTCCGTGGCCCAGAGTGTCTTGGGGAACTTTTCCCTCCCAGTTTGCCTGTTGATTGACAGTGAGAGACGCACGTAGGTTTTTCTGAGAGAAACTCGGCTTCTCAGGGAAAAGCACCACCGAAAGGCTCTGCCAGCGATGCTCCGAGGCTCTGGCGCCCGGGTCCAGAGCGGTCCTGGCCCGGTGGCGTCCGTTTTCTGACATCTGCCCACACTGGGGGGGCCCACGTCCTTCCTTGCAGAGGGCGAGGAGATACTCCGAAGCAAGATGCTGGCCTTCGAGGAGATGCGCAAGAGGCTGGAGGAGCAGCACGCCCAGCAGCTGTCCCTGCTGATAGCCGAGCAGGAGCGGGAGCAGGAGCGGCTGCAAAAGGTGAGGGCGCGGGGGGAGACTGCAAAAGGTGTGGGGTGGGGGGTCGAGGGGGGCACGGGGAGGGCTTCATGCGCCATTCTGGCCCCTGGAGACTTGCGGGCTCCTCCCTGGCTCTCTTCAGAGGACTCCTTGCTCTGGGTACTCCAGGACTATTTCTTTGGCTTTTTTTGGGGGGTCACACCCAGCGATGCTCAGGGGTTCCTCCTGGCTCTGCACTCAGGAATCACTCCTGGCGGTGCTTGGGGAACCATATAGGATGCTGGGAATCGAACCCGGGTTCGCCGCGTGCAAGGTAAACGCCCTCCCCACTGTACTATCGCTCCAGCCCCTCCAGGACCATTTTTATTCCTAAGATTGAGGTGAGGTTTCAGGGCCAGAATGTTGTACAGCAGGTAGGGTGCTTGCCTTGCATGTGGCCGACCAGGGTTCCATCCCCGCCACCAGGAGTCCCACCAGGAGTGATCCCTGAGTGCAGAGCCGGGACCAGCCCTGAACACTGCTGGGTATGGCCAAACCACAGTCCCCCTCCCACCAATAAATAAATAAATAAATAAATAAATAAAAGATGGGGTAATGTTTAATGTCCTGAACTAAAAATAAAGGCGTCATCTACCTAAAGGCCACTCTGTTGGATTCTCGGTTCAAAATCCGTTTGAAGAGGTATTTAATATTTTTTGTGTTTCAATTCACCCAGTCAGGCTCAGGAGTTAAACCTGACTCTGCACTCAGGAATTAACTCTGGGTGGTGCTCAGGGGACCCTGTAGGGGTGCCGGGGACCCAGCCTGAGTTGGCCATGTGCACGGCAAGTGTCCTCCCACTCTCCTAAGAGGCTGCACTTGCATCCTGCCAGCTGGCATCATAAGGGCAAGTACATTTATTTTGTTGTTCTTTTTCTGGGGCAACACCCGGCAGTGCTCGGGGGCCATTCCTGGCTCGTGCTCAGGGGTGATGGATCCTGGCAGTGCTTGGGGGACCATATGTGGTGCAGGGGATCTCCCCAGGGTCTGTGCTAAAGTAGCCGCTTGCAAGGCCAGTGCCTCACGCTCAGGCCCAAGGACATTTGTTTTAAGACTAATCTAGTTGGGCTGGAGGGTATTTTTGCCTTGCACGCAGCTGACCCAAGTTCAATCCCCGCTTTCCATATGGTCCCCCAAGGACCACCAGGTCCTGAGTGCAGAGCCAGGAGTAACTACTGAGCATTGCTGGGTGTGACCCAAGAAGAAAAAAAAAAAAAGACCGTTCTAGTTATCACGTCACATTTCAAAAAAAGCAAATCATGTGTCATTTTCATTTGTGGGAGGAAAGCAGTGAAATAAAGAACAATGGGCATGCTTTTTTTTGTTTTTTGTTTTGTTTTTCTTTTTGGGTCACACCTGATGATGCTCAGGGGTTCCTCCTGGCTCCTGAATCACTCCTGGCACTGCTTGGGTTACCCTCTGGGCCCGCTTTTAGCGTTGTCTGAAATCCAAAGGAGTCCGCACATTCTAACAACCTTGGTCGATCTGCAGGAAATCCAAGAGCAGGAGAAACTGTTGAAGGAGAAGAAAATGATTCTAGCAGAGGCTTCAGAGCTGGCGGTGGGGAAGGCCGCGGACTCTGAGTGGAAGAAGATGAGCGACGCGGGGCTGCTGGAAGCCGTGCTGGCCCAGGCGGACCCCCGCCGCCCCCGCAGCCCCGGCAGCTCTGGCAAGTACTTCCCGGCCTTTTGCAAAGACCTCCCTGGAGTAGGACATATGTTTGGTACACCTGGTACTCCTCGCTCCTGCCTTCCAGTGATCCCCCATCCTGCCCACAGCTGGTGGCCAGCTGCTTAGTAACCTGCGTGCAGTGAAGCCCGAGCAGATCAAAGGCCCCTGAGCAGGTGTGCTCGAGCAGGAAGGGTGACCCTGGGGGGCCCCTTCTTTGTTCATTCATGCAGCAGGTGGTGGCTTTTAGTCAAGCCTGTTTGCTCTCTCCCTGGTGAGCTTGAGTTACACCTAATTCCACCCCATGCCCCCCACTGAGAGCTGAGCTTCAGGCCTTCAGTTGTCCCTGGGGACCCCTGGATGACACCCCCCCCCCCCCCCCCCCCCCCCGCCGTTTCTGTTGAGAGGCCCCAGCTGGGGCATCAGGCCCGGTACCATTTGAAGGGGCAGGCGCATCTGAGTTTGAGGCAGTGGCCGTGTTTCCTGAGTCCCGAGGCTGGAGGGGTGTGGGGTGTGGGTTTCTACGGTAGGGACTGTGGGCAGGGGGCCGTGCACCTGACGCGGGTTTCCTCCAGGTTTCACCCACACTGGCCTCCAGCACGGCTCTGTCTCTGCCACCGACGCACCTTTCTACCTCTGGGGGCCGGCGGCCAGCGGCTTGGCCAAACTCTCCGCCCCGCGGCCCGCAGGAAGGGCCAAAGCGAAATGGTCTCAGGTGGGTGAACTCTGTGATGTGTGTGTGCCTGTGTGTGAGTGTGTGTCTGTGTATTTCGTCAGGAGGCCTGTTCTCTTATGCTGTGTGAAGGACAGATTCTTTGGCTGTACGCCAAGGGGCTCCGCTTTTCTTAGAGAAAAAACTGCAGAGGGCTGATTTCCTCTGCTGGGGGTTTGGCCACAGTTCAGCCTGACAAGGACTCTTGGCTCTCTCCCCTCTGGGGTAGCCTGTGTTCCCAAGGCGTAACACACACACCTTCCCTTTGTGTGTGTCTCTCTGTCTCTGTCTCTCTATCTCTCTGCCTCTCTCCCCCCACACACACACCTCCCTTTGTGTCTGTCTCTCCCTCCCTGTCTCTCCTCCCTCTCTCTCCTCTCTCCTTCTCTCCCTCTCTCCCCCACTCCACTCCCACTAGCTCTTTTTCTCTAAATAAAACTTTGTTACTTAATAAACTACACACGAAGCACCTGTGTAGAATTCTGCTCATCTTCATGGGTTCAGCAGAATCACTCTAGACTGCAGTGCTTACAACATGGTATCTGGCTGATTTTCCCTAGGTCTTCAGTGCAGAAGTACAAGTGAAATTTGACAAAATAACCGCAGTGGCAAGAGGGTTTCTTACTCGGAGGCTTATGCAGACGGATAAGCTGAAGCAGCTCCGGCAGACCGTGAAAGTGAGCCGCGCGTTGGAAATCTTTGGCACTTTGTTTCTGTCTCGGTTTCTCCTAGTCTTATGGCAGCTAAGGTGACAGATGAGTTCAGAACGCAGGCAACGCAAACTTAACTGTAGTACAGATTGTCCTAGTCTGGTTATTAATCATTCAGATCATTTTTAAAAACACCTAGGGGCCGGAACGATAATACAGCTGGCAGGCATTTGCCTTGCACACAGCCGACCCGGGTTCAATCCTCAGCATCCCATAGGGTCCCCCAAGTACCGCCAGGAGTAATTCCTGTGTGCAGAGCCAGGAATAACCCATGAGCATTGTTGGGTGTGACCCAAAAAGCAAAAAAAGAATTAAAAAAAGTAAAAACATCTCATTTGTGGGACAGAAATACATAGTATAGCAGGTAAGGCACTTGCCTTGCACACAGTCGACCCAGGTTCGATCCTCGGCACGCTATAGGGTTCCCTGAGCACCACCAGGTGTGACCCCAGAAAGAAGAAAAATTCTAAGTGTGCAGCCAGAGAGATAGGACAGCGGACAAAGTGCTTTTGCCTTGTGTGTGACTGACCTTGGTTTGATCCCCAGCACCACACTGGGTCTCTGGGCACAGAGGCAGAAGTAAGCCCTGAGCACTGCCGGGTGCGCCCCAAAAACAAAATGTGTGGGCTCGGGAGGAGACTCAGAGTGAGAGAACACAGCCCCAGGCTTCTGTCCCCACACCACATGGCCCGCTGAGCCCCCAAGCTCTGCCAAGAGCGAACCCCAAGCAACTCCTTGTATGGCCCCCAAGTCTGCAAAATAACGTGACATTTGTACCTGTTCGTCTTAGGATTTTGTTTTTATTTTGATGCCACATCTGGCAATGCTCAAGGATTACTTCTGGCTCTGTGCTCAGGAATTACTCCTGCCGGTGCTCCAGAGACCCAGTGGGATGCTGGGGACCGAACCAGGGTCAGCTGCCTGCAAGGCAAACGCCCTACCTGGTGCCCTATTGCTCCAGCCCCTGTCTGGTTTCAAGTGAGCTCTGTTAAGCCAGAGCTTTGTTGGTGTTGGTAGTAATTTTAGATTGAGATAAAGAACAGGGTGACTTTCGTCAGCGAGCATGGCTCATTCTGGAAGAATGTTGTTTGTGGGGCTGGAGCGATAGTACAGCGGGGAGGGCAATTCCCAACATCCCATGTTGTCCTCTGAGCACCTCCAGGAGTAATTCCTCAGTGCATGAGCCAGGAGTAAGCCCTTGTGCATCACTGGGTGTGAACCAAAAAGCAAAATAATAATAATAATAACAATAACAGATAAATGGCGTTTGAGGGACTCTCTCTTCTCCCAGGACACGATGGAATTCATCCGGAGCTTTCAGTCAGAAGCACCCCTGAGGAGAGGCGTTGTTTCGGCCCAGGATGCTTCTCTTCAGGAGAGAGTGTTGGCTCAGGTACGGTGCAGGGCTGCAGGCTTCCCAGAGCTGGGAACACATGACTTCTCTCCCTTGGGAGAAACACTGAACTTAGATCTCGGTGAAAGTGTGAACTTGTTTTGTTTGGGGCGGGGGGGGGGGGGGGTCATACTCGGCAATGCTCAGGGGCTACTCCTGGCTCTGCACTGAAGAATCACTCCAGGAAGTGCTTGGGGGACCATGTGGGAAGCCGGGGATCGAACCCAGCTTCGTGCAAGGCAAATGCCCTCCCCGCAGTACTATTGCTCCGGCCCATTTTGTTTTTTGTTCTTTGTGCCACACCCAGCGATGCTCGGGGCTTAACTCCTGGCTCTGCGCAGAGGAGTCACTCCAGATGGTGCTTGGGGGACCATATGGGATGCCGGGATCAGACCTGGGTTGGCTGCATGCAAGGCAGACACTCTCCTTGCAGTACTGTTGCTCCAGCCCATTTTTGTTTTTGTTTTTTTTTTTTTTTTGGGGGGGAGGGGTTGTGTCACACCCGGCGATGCTCAGGGCTTACTCCTGGCTCTGCACTCAGGAATCGCTCCTGGCGCTGCTCAGGGACTGTATGGGACGCTGGGGATTGAACCTGAGTCAACCACATGCCAGGCAAATGCCCTCTCTGCTGTACTGTGTCTCTGGGCCTGGGCCATTTTCTTGAGACGGAAATGCATGTGGTCTCACTGCCCTCTGTCCTCCCACTCTCGTTCTCTGCCCATTCCAGCTGCGAGCTGCTCTGTATGACATTCACGACATATTCTTCGTGATGGATGCGGCGGAAAGGATGTCCATCCTCCACCATGACCGGGAGGTTCGCAAGGAGAAGATGCTCAGGCAGATGGTATGTGGTTGGTATGTGGTGGGGTGTGGATTGAGGGGCGTGGGAAGGAAGGCCTTTTTCCGATACTCACAAGACACCTGCCACCCAATGGGGTCCCCCCAACCTCTCAGCTGCCTGGTGAGCACGCCAGTTCAGTTGTCACTCTGTCTGCTTGAGACTCCAAGCTGAGGGGGGAACCTCGAGACCTCCCGCCCTGTAGAGGCTCCCCCAGACCAGCTATAAATCCAGGTCCCCATCTCCCCTTTCCCATAGTTTTTCTTTTTGGGTCACACCTGACGATGCTCAGAAGTTACTCCTGGCTCTGCACTCAGGAATCACTCCTGGCAGTGTTTGGGGGACCCTGTGGGTTGCTGGGAATCGAACCCGGGTCAGCCACATGCAAGACAAATGCTCTGTTGCTCCAGCCCCACCTTTCCCACGTTTGATAACTCCCTGGCTTGGCTCCCGGAACTTGGAGCAGCACCTCCGGGGTTTCGCTGCTTGGGGGTGGGGATGCAGGGTGTGGCTGAGCAGCCAGTGGCAGCGGGTGCGGGCTGGAGGGCGCCCAGACGTCAGAAATTCTTTGTTCACGGGTGAGTGTATGACTTTGGTCCAGGATGCCTATACTGCGCAGCACGGACACCCTCTGACCCTGCACGTGACGGGTTTCTGTGGAAGCTCCATCACATGAACACGATGGGTAAGGGGGGGCCGTGTCAGTCATGGTCTAGGGCTGCTCCTGGCTCGGTTTGGGTGAACCTGGTGCCAGGGATCGAATCTAGACCTCCCATGACATTTTTTTAAAATTTTATTTTTATAAAGGTAGTCACAGTAATTTATTGTATTCAGTATTTCAACACCAATCCCACCACCATGACACCTTCCTACCACCACCACCCAAGCCTACACGAAAGGCAGAGGGCTAAATAATTTACATTGTATGACTTGTTATGAATAATCCACTAAAAATGATCAGAAAGGTTTCCTTAGAGGAAAGTGTATGAAAATTGTTGTATCTCACCTTGGAGCCATCGATCCCCTGTATAAGAGACCTCTAGTTCTCTAGTGTTTCTTAACGTTACAGGTTGATCCTTGTGTGCTAATACATATGTGTGTGTGTGTGTGCGTGTGCGTGTGCGTGTGTGTGTATATATATGTATATATATATATATATTATTTTTTTAAATCAAGATCAGTTGCCTTCTACTTTATACTCATACAATGTGGTATGCTACTCTTGGTACATCAGTGGCATAAAGTATGAGATTCGCTCCAGAAATTCTATTATTTTATTTTAAGACTCCCAGACTCTTTATTTTGCGAAGTAGGGTTGGACCAGTTAAAGACAGGACTAGGTGCATGGAAGGGAGATGCTCCGGTCCTATGACCTATTCCCCCCAACACTTTCTTTTTCTTTTTTCTTTTTAATTGTGAAACACCATGAAGTACAGTTGTAGACTTATAGATTTTTGTGCTTGGGTTTCAGTTATACAATGTTCGGGGAGCCTTCCAAAAACTGCCTCCTGAGAACCAAAGAAACTCCTGTCATCTGTGAAGTTCCGTGGGATTAAGAGCTCTGTGTTGGGAACTGAGACCCAAGAGCAGATATTGGAAGGAAAGACACTCCTGGTGTCCCGGCCTCCTTGCCACTCAGGAGATGTGTGACTCAGGAGGGTCTCAGAGTGAGCTCTGGGCCAGAACAGCAGAATCCAAATATTAACAGGAACCCAGGAAACATACATACACCCATACATACATATGTGTACTTATAGTGAGATTCTTTGGTGTTTGGAGTAGTGGATTCTAAATATCCTGTTTCAACTCTAGCAAGTTGGTACAGTTCTTTTCTTTTCTTTCTTTATTTATTTTTGCTTTCTGGGTCACACCCAGCATTGCACAGGGGTTATTCCTGGCTCATGCACTCAGGAATTACTCCTGGCGATGCTTGGAAGACCATGTGGGATGCTGGGAATCGAGCCCAGGTCGGCCGCGTGCAAGGCAAATGCCCTCCCTGCTGTGCTATTGCTCCAGCCCCTATAGTTCTTTCAAATATCCAGATTTAAAGGAAATTAGCAAGAGTATTTACTGTTTTTATTTATTTTCATTTATTTATTGGGCCACACCTGGCTTTGCTCAAGGCTTACTTTTGGCTCAGTGCTCAGGAATTACACCTGAAGGTGTTTGGGGGGCCAGATGGGACACCGGGGCTCAAAACGTGGTCCGGCTGCATGCCAAGCAAGCTCCCTCCCCCACTGTCCTGTGGCCCCCAAAATATTACTGTTTTGTAACTGAGTTTTGTATTTGATGTTTTGCCTGATGTTTGGATGCTGTATAAAAAAACCTCTCAGGACCAGTGGCTGTAGTTCATGCTCTGCATTCCAGAGGCTTCGGTTCAGTTCCTGGCACTGCGTGAGCCCCTGAACACTGAGCTGGGAATGGCAGTGAGCCCAAACACCAAAATGGAGACACAGTTATCAGATGTGCCAGATTGAATTTCTTGAACACCAGCCTGTAGACCACACCCTTTACAGGGGCTGGAGCAACAGTACAGCGGGTAGGGGGGTAGGGGGCTTACCTTGTGCACAACTGACCAGTGTCCCATAGGGTCCCCTAAACCCCGCCAGGAGAGATCCCTGAGCACAGAACCAGAAATAAGCCCTGTGCACCACCAGGGGTGGCCCCCAAACCGAAAAATAGTGGGGAAAACATTACCTTTTCTGGAAGTCAAGAGTTAGAAAATGGGGCTGGAGCAATAGCACAGAGAGTAGGGCATTTGCCTTGCCTGCGGCCGACCCGGGTTCAATTTGCAGCATCGCATAGGGTCCTCTGAGCACCGCCAGGGGTGATTTCTGAGTGTACAGCCAGGAGTAACCCCTGTGCATTGCCGGGTGTGACCCAAAAAAGTTAGAAAATAAACTCTAGATTCATTTCTAATCTGTCAGTGTCACAGGTCTGTGGTTTAAAATGATCTTTAGGAGGCTGGCTAAAGAAAAGCGGGCAGAATCACTCCTATTCCGGTGGCAAAGCAAATGCTTTAGAGAATGGATTATTTCCATTACAGAGATGAAGTGAAAAATCAGGACGCTCGCGAGAGCAGCTCTCTGTGCCCTTGAAGATGATCCTGTCCTCAGGTTCCGCGGTAGTACAGACGCCAAAGCTTCATGTCCCTTTTATTTTTTGTTTCTTAAAGGATAAAATGAAAAGTCCACGGGTGGCTCTTTCAGCTGCAACACAGAAGTCTCTCGATAGGAAGAAGTTCATGAAGTAAGTTTCTTTGTGGGCCACATCGCATTAATTTAATATCAGGCCAACTGCTAATTTTGTTCATGCTTTGGTCTACTTGTAGATCCAAATGAGAAATAAAAGACAATTTAAACTGTTCTGAAACTGAGCTGAGGAAAAGCATTTTTTCAACCTTTCCATCCCTTTACCTGTTTCTCCTTCCCCAGCCACCCCCCTCCCGCCGCTGTGTGTTGTGTGTGTGTGTTTGTGTGTTTCTGAGGTTTGAATTCAGGACCCCGTGCGTGGGAATATGTGCTTTAGCATCCAGCCACGTCCCTTTCCCTGAAATTCTCCCTGACATCAGTCTTCGCCGTTCTCGGGATTTGTGTTCCAGTAGGATAGCAGCTTTGAACAGATCACCCGAGTCTGCCTTCCTAAGCCACACCTGTTTCCCCCTTTCTAAAAACATTGTTCTTATTTTTATATTGCGTCAGAGCTGCTGAGATGGGAATGCCAAGTAAGAAATTTCTGGTTAAACAAAGTCCTTCTGAAGCCAGGTGAGAAACATCGCTTAGCCTCAGAGAGGCTTTTTTTTTTTAAATTTGTAAATACGTTTTTATTTTAAAACCCGAACCTCTTTTCTGTTGATTTTGTTCGTGAGATCAGTGGAGTATTTCTGGTAAGTCAGAGGAAATACTTACAGGGTCCGATCATAGCTACGGCCTAGCCCGTGTCAGACCAGGGAGCATTGCTGTTCCTTTCTGTAGGATGTGCTGACTCTGGCAGAAATTCGACCTCCATCTGGGTGAAGCTATAGTAGAGAGGTTAAAGTGTTGACCTTAAGGTGTGGCTGAGCCTCATTAGTTCCCTAAACACTGCCAGGAATGATCCCTGAGAGAAGAGCCAGTAGGAAGCTCTGAACACCACTGGGTTTGGCCCCCAAACCAAAGGATAACAAAAGCTAGGGCCGCAGTGATAGGACAATGGGGAGGGTGTTTGCCTTGCATCTGGCAGTCCTGGGTTCAATCCCTGACATCCCAGATGGTCCCCAAGCACCTCCAGGAGTAATTCTGAGTGCATAGAGAGAAGTAACCCCTGAGCATCACCAGGCATGGCCCCAAAGACGTTTGAGCTCTGTACTTCCTGAGCTCAGTATACGGTTTCTGAGCCCTTCATTTTTTGAAAACCTTAGCTAGCTCACCCTGCCTGACCCAGCTTCTACTTGTAGAAGGATAAAGTTGCTTCTTAGGTATTTCCCAAAATTGTTGGCCTTTGGAAAGGAAGTCAGTTGTCTGAAGGCACGAGGAGTAAAGCTTAGGTCGGCTATCGCCCGCTAAAATACTGAGGTCTGGGTTCTTGATGAAGGACTGTTTGTTCAGTCGCTTTCATCCAAATGAAGTAGGAAATGAAAGCTCTGCTGTGTGTAATAGGCCCCGTCATTTCATAGGTTTCTCCTGGCATACTATTACTGTCTGTTATCTAATGAGGGAAAATGGGAGGGAAAAAAGGGCTGGAGTCCACCCCTAGAATGAACTTTTCTATTTGCTTCCTTAACAGAGTCCTTCAGCCCAACCAAGGGCAGAACACTCCTGCTAATCGGTTGCTCAGCCGGCAAGGGTAAGACGGCCGCTCTCGGGGACTTGGTATCCGCGGGGGAGTCTTGCTGAAAGGGAAGTGTCACCCGGGTGTTCTTCGGAGACTCTTTTCCAAATTCGATGTGTTCCTAGCTAGAGGAAGCTCTCTGGCGTGCTGGCGGAGCACAGGCCGTGGGCCCGCCGCTGTGTGTTCTGTGTTTGTTCTCACCGTCCGTTGTCACATTCTTTCCATCCCATCCCATCCTGCACATTGAACCATTCTCCGCATCCCTCGAGTAAATCCAGCATCACCAAAGTGATGGCCCATGAAGTCGCCGCCACGGTGACGCTGTGGGGCGGCCAGAGCCCCTAGCCTCCCCTTCCCCCCCCCAAAGCACAGGTGCTCTCTTCGAATGTTGGACGTTGCCGCCTCGAGAACGAGAGACTTATTAACCTTTCTGTGTTCAATCAGAACCCCTAAGACAGCAGTGAAGGGGGGTGTGCCCGCTAGACAGAAGTCTTCACAGAGCAGAGAGCCTAGCAGAGCGCCTGTGTCAGGTGTGTAGCTCCCCCGCACGCAGCCCCTGCGAGTAAAACTGGCACCCCCCACCCCACCCCACCCACCCCGTCCCGCTGTTGGCCTGCCCACCGCTGCTGCGGCATATTCACACTCCTGCCTCCCCGCGAGATCGTGTTGGTCCCATATAGTGGGATTCTGATCCCCAGTCTCGATGGCCGAGAGCATTTGGGGGAAACAGCCTTAAAAACCCCGATCTGGATACAGTGGCGACTGGGCTCGGCTTCGGGCAGAAACCCTGCGTATAAGGGCGGCTAACGTGGGAATGGCAGCGATGCCGACATCCAGGCCTGGGACGCAGATTCGGCCCCGGAAACGTTTGAACCAGCACCTGAGGAAGGGAAAACTTGCCCTGTGACCACAAGCTCATGTGTGAATATGCCAGGGAGCCGCAATCAGCTTCTGTTTCTGGAGCCTTTTGCTCAGGGAGAAACGTAACCGCTAATTCTCCTTTTGTTCCGTATTTGAGGACGCTTTGAGGGCGAAGCGAAAAGCTTTACTTCTGCGTTTCTCTTTCTGGCGGCAAGAAGAGAAATAATGTTGCGTAAATGCAGAACTCTCAAGCTAATGCCTTAATGCTTGATTTAGAAATATTTGAGAGTGACTTCACCAGAATAAGCTCAGATGCTGCCCTTGAACTCTGCTGCATTCTAAACATTCTAAACAATGGATCACAGGGGCGGTTAACGTTTAATCTCTAATCAACTCTAATCTCCCTGTTAATAAGCACTAAAGCCTGACTTAGAGCTTCTGTTACTAAGTGATTTCCTCCAGTTTAGGAGGGGATAAGCAGTCGAAGAAATATGGTCCCATTGTCACCGTTTATTCCTGTCAGCTGAAAGAGCAAACAAGACATTGATCATGCCATTGAAATGCTTGTTTCTCCTTAGCACATGTGTAGAGAACGTAATTCTTAGAGATATTAGGGTGATCTAAAAGGTCATTTGGGAGACTGGAGAGTTGGTGCAGAGGGTAGGGTGCTTGCCTTGCACACGGCTGACCTGGGTTCAATCCATCCCTGGCATGGTATCCCAGATGGTTCTTTGAGGCCTCCGGGAGAGCACCGCTGGGTGGGACCCAAAACAAACAGAGATCCTCTCCGTAGGAACCCTTTTAAAGGGGCTAATTCTCTAGCTGAAACTCCAGCTCATTCCAAGGCTGTCATAATTGGCCAGTGTGGGAGATCCAGTGAGTCAGATCTCTTGATTCAAATCATATGGTGAATCATTTGCTTGTGAGTTGTTGTGAAACTTGAAGACCATTTTCCATTTTTTCTCATTTTCGTGTTACATATATTGTGATCAGACCTCGCTAGCTCACAGGTCATCGAAGAATTAGTGTTGTTCTTGCTAATATTCTTTTTTTGTGTTCTTTTTCCATACATTTTATCTCAACTATTTGTCACTTGTGAACCTAGAAGCAAAATAACAACTACTGTCTCTGTTTAATAATACTCCGCAGTGTAAAGGATGCACAGAAAATCACTGTAGTTGTTAAGGTGCAGGAGCTTCATGACCATCAACCTTTTTTTTTTTTTTGAACTTTTGTGGTTTAATTGCTTTGCAGCATAATTGAAAAATCAAATGCACTTAATCCTGAGAATAATGTGTACAATATGCATCTATAAAAGAAGAGTGAAAGGCCTTTCCTACTTTTCTAAAGTTTATTTATACATGAGTACATTTTGCCACTTGAGAAAAGATTAATGGATTTTGTTCTCTTGCCTCAGGAATAAGTACATTAAAAGCCCAACTGTGACTCTCAAGACCGGGATTGTTACTTGCCCCTAGAAAGGTTGCTTTGGGGGCAGAGTGATAGTTTGGGCAGGAGGGCGTTTGCCTTGCCCACAGCTGACCAGGGTTCGATCCCCAGCACCGCCCTGGGTCCCCTGAGCTCTGCCAGGGCAAGCCCTGGGCATCACCAGGTATAGCCCCCAAACCAAAACCAGCAGAAAGAATACAAAAATCTGCTCTTTCCTGCTTAAATTTTTTTCCTTTCTTTTTTTCTGGGCTCGAGCGGGACAACGGGAGCACAGTGCTACGGTGCTTTTTTGGGCAGTTGGGGGACCTGCTACACTGAGCTTACTCCTGGCTCTTTGCCCAGGCGTCACATCTGGGTGCTCGGGGACCCCAGGTGTGATGTGGAGTGCCAGGGATGAAACCCAGGTTGGCTGCGAGCAAGGCAAATGCCCTACCCACTGTACTATGTCTCTGGCCCCCCTGCTTGGAAAGTTTTTTGGGGTCACTCCTGGCATGCTCAGGGAACCCTGCGAGGTGCCGGGGATTGAACCCAGGTGTGCTGCCTGCAAAGCAAACGCCCTCTCCGCTGCACTGTCCCTCCGGCCCCTCCCCTGCTTAGATTTTTTAAAGGCCTAAGTTGTTTCAAACAGTTTGAATTATGCCTTGATTTGATCTACAGGGAGGAAACTATTCATTAAACCCTTTATAGAGAACTCTGTATTACGATAGAATACCATACTCTACGACCAGAGAAGAAGTCTAAGGTGTTAACATTTTTAAAAGTGCTTAAAAGTTGTTGATAGGGTTTTTTTTTTTTGGGGGGGGGTCACACCTGGCGATGTACAGGGGTTACTCTGGCTTATGCATTCAGGAATTACTCCTGGCGATGCTCGGGGGACTCTATGGGATGCTGGGAATCAAACCCAGGTCAGCTGCATGCAGGGCAAACACCTGACCTGCTGTACTGTCGGTCCAGCCCCTGTTGATGGTTTTTACAAAGGACATGTCGTCTGATCTCAACATTTGAAAATGTATTTTATAATTTGATAGTTTGCGCTTGACTCTAGTTCATGGCAAAATTCAGAAGACACTAATTAAAGTAGGAGGTAGCAGTGAGAGGATTAAGTAGAGGGGGCAGGGCCGGGAAGCATCAGCCTCGGTCTTTCCACTTCCTGTTCCACTTACTACAGGCACCGCCCCTTGCCTCTGTTTCATTTTATTATGTTTTAAAATAGTGCTATGATTGGGACCGGAGCGGTAGGAGAGCGGGGAGAGCGTTTGCCATGCATGCAGCCAACTCAGGTTCAATCCCAGCGTCCCATATGGTCCCCTGAGCACCACCAGGAGTAATTCCCGAGTGTAGAGCCAGGGTAACTAACCCCTGAGCGTTCTCAGGTGTGACCCAAAAAATCTCCATTCCACAAAAAAGAAATTAAACCGTGCTATGCTTGTAACATCAGATTGTTTTATATAAGAATGAAATGCTCAGTTTAATGTCAGTTTCCATTGTAAGTGCTTATAAAATGGCATCATTATAGGAAAATGAAGATTGCAAAATAAACAGTAATTTTGCTCTGTTTTTAGGAGTATATGCAGGAAAAATCCAAAGAAAGCGGCCAAATGTTGCGACAATTTAAGAAGACAACATTCACTGGGATAAAAAAAAAAGGAAAGAAAAGAAAAGAAACAGTGGGGGAGGGTCCGCAGGCTTCTGCTCTCTGCCTGAGACTGGTTTCTTTCCGGACTTTGTTTACACGGGCACAGTAATGTCAAAGGGCTGGACAGTGGGTCAGTCTGGCTAATCCTGGCCCCGCGTGTGCTCCTCCTCTTAATACTGGGTTGGGAAGAAGACCCATTTGTGTTTAGTGATTGGCTCATCTCTGTGCTCAACCTGTATGAACATCAGTTTGTTTTCCACACGCGGGTGTTTGCAGGGAACCTTTTGTACACTTAAGAGACATTTGGGTTTATTTCTGTGAAATACTGGAAAGGTGTGTTGAGTGAACAGGAAGTTCTGAAACAGAAGTTTCCAGCGTTTTCTACACACCGATGGACGAGTCTGAGAAATCAAATCAGATCCTGCCGCGAGTCGGAGGCAAATGATGTCAGAAGAATTGTGGCGTGTTGGGGGTGGAGCCATAGCACAGTGGGGAGGGCATTGGCCTTGCACGTGGCCGGCCCAGTTTTGATGCCCAGCATCCCATAGGGTCCCCTGAGGCCCGCCAGGAGTGATTCCTGGGTGCAGAGCCAGGAATAACCCCTGAGCATCGCCGGGTGTGACCCAAAAAAGCAAAAAAAAAGGGAACTGTGTTTTGGTTTTTGGTTCCCTTCTGCTTTTGTACCTTCCAACTGCAGCGAGCACTCGCCTTGCATGCGTGAGGCTTCTGGGTTCTACCTCCGGCCCTGCACACTCCACACTCATCTCTCTCAGCCTGGGACTCCACAGAGTCGCTGCAGAGGGGAGAACCCCCTCCCTGCCTGCTGCCCATGGCCCACCTCCGACTGCCCCAGAGGCGTCCGAGGCCTCCTAGTTCCAAGCACACATGCCTCTGACCCACCGGCGGCTCGATGGCAGGGGGAGTTGTTTCCTGCCCCAGGACTGTCAGAAGTGTCCGCCAGCCCGTCAAGGTTTCCCGGGGGAAGGGCACACCCTCGCTGAAAGCAAGCGGTAACGCCTGGGAACATTCTCCCCGCCCCTCCCCCCCCGTCCCCCCCCCCCCCCCCCCCCCCCCGTCCACCCCATCTCTAGAAATCAAGGATTCCACATTGCATGCCTTTGTCGCTTCTCTGTCGTTCTGCATCTGTGCATTTACTTTAACTTGGATTTTGAAAAAAGATACTGGTATTTTGAAAGCTCAGACTCTGATCTGTTCACAATATTCTGTTGAAGATAACTCTTCTCCAATTTTCTGCTGCATTTAAAATTTCACTTTGAGGGTCCAGAGAGATAGTACAGAGGTGGAGTTCGATCACTGGCACCCAGCAGGGTCCCGCGCAGGAGTGATGTTTGAGCACAGAGCCAGGAGTCAGCTTGAGCACTTGCTGCATGTGGCCCCAAAACAGAAAAGAACACAACAAAATTCACCTTGACATTCAGCTGAGGACATCAGATAATTAACTCTTGGCATCAACTTGGTTCTTTTCACTGAGATGTATCGGTTTATTGACTGAGTGAACCAGAAATATAGAAAAGAGTAAAAGTGTCTTGAGGTACCAGGGTTTTTTTTTATTTGTAGAAAAAAATAGGTCAGGAGCTGGAGCAATAGCACAGCGGGTAGGATGTTTGCCTTGCACTCGGCCAGCCGGGGTTCAATTCCCAGCATCCCATATGGTCCCCGGAGCACCGCCAGGAGTAATTCCTGAGTGCATGAGCCAGGAGTTGCCCCTCTGCAATGCCAGGTGTGACCCAAAAAGCAAAAAAAAAAAGAAAAAAGAAAAAAGTCAAATTATACTCTTGAGATGACAAATTGTGCTTTATTATTCTGAAAACTCAGGATATTGCTCACTGTATTGTGGTGGGCCCTCTCCAATAAGACAGACAGATGCTGGCGGTATGTACATTAATGCAGATTAGTTTTTAAGAAGCAGTGTGTTTTGAAGAAAGTTGAAACTAGTTTTAGATTAAGGATGAGGACCTTGAGTGTTTCTCATTTAAAGAGAAATGTTTGTTTTACGTGTTTTTTTCATGTTCACAGATTTTTCTCATAAAAGTGCCATTGTTTTGTGCTTCTAACGGATTTTTATTTATAAACATTTTGTTATTTTTTGTTACTTTGAGTGGAATGTATTAATGTAAATCCTATTTTTATACTTTAATTTTTCACTAGTTTTGCTTATAGACAAGAGAGAAAATAAACTTTTCTTCTGAAAAGCAATCTAGTTTCATGGTTCATTTGCCAAAAGTCAGGGATTGAGAAATATCTGCCCCAAACATAATACTTATTAGCACTGTCTCGGTTGTTCATCGATTTGCTCGAGCGGGCCCAGTAACGTCTCCATTGTGAGACTTGTTGTTACTGTGTTTGGCATATCGAATACATCATGGGGAGCTTGCCAGGCTTTGCTGTGTGGGCAAGATACTCTCGGTAGCTTGTCGGGCTCCCCAAGAGGGGTGGAGGAATCGAACCCAGGCCGCCGGTCGGCCGCGTGCAAGGCAAATGCCCTACCGCTGTGCTATCGCTCCAGCCCAATACTTAGTATATGATCCTTTTTGTTTTAGCTGTTTTGAGGCCACAGCTGAAGGGCTTACTCTTGGCTCCACTCAGGTATCACTCCTGGTGGTGCTCGGGTGACCATCAGGGGTGCTGTGGATCGAACCCAGGTCGACCCCCATGCAAGGCAGGTGCCTTACTGCTACTATCTCTCTGGCCCCTCTGCTATGATAATTTTTTATAGTGAAAAGTCCTGAACTGGGGGAGGGGGCAGGGCTGGAGTGATACAGCCAACCCGGGTTCGAGTCCCAGCATCCCATATGGTCCCCTGACCACTGCTGGGAGTGAGTCTTGAGTGCAGAGCCGGGAGTATTGGAGAGTAATGCAGAGCTTGTGCATTGCTGGGTGTGACCCAAAAAGCAAAAAAAAATTAAAAGTTCTGGACTGGATCAATTGTAGGCGCAAAAGACATAAAGCGAATCCTGGCTTGATCCTCAGCACCATATGACCCCCACTGAGCACTGCCAAATTTGTTTTTGAACACAGGATCAGGAACGGCTCCTGGGCACTGTGGGGGTGGCGTTAAAGCCTAAAATTGGGTCAGAGACACAGTACAGCAGGCAGGGTGCTTGATTGTGACCCACCTGGGTTTGATCCCCAGCACCAAACACAGTCCCCCCCAATGCATGATTATCCTTGAGCACAGAGCCAAGAGTAAGTCCTAAGCACCACTGGTATGGCTCAAAACCACGGGGGAAAAAAAGTGGAGTTGGGATGCTTGGTCACTTTGAGGACCATTTTGGGCAACTGTTTGGGCCAAAATAATTTTAAAAAACAAAGTAGACTTATAGTTCGGAGCAATAGTGCAGCGGGGAGAGCATTTGCCCTGTACACGGCCAACACAGGTTCAATCCCTGGCACCCTGTATGGTTCGCCGAGTCCACCAGCAGTGATCTCTGAGCACAGAGCCGGGAGTAACCTCTGAGCATCGCCAGGTGTGGCTCAAAAAAAAAAAAAAAAGCAATGACCTGGGATTTTGGTAGAAATACAAAGCCAGTGGCCCGACAACATGAATCAGAACCTGCAGGTTTTTGAATTGTTTGGGGGCCTCACCCAAGGGACTGGGGTGGAGGGTTGCTCCCTGTGGCGCTTGAGGGCCAGTGCAGGGCCCCATAGAATCCAGCTGGTGAATTCTCACCCAGACCCGATGCTGTCATTGAAAAGTAACGTCCAAGCGTTGCACAGTCCAGGGTTACAGGCTCTGCTTTGTCATCCGCTGCATAATCTGTTGGCACTGACTCTGTGAGCGTCACAGAAGACTCACTCGTTCTCTGGGCTGTGGGAGAAGAGAAGTGAAGCTTCTGTTGAATTCCAAGGCGTTTGCTGAGCATTTTCTTCTTTGAGCTGAAAGTCAGAAGCATTGCATGAAGAAACTAGGACTCAGCAAGATTTCTCAGATTCTACGGAGTAGAGAGTGGAGAGTATATCCCAAGGCTTCCCCAGAAAAGTTCTTCGAAGAAGATGGCTTTTCAGTCAGAAAAAGATGACGGGGAGAGGAAATAAAATACATGTTTGTACCACGGTCTCCCTCTACAAGTCCACGGCTCATCCTCCCGGGCAGGGAGGTAGGTGGAGACAGGCCTGCTCGGGCACTGGTAACCTTGGACAGTTGATTGTGATGCCGGCTTTCACACCACCTTCACAGTTTATTCCCAGTCCCCAAACCATTTCAACGCGTCACATGATAATCCCACTCGTTATTTTTTGCACATCCCCCCTGTCCCCTGCCCCTGGGGCTCCTAATAAAGTCAATGGCGGGTTAGACTGTGAAATAATGATGGTTTCAGAGCGTGGCAGCCTCTGGGGAATGCAAAGTTCCCAGCACAAGCACTGTGCCTTGCATGTCATGTAAATGCCTGCACTGCAAGCTTGGATTAAGAAAATAGACTGATATTTTTGGGGGGTGGGGGTGGTATATCGGCTGTGCTGAGTCTTACTCCTGACTCTGTGCTCAGGGAGCACTCCGGATGTAGTGCCCGGGAAGGAACCAAGGCAAGCACCTTGACCCTTGTGTTATCTCTGGCCCCAGCCAGTGGTGGTGATGGTGACTGGAAAAACGATATCTAACGCACAAGTGGGGGAGGGATGCGAAGATGATGATGTGTTGTTGGCAGGCTCTTGGGGCAGCTCTCTCTCGCCGCCGTGTTTGGTGCTCTCGAGCTGCTGGGTGTGGACCGGATAGGGATGGCTCCTCCTTTGTGCTCTGCTTCTGTGCGTGCTGCTGTGCTCTCTTCTGTCTGTCTCTCTGTTTCTGTCTCTGTAGTCTCTCCTCTGGTCTCTTCCGATCTCTCTCTCCTGCTTCTCTCTCTGGAGCCCTTCGCTCTGGATTCTGACTCTGCCCCTGGGTGCCCTCTGGATTCTGACTCTCCTTCTCTCGGCTCTTGTGTTGCAATCACACAGGGTGGTGACACAAAGGTGGGTTGACCATTAACAAATCGACAAAGAGAGGTAAGACCACTCCTCCAGGAGATTAACTCAAGGATAAAATCTCATCTAAAGAGGTTGTTCTGCATTACTAGAAGATCCGCTTAAGGACGGGATCCCATTCAGGGTGTGTTACTTTCTTCTTGTCTCAGCTAGTAATCCACTTAAATAGTCGTAGTAAATCTACTTCTATTATTTCTAGCAATGTCATTCTGTAGGAGCACAGTAAGAGACAGATCAACTTCAAGTTTGGTTCTTCCTGAGGAGGTCGTACCCCAGTCCTCAGGCCAGGTTACTCTTCCTAACCCCAGCAGGGTCCTAGTCTCGCCATTACTTTCGGATCATGACAGCATTTGTCCATGATCATGCCCCTAACTTGTTGAATATCGTGGCGCTTTGGCCTGGCCCATTTCGATGCCAGGGTAGCTCACTGCTTGCCCTGGGTCCATTCAGTCCCTTGTCGGGACCCTGCTTTGGGGGAGCTAGGAACTAAGGGCAACTGAGTCGAGAGCAGATGCTCAGGAGTAAATGTTGGAGTCAATCAACTCCCAAGTTACAAAACATAGTATCAACTGTCTTCCTGTGTCCATACAGAAAGGATGCTGCTTTCAGGTAAACTAAGTTCCCTGTGGCGAGGCTGAAAGGACGGACCCATTGTCATCCTGCAGGCGATGATGGTGCCGATGATTTGTGGGAAGCGGAGTGTCTCCTTAGGCCTGGCCAGGTCGGGTCAAGTGCCAGTCCCGGTTCCTCCGTTTGTTTTCCTTCCAGTGGGCGTCCTGCCGGGTCCAAGGCGGCCAGCCCTTCGACCCCAAGTTGGGACAGGCCTGGGAAGGCGACCGAGCCACGGGTCTCATTTCCCAGGTGCCGGAGGGCAAACGGCGGGCGTGGCTTCCGGCAGAACCGCAAATTAACGGGAAAAAAATCCACGCGACCCTTCACAAGCATGGCGGCCAGGGCTTCGCCAGCGGGCTTGTGCCCTTCGCAATCATGGCGGCCGGGGCGCCTCAACTGCGCTTCGCTAACGGCGCGTCTGCCCTTCACAATCATGGCGGCCGGAGCGCTTCATCTGGGCTTCGCTAGCAGCGCGTCTGCCCTTCTCAATCATGGCGGCCGGAGCGCTTCATCTGGGCTTCGCTAGCAGCGCGTCTGCCCTTCTCAATCATGGCGGCCGGAGCGCTTCATCTGGGCTTCGCAAGCAGCGCGTCTGCCCTTCTCAATCATGGCGGCCGGCGGGAGGCGGGCAGGTCTGGAAGCGAGGAAAGAGGCGGCGGCGCAGCCCGAGGGTCATGTGACCGGCAAGATGGCTGCCTTCCCGTGGTAAGGAAAAGGCGGCGGTGGGCTTTGGAGAGGGGCTGCGCTTGGTTGTCTTGGGGGCTCGATTCCTCCGCGGACGACTCGGGGGCGCGTGGGCGCGTGAGCGCGGCCACCGCGGGGCCCCCGGCCGCGTCCCGCCCCGGAGGTCCTGAGCACTGGCCGCCCCGGCCGTTGCCTGGGGCCCCCGGAGGCCCGGGGCGCCGCGCGGGTGCAGAGTCGCTTCTTCGCGAAGGCCTCCCGCGCCTCGCACGCCCCGTGCCCGGGATTCCGAGGGCGATCGGCCCCCGGCTGCAGCGCAGGGCGAGTTCCGAGCCGGTCGGGAGTGCCTGTGCCTCGAAACGTGCGCGCGGCGGGTGCGGGCCCCGGGCTGGGCCTCCGGGAGCTGCGGCCTCGTTGGCGGAGCGGATCCACGGGGCGGGGTGCGGAGCAGGCGCCCGGCCGAGGTCCGCGCCAGCCGACTCCGGAGAGGGGAGCCCGCTTGGGCGTCGGGGGACGGACAGGGCCCTCACGGTTCCCGAGGCCCGTGCCCGAGACCGGCAGCCTGGGCTCCGGCCCCTGGAGCCGAGGCGTGACGGGCGCTCCGGACCTCGGACGGGGCCGTGTGTCAGAGCGGTGCTTCGGGGAAGACGTGGGCGGCCCCCTGCTTGGAGAGAGAGGCTTCCTGTATTCCCAAGTGATGTCAAGGGATCGCGCGGAGTGAGCGGAGGAGACACAGCCTGGCCGTGATCAACGCGGGCTCCCGGTTTGGTGCCTTGCAGGCCGCCCTCTGCCCTCGTGCCTGCTGCCTGGGTTTGCTCTTCTGGACTCCCTCCCTCCTTCCCTCCCTCTCTTCCTTCTTTCCTTCCTCCCTCCCTCCTTTCCTCCTTTTGCTTTTCGGGCCACACCTGCCTGCCGGTACTCCGAGGACTGTATGGGTTCTGGGGATAAAACCCAAGTCGACCTTGTGCCAGGCAAGCATCCTACCCGCTGCATTATCTCTTTGTGCCTGCTCCCAGTTTCCTTAAACTTGGTCGGTCGTACAAAGGACCTTTCAGGGTCGCGGAGTTTAAACATCAACAGCATGACAAGCGGTAACATCTGAAATTCTGTAATCAGGAAACCCAGGAAGATGCCAGTTTCTGCCTCCTAATGCGTGTGTTCACCTCTGATGTTTTTACACCGCCAGCAGAACATCAGCCTTTTAGCATGTAGACTCTTTTTCAAGTTTCTCTGGGGTTCTGCTTTAGACTTTTCTGTTTGTCGTTGTGCCTTGTTAGAGCGGTGACTCTCTTTGTCACAAATGCCTGATGTGGTGTGTGGCAGGAGGAGGCTGAGACATGTCTTCTCTTGAAGCTGCACATTCATGGAAACTTAGAGGTGCCAGCTTAAGCTGAGAATGCATTTAATGCTCATATCAACCCCATTTTTCAGAGGCAGAAATAGAGGCAGAGAGATGAAGCGGTTGATCTACAAGCCTCTGATGTGGGGCACACTGCCTGAGGGGGACAGTGGAGTGTGCGGCCAGCCACAGTCAGAGGATAAGACATGTTTCCTGGTATTGTGGCAGCTAAGTCTGGTGAACGGCGGGGAGAGCCCCCCACCCCCCACACATACACCCAGGGCCTTGGGGGACACGCCCCAGGGCTCAGAGCAGAGGGAAAGGATTGTTGAGAAAGTGCCCACTAGAGGTCACTGCCGGTCGCCCTGGAGATCCCTGCCCAGGGACGTGCTTCGCCGGCCTCCAGCTCCTGGCACCGGGAGAGTCTGGAGGAAGCCGTGGAAGAGCTGGGAGAATTTGCTTCCGCCTACTGAGCTCTCAGGCCCAATTTTTCCTTCCCTCTCCCTCCACAGAGATATTGGGGGGGGGGTCACACTCCTGTTTAGGGGTCACTGCAGATTAAACCTGAGATTCGCATGCAAAGCCTGTGCTCCTTTGGGCATTCTTCTGGGCATTTTTCTTTTCTCAGTGCGGGGTTGGGGGTGGAGAAACTGAATCCAGGTTCTTAGCTGTGCAAAGCCAATGTCCACCCCCGAGCCTCATACCCAGCCCCCCAGAGGCAGTGTTTCTCTCCTGGCAATTTATTTTATTTTAACTTTTAAAATACTTCGCCCTTTGGGGTCAGAGGGATAGAACAGCAGGTAGGGCATTTGCCTTGCGTGTGGCTGACCCAGGGGCTGGAGTGATAGCACAGCGGGTAGGGCGTTTGCCTTGCACGCAGCCAACATGGCCAACTCGAGTTCGATTCCTCTGCCCCTCTCGGAGAGCCCGGCAAGCTACCGAGAGGATCTCGTCCGCACGGCAGAGCCTGGCAAGCTCCCCGTGACGTATTCGATATGCCAAACACAGTAACAATTGTCACAATGGAGACGTTACTGGGCCTGCTCGAGCAAATCGATGAACAACGTGAGGACAGTGACAGTGACAGCGGCTGACCCAGCATCCCATATGGTTCTCTGAGCACCTCTAGGAGTGCTTCCTGAGTGCAGAGCCAGGAGTAAACCCTGCGCATGGCCAGTGTGACTCAAAAAAGCAAAAAAAAAAAAACACACACACACACAAAACCATACATACACACACGCATACGCATGTGTGCACATACACACACCCCACTCGGCCCTTTAAAGAGAAAAGCTAGTTGCTTTCTAGTTTCTTTGGTTTGAGCACCACACCCACTGGTGCTCAGTGCCGACTTTTGGCTCTGTGCTCAGGGAGGCTCTCGGTGCTCCCGAGACCGTAGCCAGTGGCAGCTGCAGGGTGAGTGACCTTGATCCGATCTGCTGTCCCTCTGCAAAGTTTTCCAAGTGTTAGGGTGACCTCTCAGTCTCCCAAGAAACATTGACCTAGTTCCCATGCAGCTGTGGCCTGCATTGTGCTGGGTTCCTGGGAGCTGTCAATGACAAGTGGTCGTGCCAGCCTCGGCTGTTCTGTCTGAAAAGTGGGCGCAATCCTGGGCTCAGTTGCTCAGGGCAGGGGAGGCCAAAGATTGTCTGGGACCTTTGCTGCTTAGCGGACACGTGATAAATGGGAGCTATTACTTATGTTACTGTATATCAAGCCCTGGGGCTATTTTGATAAGTGCTTTATTTCCCCTGAGTGGGGATTGATTTATCAATAACATAGGATGGAAACAAAATTAGTATAGGATGAAAAGCATTTTTGCCTATGAATTTCAGATTACATTACCTTTCTAGCCATTCTATTAAGTTAGCCTTTCAGAAATCAATTCTTCTTGACAGTGGGTGGAGTTAAGAATCCCTGAGCAGGGAGCTGGAGCGACCGCACAGCGGGGAGGGCGTTTGCCTCGCCCGCGGCCGACCCGGGTTCGATTCCCAGCATCCCATATGGTCCCCTGAGCACCTCCAGGAGTAATTCCTGAGTGCAGAGCCAGGAGTAACCCCTGAGCATCGCCGGGTGTGACCCAAAAAGCAAAAAAAAAAAAAAGAATCCCTGAGCATCACCAGGTGTGTGGCCCCCAAGCAACCCCCAAACTAACAAAAAAAAATCAACAAAAAAGAAAGCTCCGAAAGGGGGGATGGCGTCATCAAATTTGCGTTTTGAGGGCACCAGAGACAATAGGACAGCAGGGAGGGCATTTGCCCTGCACTCAGCTGACCCGGCTTCAATCCCCGCCATCCACAGGGTCCCCCTAGCACTGCCCAAAAAATCTTTCCTCGGTGACTTCACTCACAAGAGTCTGGAAGATGAAGATGCTGCATTTTTTGGAGGGGGCTGGGTTTGGGGCCACACTCACCTGATGATGCTCAGGGGTTCCTCTTGGCTCTGTACTCAGGAATCACTCCTGGCGGTGCACAGGGGACCCTATGGGATGCTGGGGCTCGAACTCGGGTCGGCCAGTGCCCTCCCCGCTGTGCTATTGCTCGGGCCCCCAGGAGGTGCCGCACGTCTGTGATGACGATGCGGAGACCGAGGGGTGCCAGGATTCTCGCTCGTCCCGGTGGCTGGGGGGTTTGGGGCCCTCCCCTGCCCGCTCACTGCTGTTGGTCCGCATCCCACAGGCACCCCAGGAACCGCGACTACAAGGCCGAGTTGGCGTCCTGCCGCCTGGAGGCGGTGCCGCTGGAGCTGGGCGACTACCACCCCCTGAAGCCCATCACCGTAAGCCTGTCCGGCCCCGCGCGAGCTGCTTCCCGGACTCCACTTGTCTCCCTCGTTTCCTGCACCCGTTTCTCCTGCCACTGGGGTGGTTGTGGGTGTGAGGTTCCTGAGCTGTAAGTCTGAGCAAACATGGCTCTCTGCATTTGCCTACTTGGGTACTTGCAGGTATTTTTGTTTGTTTCTGTGGGGGTCTACCCCCACTTGGGTGCTTGGGGGACTGTGTGCAGTGCTGGGCTTGAACCCAGGCCCACGGTGCTGTTCGTCCCCACCCCCGCCTCGTAGCCGCCACAGGCGGTGCTGTCTTTTTTATTCTTCTTGCTTTTTGGGTTATACCCGGCGGTGTACAGGGCTTACTCCTGGCTATGCACCCAGCTCGGGGGAGCGTGTAGGATGCTGGGAGTCAAACCCGGGTCAGTCACTTGGAAGGCAAACGCCCTCGCCATCGTACTGTCGTTCAGCCCCCACAAGTGGTGCTGTCCTGACTCGCACCCAGGGCCCTCTGTGCGTCTCTTTTCCATTTTCATTCTCGTCTGCTTTCGGGGCCGCACCCAGGAGCTCCTCCTTTCTTCTTGGTCACATGGACCCTTGACTATGCCCAGGGGGTTGACCAGGGCCGAGCAGATGTGAGCTTATCTGAGAGCAGAAAAACAGAAGACAGAGGACAGGGACTGAGGCCAGTGCTGGCTTTGCTGGGAGGAGCCCTGAGCACCCCCAGGTGGGACTCCAGCCCCCAGTGGGACCCCAGCCCACCAGGTTGGACCACCAGGTGTAACCTCTAGCCCCCCAGGCGGGACCCAGCCCTCGCCTACCTGAGGCAGATAAAAATAGCAGTGAAGGGAAGTTGGCGGACCCCCTTTTGGGGTGCACACCTAGCAGCAGAGGTTGCTCTTGTCCTCGTTGGAGATGCGTAGACAGGCAGGTGCCAGTGGATGCCAAGGCCATGAGGAGAAAAAGTCTTCTTTTCAGACGCCTTTGATTTTTTGGGGGGGTGGGGGGAAGTGGAGTGGGGTGAGAGACACATCCAGCGATGCTCAGGGCTTACTCCAGCTCTGTGCTCAGGAGTCACTCCTGGCGGTGCTTGGGCGACCCTGTGGGGTGCCGGGGATCGAACCTGGGACAGCCGCATACAAAGCAAGCACCCTACCCACTGCGCTATTGCGCCAGCCCTCAAATGCATGTGACTTTTTTTTTTAACTTAGGTGCCATCAGGACCACCCTAGAGGTGCCTGCGGTCCGAGAAGTGCTTGTCTAGGGCTCTGCCCCTTGGGCTGTGTTTAGCATTTCCTGTGGATTTTGGGTTGTTTTTGTTTTTGTTTTTAATCACAGCTTGGGAGCTACTCCGGCATTGTTTGTGATGGTGAGGAGTGGGTGGGTGGTTTTCCCTCTTGGTGGCGCTCAGGGGACCATATTGGATACCAGGGATGGATCTCAGGTCTGCTGTGTGCAAGGCAAGCGCTTTCCCCACTTTTAAAAACGCTGCTCTCGCTCATGCTGTGTGGGTTTTTAAAGCCGCAGGTGAGATCGGTCCTGCTTGTCTCTGGCCCAGACTTTAAGAAAGTTCTTTAAGAATTGCCCTCAGGGCCGGAGCGATAGCACAGCTGGTAGGGTGTTTGCCTTGTACGTGGACAACCTCGGTTCGATTCCCAGCATCCCATATGGTCCCCTGAGCACCGCCAGGAGTAACTCCTGAGTACAGAACCAAGAGTAGCACCAGGTGTGACGCAAAAAAAAAAAAAAAATTGACCTCTGGGCCAGAGTTATAGTTCAGTAGGTAGAGTGCTTGACTTGGCCGACCCAGGTTCCAACCCGGGATCCCAGAGAGTCCCAAGTCCACCTCTAGTGATCCCCTGAGCACAGAGCCAGGAGTCAGCCCTTAGCACCACCAGGCGTGACCCAGAAACCAGAGTTCACTTCCTCTGGGCCAGACCCACAGTAGAGCCGGGAGGGCGCTCGCCCTGCACGTGGCCGACCCAGGTTCCATCCCCACCAACTCTCGGGTCCTCTGGGCCCGCCTGAGGGGGTCCCAAATACCAAAAGAACGTCAGTAAACTCTTCCTCCTCCTTCCTCCTTTACTTCTCCAGATTGAAGCCTGGCCCTGCTCGCGAGTGCTCAGGGGGCTGGGCCGGGCCGTACCAGGGATTGAACCCGGTGCTTCTCCAAGGCATGTACGGCAAGCAGGCGGCAGCCGTCCCTGCCGTCAGAGGCCGTTTCTCTTGCGCAGCCGTGGATTGGCCACAGCGGCCTGTCCTCCCCCGCCTGGGCCCTCCCATCCCAGCCACTGGCCCCAGGCATGCGCGCTCAGTGGGAACTGCTCTGTCCCAGGAAGGCCTATGAAGGGGTCCCGGGGGACCCCGGAACCTTCAACCGCCCTATGCCTCCCCGGCCCCCTCACAGGTGACTGAGTCGAGGACCACGAAGGTGAGCCGGAAGGGGAGCACCTCTTCCGCCTCCTCCTCGTCCTCCAGCTCCGTGGTGGACCCGCTGAGCAGCGTCCTGGACGGCACCGACCCACTCTCCATGTTCGCAGCCACAGCGGAGCCCCTGGCCACAGCGGCCGCCACGGTAACAGCCCCGGGGTGGGTGGAGGTTTGGGGGGGCAGCCACGTGTGGTGGGGGTCGCAGCCATGTCCAGAATCCAGCTGCCTGAAGCTCCTTTACTATTTCTTGGGGGTGGGGGTGACTGGGCGTTGGTTTTTGTTTGTTTGTTTTGCTTTTGGGGTCATACCCAGCGATGCACAGGGGTCCTTCCTGGCTCTGTACTCAGGAATCACTCCTGGCGGTGCTTGGGGGACCATCAGGGATGCTGGGAATCGAACCCGGGTCAGCCACGTGCAAGGCAAATGCCCTCCCCGCTGTGCTATTGCTCCAGCTCTGGGCGTTGTTTTTTGGTTGTGTTTCATTTGGAAGCCACACCCAACAGTGCTCAGGGATTCCTCCTGTCTCTGAGCTCAGGGATCACGCCTGGCAGACTCAAACCCAGGTCAGATGTGTGCGAGGGAAGACTCTTTCCCCATACTCCCCTCATCCCAAAATGCAACTCTTCATCCTAGCAGACTTTCCAAGGGATTTTTCTCCTCAGAGACTGCCTTTTGCTTATGCCCTTTTTTTCTCCCTTTTTTTTTAAAAAAATCTGCGTCAGGGCGTGTCTTACATGATTTGAAGAAATTTCACGTTTCCAGCGTGATGATTTAAAAGGCACACGCGTGTTGTGGTTATTGTTATTTTGGGTCACAGCCAGCAGTGCTCAGGGCTGACTCCTGACTCTGTGCTCAGGGATCAGTCCTGGCCAGGCTCGGGGGACCCTCTGAGGTTGCTGGGGATCAAGCCCAGGTCGGCCACATGTAAGACAAGCGCCCTGCCCGCTGTCCTATTGCACTGGCCCCCAGATGCACACACGTATTGTGAATGTCAGTGAGCTTTATTGCACAGATGGACCTCTTTTGGGGGTGGGGGTGTGGGGGTGAGAATAAAGATTCACCACACTGCCGAGTCCTGTCGTCGTGGTCGCGTGCTTGCACTCTCTGTCCTGACAGTGTTGCCTTCCCCCAGGACAGCTCCAGAAAGAAACGGGACAGAGACGACGGCTCCGTCCTGGGGTTGGACTTCGAGCCTTGGGCCAACAAGCGCGGAGAGATCCTGGCCCGCTACACCACCACGGAGAAGCTGTCAATTGTGAGTCCTGCCGGCCCGGCCCAGGCTCGGCTATCTGGGAATCAGCGTTGAGCTATGACCAAGCGTTTATTTATTTATTTATTTATTTATTTTGCTTTTTGGGCCACACCTGGTGATGCTCAGGGCTGACTCCTGGCTCTGCACTCAGGAATTATTACTCCTGGTGGTGCCTGGAGGACCATATGGGTTGCCGGGGATCGAATCCGGGTCGGCAGTGTACAAGGCAAACATCCTCCCCTCTGTACTTGGCCCTGATGTCCGAGCATTTAGCAAGAACACTGCAGCCCCAGAGGATGCCTGTGGGGGTCTGGAGTCACCGTGCCAAGTAGTTTTCTCCAAAAGTGTCTTCAGGTCTGGCTGCCGGCCACGTGGCTCCATGGTAGAGCTCAGGCCACACAGGTGTGACTTCTGTACGCACGCCTGTCAGGGATCTGGCATAGTTCACAGGGGACCAAGCAGGGAGGTCCTCTCAGGGAGGCTGATGCTTCTGGTGCCTGGTGAGCCCCCTAAAGCCAGAATTCACTTCCTTCTCAGCGCCAGAAGCCCACTCCGCGCTGTAGCAATAGCGCCACTCTGATTCCTGCAGGTGACACGTTGTCTCTTTATTGTTGTTGTTCAAAGACTCCAGTTGAGTTTTTCAAAACATCGCAGAAACTTGGAAAGGACAGAGTGCCTGCCGTAGAGGCAGGCTGAGGGGCAGAAGGGAGACTGGGGACACCGGAGGGATGTGGACACCGGTGGAGGGACGGAGTTGGGTCATTGCATGCCTGAAACTCAGTCAGGAAGCACTCGGTAACTCGTGGTTCACGGTGATTCAGTACAAAGTCTGAAAAATGTTAGTAAGAATAACTCTTCTCCCCCCTTGCCCCTTTCTGCAGAACCTATTCATGGGATCAGAAAAAGGTAAGTTTTTGTCATTGTTTTCATGAATGTGTCTTCGTAAAGGAAAAAAGCTTTGTGCTGTCCGGCCCTGACGCTTGGCTGTGTTGGAGCTGTCACCTCCCAGACTCTAAACTGAGGAGACTCAAACTACAGGTCTGACTGGACATAGTCCGGGGCTGGCGGTACTTGTCTGGCTTTCAGCTGACCCTGGTTTGATCCCCGCCATCACATATTGTCCTCTCAGCACTGCCAGAGGTCATTTCTGAGCACCGAGTCAGAAGCAGTCCCTGAGCACTGTGGAGGGTGGCTCCCTCCAGCCTCTCCTTTCCCCCATAGGAAACTTTTGGTTGGTTTTTGATTTTTTTTTTTTGTGGGGAGCAGGCCATTCCCGCAATGCTCAGGGCTTACTCCTGGCTCTGCATTCAGGAATTACTCCTGGTGGTGCTTTGGGGGCCATGTGGGGATCCCGGGGATCGAACCCGGGACGGCTGCGTGCAAGGCAAGAGTGCTGTGCTATAGCTCTGGCCCCTGATGATATATTTATTTTAAAGTTACTTAGATTCGACTGTGAAGTCCCTGTTTGATTTGAGTTGCAGACCCTTAGTCTCTCTTGAAACGTCCCCTCACCAGGGCAGGCAGGTGAGATTCGCCTTTGTGTCCCTGCGCACACACACTGACACATACTCTCAACACATGCCAATGCGTGCTCGCCTCAAACGCACGTGCACACGTATGCTCACGTATGATGACACTCACAGAAACGCACTCAGGCACACATCCTTATACTCATACATGTTTATACTCACACACAGACACACACTCATCCAAATACACTCTTACACAAACCCTTCCACTCACACACTCTGACACACACTGACACACCCTTCCAGTTACGCAGACTCACGTGCACGCAGACATACTCTGACACTCCCATTCACACAGGCACATGTTCAGAGTCATACATATTCTGACGCGCACACCCCCCTTATACTCACACACTCATGCACACACTCTGACACACACACACACATACCCGTCCACTCACATACGCTCGGACACACACTCTGGCACACACGCTTCCACACACGTTCTGATATACACAGTCCCTCACACTCAAACACTAACGCCCACGCTCTTTCGCTCACACACGTCATATTGTCTGACACGCCCCCCCCTTGCCCTCACACGCTGTTGTCCCCAAGAGTGCCCTTCACCTGTCCTGCCCCCGGCCCTGCAGAGGCTTGTGGCAGGGAGAGTCGGGGTCCTGGTATGGGGAGTGGTGCCCGCCGGAGGCCACACCCTGCCCGCAGCCCCTGCCGAGGGCGCCTGTCAGCCAGAGCACACGAGAGGGTCAGCACTCGAGGAGCAGGTTTCAGGGCACCGAGGCTGCTTCTTGTTCGGTGGGCTTAGGGCCGGGCCTTTCCACCAGGCCGGCAACCGAGAGGCCTGTAGTCATGCGGACAGTTTGGCAGTGGGTTTCTGGCCTTTAGAAGCACACGGGCACTGTGGAGAACTTGGGAATATCTCACTTCCCCCTTTTTTTTTTCCGGGGGGTGGGCCTCCCAAGCAGGCTTTGACACTCCCCAGACACCAGCCAAGTCTTGGCTCTGGGGTTCTGAGGGTTCAGCGTTTGGACCTAGTGGTGCTGGGGCCGGGGGGTGGCATGTGGTGCCAGGGACCAAACTCAGGGTCTTGCGCCTGCCGGGCACGCACCCCGCCTTCCTGTGGCCCGGCCCCTGCCCCCCACACCCTGCCTTCCCTGCTGCGCCCCTGCGTGTTCAGGTGGAATGGTGTGCACACAAGGCCCTGCTGGGCATCTTCCCCGTGGACACTGCCCCACCACGCCTGTGGTGAGGAAGCAGAAGGAGCCCGGGGATACCCCTGGGAGTGACCCCAAGCCACTCTGTGTCTCTTTCAGGCCGAGCCGGGACCGCCACGTCCGCCATGTCTGAGAAGGTCCGGATCCGGCTGGAAGAGCTGGATGACTTTGAGGAGGTGAGTCCCAACTGCCCTCACGACCCGCTGGGCCCATCCCCCGGGGCTGCCCTCGATGACTCCAGGGGCTGAGCTTGTTGTCTCTCAAACGCTTCCTCCAGGAAGCCACTCCAGACTTCCTGTTTGACCGTGACCTTCACTCCCCCCCATCCCATCCCCGCTTTAGACACCCAGGCCCCTGGTGGCATCTCTCGGCGGCTTGTTTGTCAGTCACGAGCGTCTTTCCTTCCGGAGTGACAGCTTAAGACATTTCCTCCCGTGGGCCCCTCGGCTGCCTGAAATCTGATGTGTTTTCTGAGACTCGTTTCTCCACCTGTGGGTGTAGAAACCTGGTCTGTGTTCCTGTCCCTCTCAGTCGCTCCCTTCAGCTGCAGAAATCACGCGTTTGTGGGGCACACTTTGTGTCTTGGACATCTGGTCCACCAGCCTGGCCCCGGGGTGGACCCCAGTCATTGGGTTGATTCAGGGCAAGTTCTGTTGTCCCTGCTCGTAGGTGAGGCTTGGGGGAGGGTGCGGGGGGGGCACGTCCCTGCTTTCCCCGAGTCGCCCCAGTGCATCCAGCTATTTTTATTTTATTTTTGGCTTTTTGGGGTCTCACCTGACTCAGGGGTTCCTCCTGGCTCTGCACTCAGGAATTACTCCTGGAGGTGCTCAGGGGAACCCTGTGGGATGCTGGGACTTCAACCCGGGTCAGCCGCGTGCAAGGCAAATGCCCTCCCCGCTCTACTACTGCTCTGGCCCCTCACCCAGCTATTAAGCATCTGAGCTGGGAGCTGGTGCCAGGCTGACTTTACCTCCAAGGCCTCATCTTCCAAGGCTATGCGTCTCGGCCACTGCCCCTCCCCCAGCCGCCCCTCCCCCAGCCGCCCCTCCCCCCATTTGCAGAAAACGCAGCGAACCTCCAACCATCAGGCAAAGCTGCCAGCTGGGTCGGAGACCTGGTGGTGTGGGACGACCCCCCTGCCTCTTCCTGCCCACAGGGCTCCCAGAAGGAGCTGCTGAATCTGACCCAGCAGGACTACGTGAACCGCATCGAGGAGCTGAACCAGTCGCTGAAGGACGCCTGGGCCTCGGATCAGAAAGTGAAAGCGCTCAAAATAGTCATCCAGGTCAGAATCGCCCGTGCACGCCCCCCGCTACCCCCCCCACGCGGGGGTCGGTCTTCAGGGTCTTATCCTACTTTCCCTCCCCGTTCCACTTTCACACATGCCCGCGGCAGGCCGTGGGGAGCGAATGTGTGTTTCTAGGGGCGGCTGATCGCTGGGCCGCCCAAGACAGCTGCGCAGGTGGTGCACAGCACAAAAACGTGCAGGGATGGGGGCTGGAGCGATAGCACAGCGGGGAGGGCGTTTGACTTGCACGCGGCCAACCCGGGTTCGATCCCCGGCTTCCCATAGGGTCCCACAAGCACCACCAGGAGTAATTCCTGAGCGCAGAGCCAGGAGGAACCCCTGTGCATCGCCGGGTGTGACCCCAAAACAACAACAACAACAACAAAAGTGCAGGAAAGTCCCTGCTAAGTCCCAGCCGTGCCCCGCTGCTGGTCGGTACTTGGCAGGGGGGATAGGGGGAGTTGGGGGCGGTTTGAGCCTCAGCAGAGAGTGCTCAGGAAGTCAAGGATCATGCCTGTGGAGCTCGGGGCACCATATATGGTGCCAGGGACCAAACCTGGGGTGGTTCTGGGTGAGACGGCACCCTGCCCACTGTGCTGGCTCCGGCCCCTGGCTCTGTCTTGGCTGGAGTTTGCCTCTGTGGGACCCAACGCCACCTGTCCCTGATCTGTGCATTTTGGGGTCCTCGTCTGCACAGTGACCCCCCAAACTGCATGCGCACCGTGTTCTGAGGGCACAGCCCTTGAACCCTCTTGGACCTGGGGGTCCAGGGACCATTCTGGGTGAGGCAGGGGCATTCTGACTTATTTACTTATTTTTGCTTTTTGGGTCATACCCAGCGATGCACAGGAGTTACTCCTGGCTCTGCACTCAGGAATTACTTCTGGCGGTGCTCGGGGGACCCTGTGGGATGCCAGGGATCGAACCTGAGTTGGCCATGTGCAGGGCCAGCGCCCTCCCCGCTGTGCTGTCTCTCCAGCCCTGAGACAGGCATTCTGTAAGGACGTGGTTTATTCTGCATCTCAGCCCTGCTCAGAGTCGTGCCCCTGAGTCGAGAGTGGAAACCCCACGGGTGGAGCGCTGACTGTTTTCCCACCGTCTCCACCGGGCGCGGGAGGCCTTTTCCCGCCTTCTCTGGCCTCTGTCCCTGCCCACCCGTCTCTTCCCACCTTGGCCGTACGGCAGGGAGCTGTGTGCTGCGCTGCCTCCAGGAGAAGATGTCTCAACCCACCAGCGTGGCTTCTGGGGCCAGAGGGTTGGTCGCCTCTGCCTAGGGCGGCTGCGGCAGGGCACAGTGGCTCCGGGGGGCCTCGCCCGGGTCTTTGGGAGGCAGCCGCCTTCCCCCAGCCTTTCCCGGACTCCACGTCTGCTCAGTAGCAACTCTTGTGCTTTCCGTGTCTCTAGACAGCCTCTGTGTGTGTGTGTGTGTGTGTGTGTGTGTGTGTGTGTGTGTGTGTGTTGTGTTGCTTAGGTGCCACACCCAGCAATGCTTGGGGCCCACTCCCGGCCCTGCATGCAGGGGTCACCCCTGGCCGGGCTAGGGGGACCCTATGGGATGCCGGGGATTGAAGGCAGGTCTGCTGCGTGCAGGGCAACGTGCTTGTCTCTTTCTGGCCCCGGGAGGGGTCTGGGGGTAAGTCTAGACTGTCCGTTTGTCCTTGCTGCTTGGGCCACACCCAGCTGTGTGCGGGAGTGCCTCGTGCCTCGGTGCTCAGAAAACCATGAGGTGCCGGGGTCAAGCCTGCAGCTGCCATGAACGTCTCACACAGCGTGGCCCAGAGGGAATGGTCAGGAGCGGAGATGGGCCAGGCGCAGCTCCATGGCAGATGCCCCAATCTGCTGTCCGCAGGGGAGGCTCTGGATTCAGTTCTTGGCCCCGGGAATGAAAGGAAAAAGGACCCGGGTTCCTGCCTGCGCTCCGTCAGAGGGAACCACCCCAGGGGGCGGTCCGGGTGCTCCTGCCTGTGCCCTCCCCGGTGCTCCTTGACCCCCTGCCCTCCCCACCCCCCTGCAGTGCTCCAAGCTGCTCTCGGACACCAGCGTCATCCAGTTCTACCCCAGCAAATTCGTGCTCATCACAGACATCCTGGACACCTTTGGTGAGTGTCCCCGTCCCTCTCCCTGCTGGCCAGGGCCGGGTCACCTCTGCTGGAGTCGGCTGGGGAGCGGGTCTTGGGGACCCAGCGCCAGCTTGCTCTGAGGCGTGTGGGCGCGCATGCTGTCCGGCAAGCCCTGGCCCTGCCTGCCTCTGTGCCCACGTGGTTCTGCACCAACCCTGGCATCTCACCTCGAGGGCCACACTGGGAATCAGAGGCTGCCCCAGGGGACCTGTGCTCCTCTCTCCTGAAGACTGTGCTCTGGGATCACTCTGGAGGGCTCGGGGCACCTCATGGGGTTCCAGGGATCGAACGCGGGTCAGCGTGTGCAAGGATAGTGCTTTCCCCACCATCCTCTCTCCGGCCTGTCTTTCCTTGGTATTTGGGCCACACCTGGCAGTGCTCAGTGGTTGCTCCTGGCTTCGCACTCAGGGATCACTCTCGGTTGGCTCAGGGGACCTTAAGGGATGCCAGGGATCGATCCCAGGTCAGCCATGTGCAAGGCAGGCACCCTCCCCACTGTCCTCTCTCTCCAGCCCTCCTTCCTCCTTTGCTTTTTGGGTCACACCCGGCGATGCACAGGGGTTACTCCTGGCTCTGCATTCAGGAATTACTCTTGGCGGTACTTGGGGGACCCTATGGGATGCTGGCAATCAGACCTGTGTTGGCCGTGTGTGCAAGGCAAAAGCCCTACCCGCTGGACTGTTTCTCCAGCCCTCCTCTCTTCTTTTTTTTCTTTTTTTGGTTACTTGATTCTTGGTTGCTGTCTCTTGTTTTGTTTTTGGCGGGGGGGGGGGGGGGTTGGGGCGGAGGATTTATTTTTTATTCTTTCGGTCACTCGGTCACACCGATGATGCTCAGGGGCTTCCCGTGGCTCTGCAGTCAGGAATCACTCCTGGGAGCCATATGTGTGCCGGGGCGGGTCGGCCAGGTGCAAGGCAGACACCCTCCCCAGCCCACTTTGCTTTTGAAGACGGCTTCGTTGACGCTCAGCTGCGTTTCCGTGCTCAGACACTGATTTGAGGGCAGTGATATTGACCCATCAACCTAAATTAGGCCCGTCTGTGCCCTGCCCTGTGCGAAATCACCCCAGCGCCTCTCTCCGGGTTCCAGGCAAATGTGGGCCGGGTGGGTGGAGCCAGCCACGCACAACCACTTGTTTTTCTCCTCACTCAGTTTCTGTCCTCACACCTGTGGGCTAGGTGGGGGCCCTGCAAGGGCCGGGGGGGGGGGGGGCGAGGATGGTAATGGGCGCTGTTCTAAGGCGTTTTAAAACCTTCAGCGCCCCACCCAATTCCTGGGCACTGGACTACTGTCCCGTCTCAGCAGTGACCCCGGCCCCCCTGCTGATCCCAAACAAACAAACACGGGGAAAGAATGATCAGGTTTCTGGGGCTGGAGCAATAGCTCGACCTAAGTTCGATTCTCAGCATCCCATATGGTCCCTTGAGCACCGCCAGGAGTAATTCCTGAGGGCAGAGCCGGGAATATGCATTGCCGGGTGTCACCCAAAAAGCATGAACAGGTTTCTGCTTTCCCCTGCTTTCCCCTTGCAGAATCCGAGGCCAAAGCAGCCTGGTTTCCAATCTCCCCGCTAGGTGGCAGCCAATGCCCACAAGTGGGCAGTGTGGCCAGTCCATTCCTACCCCGGTTCCCTAAGGCAGCAAGTCTTGTGTTCCATGTTTGCCACGAGTTCGTGGGGCGCTCAGAGCTTCTGCCCTCTCTCCCCAGGAAAGCTCGTGTACGAGCGCATCTTCTCTATGTGCATGGAGAACCGAAGCGCCTTTCCAGGTAAGGACTTCCTTCCTCCCGTCCCCCCTGCTGCTCCTCCCTGCTCCTCCCACCTGGAGTTGGGAGTTGGGCTTCCGCGGCTGCCTATGGTCAGCCCCTGGTCAGACGAGAGACCTCGTCTCTTCGTATCAGTGTGTCAGACGCCAGAGAAGCCCCTCGCCAGATTCTCCATCCTCCCGGTTTCCTGAAAACTTGGGATGATTCTTTTTCTCTTCCCCAGACAGCCCCCCTGGGAGTTGGGGGTCTGTCTTTTGGGTCTCGACTGGTCCTCTCCCACCCGTGGTATTTCTCCTGCGGCTGGACGTCCTCCCTCTTCCCTGCCCGTCTCTCTGAGTCTCAGCTGCTGTGCTCACAGCCTACTTCGTAACGATGAGGAAGAGCGTCAGAGACGGGCCCAGGCTCGACATAGCACAGCAGAGGGTATTTGGCCTTGCACGCGGCCGGGTGCACTGCCAGGAGCCATCCCTGAGTGTCGCCAGGTGTGAGCCCCACCCCCCAAACCAAAGAGCCGTGTCAGAGAAATGCAGAGTCACAGGTGCTCGGGCTCCGCCGCCTCTGTCCAGTAGTTGCTGACGTCGTGGCTGGCTTGCCGTTCCGGCTCGGCTCGACACTCCTGAGGCGGGAAACTGCGCGGCCGAGGCCGGGTAGATCAGCCCCTGCGCAGCAGCGTCCTTTGCCCGCATGATCTTGTGGTCAGAGGCAATTTCCCCCCTCCCTTTATTTGCAGATACAAATATTTGGGAGTGGTGGGGGTGGGGGGTGGGGAGAATCTGCTTCCCGGTGCTGATGTGACATGCCTGAATTTCGCCATCAGATCATTCCTATATTACTCGCCCTTGCGAACAGGGTTTCTGCATGAAGGAGAGCCAAGTCGCCTTCGTGGCCAGATTGGTTTGTTTGTTTGTTGGTATTTTGGGTCACACCCAGCGATGCTCAGGGGTTACTCCTGGCTCTGCACTCGGGTTACTCTTGGTAGTGCTCAGGGGACCATATGGGATGCTGGGGGTCGAACCTGGGTCGGCTGCGTGCAAGGCCAGTGCCCTTTCCCCTGTGCTATTGCTCCGGCTCCTTTTTCTCCTTTAAGGGCATTTCCCCCCAAATACCCCCAGCCATCAAAACTTGGGGATCTAACCCCAGTCGGCCGTGTGCAGGGTGTGATGCACCTTGATGCTTGTCCACGCGCATCCTGTTTCATATTCAGCCCATTGACATGGTATCTTGGGTGGGCTGGAATCCCACTGCATTTCTCGCCCCTTTTCCCACCAGACCTTTCTGACCTTTCCCCTCCTTACTGTGAGCCCCACCGTCTCCTGCCCCTCTCTGACTGGTCTCAGACTGGGCCCCCCCAACCCCCATTGACATAATTTTCACCCATAGCCCCTTTGGAATATTCTGGGGCCCCCAGTTGAAAAAGACGAGGTGCAAACATCTCGTGAAAATGCCACCTTTTGGGGGGCCAGAGTGGTAGTCCGGTGGGGAGGCCGTTTGCCCTGCACCCAGCCAACCCGGGTTCCGTGTCTGGCTTCCCATAGGATCCCCCGAGCACTGCCAGGAGTGATTCCTGAGTGCAGAGCCAGGAGGAACCCCTGAGCATCGCTGACTGTGGCCCCAAAATCAAAACAGAAAACAGTTCACCTGTTTGACCCTTCCTGCCTGTAACTCAGACCTCGGCCCTGGCACCACAGGCTGCTTCTTGGTTCTCCAGATGGGGAGCCCAGAGCACAGCGGGGCCAGCTTGAGGGGGGCGTCAGTGGGTGGGAGGGGGTGGGACAGGCGGACTCCCGTCCTGCCCGCCTACCGGCTTGTCCCCGCGTGTCCTCCGACTCCGGAATCTCAGCATGCAGGTGGGAGCCAACTGGGGAAGGGTACCATTGTGTGTGTTTGTTTTGGCCACAACAGCAGCATTTCAGAAAATGCTGGTAGACACAGTGCTTGTAGATACAGGTTCTGCGTGTACAAGCCCCGTCCCCAGAACGGCTCCCCTGCCTTGGAATGTGCACCCACCTCCCAGCGGCCTTCCCCACAGCCCCTGACTACCTGTTTCAGGGTGAATTAAAATATTTACTAAGGGGTCTTGGGGGCAGAACACTGACTTGGCAAATGTGTGTTGGGGGGTGGGGGGTTTTCCCCAACACCTCCTAAAAAATAACCCCAACCAGCAACAGAAAGACCTCACTGGTGACATCCTAAGAGCTCCACCCGAGAACCGTGAGTTTCCAGTGTGACTGACTGCCGTGTTCAGGAGAGTTCTTCCCTCCTTCATGACCTGTTTCATTTTTGTCTTAGACTGATGCAGACCAGGATTTTGTCTTCTTGGAAATAGTGGGTTTCCCTTCCCTTTAAATCTTCGTGTGTTCCCTGGTTCCAAGAAAATTCAAAACTGTCGCCTTGGTGGTCCAGGTGGCTGGGCCGAGCCCTCGGTACACATGGGACCACGACCTTGACTCACGCTGTCTTGTCTCCTGGGCTCGGCTGGAGGCTCCGGTCACGGGGCGCTTCCCTGACCCCTCCCAGGGTGCTGCTTCCCGGAAGTTGTCCCCCTGGTCCTGCCACAGGACCACCCTCTGCCCAGCAGAGGAGGGAGACCGCTGTGGAGGGGGTCCAGGAGGAAGGGGACAGAGGGACCTGTCGTGGTCACTCAACTACCCAGGCCGGCCCGCAGCAGGCGTCCACTGGGCACGGAGTCTCCCTCGGCTCCCCACTCCCCATGGGCCCGTCACACTCCACAGCTTCCTAGAGTGCCCCCAAAGCTCAGTCATGTTCCCCGAGGCCGTGTGGGCCCATGGGGTCCTAGCTCACACAGTTGCTGGGGCCCCTGGGACCGGTCACTTACCCTCTCTGAGCCTCGGGGAGGCTGACAGCCCCCGAGTCTAGGGCTGTCTGGGGCATAAGGGGCGCTGGTGTTGGCGACACAGGAAGCCCCATCCCCACCCCCATCGACGTCATATCTGCCCCGAGACACTGGCCCTTCAGGGGCCCTCTTCGCCCAGTCCACCCAGCAGGCGGGCAGCTGATGGGTTCGCTCTGCCCTTGCAGATCAGTTCGCCCCCGAGAATGTCACCGACACGGCCAAGGAGACGTGCCTGAATTGGTTCTTCAAGATCGCGTCCATCCGAGAGCTGGTCCCCAGATTGTATCCTTCTCACACTGGGGCCCGCACATAGAGCAGCCGAAAGGTTTTGGAAGGGGGGTCTCAGGACCGCCAGGGGGCAGCGCTGGCAGGCGGGCGGGGGGCACCCTAGGTCCCTGCTCTCCCCAGTTTCTCTCCCCGACTCGGGCTTGGCCCTGCCCCAGGCTCTGCCTCCTTGGGCACCTCCCATGTCTGTTCTTCTAGGCCAGACACTGTAACCTCATGTTTCCTCTGGATTCAGGAACGTGAAAAGCCTCGAGGACCCTTAAGTTTAGTTCCTGAGTGGCCCCTAAAAGCCTGGTGGGAAATGCCCAAAACCCAATTTTTTGTTGCTTGTTTTTTGTTTTTAATTCTTGTTTGTCTGGGGATCACACCCAACGATGCGCAGGGGTTCCTCCTGGCTCTACTCTCAGGAATTACTCCTGGAAGTGGTCAGGGGACCATATGGGATGCTGGGAATCGAACCTGGGTTGGCCACATGCAAGGCAAATGCCCTACTCACTGGGCTATCGCCGAACCCCTTAGTTTTTGGGGTTTTTTTTTTGAATTCTTGTTTGGGGGTCATACTCAGCGATGCTCAGGGCTGACTGCTGGCTCTGCACTCAGGAATCTTCCGGCGCTGCTCCGGGGATTGAACCCGGGTCAGCCATGAGCAAGGCAGACACCCTCCCCACTGTCCTATCACTCACGCCCTGAAAGCCCAGTTCTGAGCAGACTGTCCTCGGGGCTGTCCTCATCCTCACCTCGGGCGTGCTGAGAGACCCTCCCCCCAGCCCCTCTCGTGCCGTGTTCCCAGGCAGTTCCGCAGGGCCGACTGAGGCTTGCCCCGTGGGGACCGGCTCCTGGAAGGCATTGGTTGTCCTTAACAGAATCCGCCCAGTTATGTAGAAGCGTCCATCCTCAAGTGTAACAAGTTCCTCTCCAAAATGTGAGGCTCTCCTTCAACTTTTAGAAGCCTAACATTCCCTTGAGCGGGGCGCCCACATGCACACAGGCCTGCGTACACACGAGTGTGAAGCACCTCCCTTGCAACTCCCACCCCCTGCCCCCCCTCCCGCCAGTAGCTCAGCACCAGCCTCTATCAGCCATCCAGGGAGCCCTGGGGAAGAGCAGAGCTCAGCTACCAGGTCTGCGCTTTCCTTTCTCTCCCGGCGGAAACTGAGAACATAGGACATCAAGTTCTCAGCCCTGCTTTGCAGAAGAGCCCAGGAAGCAGGTGGGGGGGGGGGGGGGGGCTGCGCCCTGCCGTTCTCTGCTGGGCACCACCAAGTGCTTCTCCCCTCTCTGCAGAGGCAGCCCGGTCACACCAGCTGCGTCCCGAGAAGGGCCGGGTAGGAGGTGTCCAAGGACACAGCCCGGGCTCCCGAGAGCCCACGAGCCAGCTACCTCGGCCCCTTGCAAGTGGTTCCTGGGGCTTGGGGAAACCCAATCTGCTTGTTTTCGGCAGAGGCTGGGATGATAGCATCTCAGAACACGCCCTCGGATGGGGCGGGCCACCGCGGGGGGGGGGGGGGGGGGGGAGAGGGGGGTGCTGCCCAGATTCATTGGACTGGAACCTCGGATGTGCATTGCGGGCTGAGGCCTTGGGGTCCTTTGGGACTCGCTTGGTGCTGAGGAAATCGCTCCTTGGCCTCAGTTGCGGGGGAGAATAATGCTTTGGGCAGCGGGGTGGCTCCTCACTGCCGGGGGAATGAGTCAGCTGCTGCTCGCTCCTGTGAGGAAACTGCCATGGCCAGCTGGTAGGACCAGGCTTTGGGGACCGGCAAGAGGCAGGCACAAGGGGGCCGGAAGGAGAGTAGAACAGGTAGGGCCAGCCCGGGTTCGATTCCCCGCATCACACAGGGTCCCCCAGCACCACCAGGAGTGATTTCTGAGTGCAGAGCCAGAAGGAACCCCTGTGCATCGCTGGGTGTGACCCAAAAAGCAAAGCAGGCGGGCACAGCACTGCCCAGACCGAAGGAACATAGTCAAGGGGGCGGAGCCATAGGACAGCGGGGACAGCCTTTGCCTGGCACACGGCCCACCCGGGTTCGATCCCCGGCACCCCATAGGGTCCCCCAGAGCACTGCCTGGAGTGATCCCCGAGCACCGCCAGGTGTGGCTCAAGAAACAGAGGCTCATAGGCGAGGCTGGACTGGCAGGAAACCATGGCGCCGAATGGTTGACGGAAGAGAACTGGGGGCGACACCAGTGGGTGGGATGTCAGGCCACGCGCAGGACCAGGTGGTGACGCGGTGGCGGAGAGAGGACGAGAAGGAGGCCGACAAGGATGGTCCCCTCTGTGCGGGAGCCTGGCCGGCGGGGGTGTGACACCGCCCTCTCTCTCTCGTGTCTGGCAGGGGGATCTCAGAGTGTCTGCCCCGGCTGACGTGCATGATCCGAGGTATCGGAGACCCGCTGGTGTCGGTGTATGCCAGGGCCTACCTTTGCCGGGTAGGTGGGCGCGGGGGACGGAGGTGGGGGGCAACGAGGGGTGGGGGGGAAAGGAAGGCGGCTGCAGGGCCCTGGGGCCGGAAGAGCAGACTGGCTGTAAAGTGTCCTGTGTGTGCGCGCGTGTGCATGTGTGCACGCACGTCCCCTCACCCCCCACCCCCTCGCGTGTACGAGAATTTGAGACTGTCTGTGCCTGTGATGGGTTTCTTCGCTGGCTCTGTGACCCGCCCCCACCCCCCCAAAAAAGAAAAAACCCCATTTGTGCCACTCTACAGCCAAAAGGGCCGGTTGCTGGGCTCAGTGTATTGGGAAAGGCCAGGGCGGGGGTGTGGGCACGGGGGTCAGGTATCAGCCGCCCCGCCCCCCCGACCTCTAAGTGCCTCCTCTCAGTGACTCGTTTGGTCCCGACGCTTGGCGTCTCTCCAGGCTTCTGCCCCGTCCGGGTTCATAGGGGACCCCGGTGGGCACGTGCCTGTCGATTGCCCAAGTGCCACCATCCCGTGGGCTGTGCCTGCCGGCCAGACCGGCACCCCGGTTCCCACCCTTGGGGCTCATGGACCAAGAAGGGGGAGGGAGTGAGGTGGGGGGCGCACAGTGCCCAAGGCCAGGGGCAGCTCGTGCCCGCGCTGCCGGCCCATACGCATTTCCAAGCTGCTCGTTTGGCTGGATGGGTGAGACACACAGCGTGCGGGCAGGATGCGGGGGTCCGCGGTACGGCTCCAGGAAGGGGGGACAGTTACCTCACCGAGAAGCCACGGCCCGCCCCGGCCCACCGCTCCTCTCCTTGGCCACCAGGCCTGTCCTGGCTGTCCCCTGGCAGGGCGTCAGTGCCGTGTCCACGGTCTGAGTGGAGGGAAGGGCAGTGGGCCCGGCTCTGACAAGGGTCGTCGGTGTTCTGCTCTCCTCTGCCACTCTTGTTCCTTGCATACATCCCCCGGCAGCCCTCAGCACTGCGTCCCCCCAGCCTAGGACTCTCGGGTCCTTCTGGAAGGCTCTTGGGAGCATCTTGGTCCTCGGCCCGGCCTCCAGGGCAGGGAGGGGGTGTTAGGTGGGAATCGTTCCCCACTGGTAGAAACTGGGTCTCGGAAAAAGCAGCTTTCCCACTCGCCCAAGTTGTTTTTGTGCTGAAGCAGCAATTTGGCCTGGGGGTGGATGGCAGTTGCTCAGATTCAGGAACATTCTGGAGCTATATTGTAAACACACTCACTTCCTCCTAACTCAGAACGCCGCCCCCCGCCCAGCCCAGCCCAGCCCTGGCCTCGGCTCCTTCTCTCGGTGAGCAATGAGCATCCCTTCCCTGCAAGTGTTTGCGTCTATTTTTGCCACAGTCTGAAACAAGATCGCTCACACCGGGAGCTCGGTGGGGGGCGGGGCGTCATACCCTGCACTCTGAAATATTAAAATGAGTTTGTGCCTGCTGCCTCAGTTTCCCAGCCCGTGATGTCCCGGGCGCTTGGACATGGCAGGGTGCCCTCTTCCCCGCCCACCCACCCCCCATCCTGCTCTCTCTGTTGCCTTTGACAAGGTTAGCCCTGGGTGTGTGTTCAAGAGATGCCTTTGGTTGCTTGGTTTGGGGATCACACCCAGTGGTGCTCCGGGCTGACGCCTGGCTCTGGTGGTGCTCAGGGACACAGGATTGCACCCGCGTCAGGCTTGTGCCAGGCCGACACCCTCGCCGCTGTCCTCTCACTTGGGCCCCGCAGCAGTCACCTTTGGAAAGTTGCAATGATGAATGCTGCCAATGTGTCTCCGACCCCCTTTTTTTTCCATTAAAAATGGGGTGAGTGGTCCCAGATAAAGCAAGGGGGGCTCATGGAGAAGAGAACGTGAGCCAAAGAGTGGGGAAGAAATTTTCTGGATCTCTCTATTCCTCGAGCCATCGCATGTACAGCCTAGGTATCAGGACTGACATCCTACCGTGCGTCTTTGCAGCTGAGATTGATCTTTCTGGGTTTGAGGTGCTGGAACTAGGGCCTCACAGCTGCGAGGCATGCGCTCGGCGCGGCGGGGGCTGCCGCTGTTTCTGGCCTTCTTGCCTTTGTTCCCGCTCAGGGTTCCGGGTTCTGCTTGGCACAGGTGGGCATGGAGGTGGCGCCTCGGCTCAAGGAAAGCCTCAACGAGAACTTCTTTGACTTTCTGCTCACCTTCAAGCAGGTGAGGGAGCCGCTTCCGGCTGGTAGCCCGGGGCTTCCCCCACCCCTGCCCCCTGCTCTCGCCCCCTGCCAATTAAAAATGTGTTGATTGCATGCTGGGAGGGGAGGGGGCGTTCACACGCGCACGCTCACTGGTCCCGCTCACAGGTCCCCTCGCAGGGCGCTTGCTTCGCAGAAGCTGCCGACCCCCTGCTCTGAGCGCACCTCCCCCAGCCACGGCAGGGGGTCTGGCTCTGCATGAAATCCGCCCCCCCCCCAGGAGATTGTCTGCCATAGAGGGAGGGGGAGGGGGATACTGGGGACCTTGGTGGTGGGAGATGGCACTGGTGGAGGGTTGGGTGGTTGATCATCGTGTGACTGAAACTCAAGCAGGAAAACTTTGTAACTGGATCTCACAGTGATTAAAAAAAAATTAAAAGTAATGAAATTAACATTCTGAATTTAAGAAAAGCAATGTGGAGTTCATGCCCAATTCAGTCAGCTCAATCAATGGCTGAATAAATAGCAGGACTCCTACATTAAAAAAAAGAAAAAAAAAAGGAAAGAAATCCCCCGAAGCAGGCTGTTTCTCTTGGGCCAGCCCCGGGCTCTCTGGCGCTTTGTCCTGCCCGTGACTCTGCTCTCCTGCAGATCCACGGGGACACGGTCCAGAACCAGCTGGTGCTCCAGGGCGTGGAACTGCCGTCCTACCTGCCCCTGTACTCGCCGGCCATGGACTGGATCTTCCAGTGCATCTCCTACCACGCGCCGGAGGTAACAGCTGGGCGGTGAGCAGGGCCAGGGAGGACCACCACCTCCTTTCTGTATCCCAGCACACTGCCCTGCGGGATTTTTACCACCGGGGTCCCTCTGCCCCCACGTGCCGTGACCTTGGAGGCAGCGGAGCTCGTGGTGGGGGCTGCTCCCGGGCCCCCCACTCTCCCCAGAGCACCCTGTTGAACACGTCCCTGGGGGCTTCAGGGCTCGGCGCCACACAGCTTGGCAGTGGGGCCCAAGCCGCGTTGCGGCTGACTGCAGGACCCGCGGCTCCTGGCCTCCTGCCCCACCTGGCGTCCACGGTCCCCGTGAAGGCCTAAGAGCCCAGACGCCGTCTCCCCCTTCGCCCTTTGGTTGGGAGCTGTGGGGGCCACACCCGGTGGTGCTCAGGTGTCACTCCTGGCTCTGTGCTCAGGGATCACTCCCGGCGAGGCTCGGGGGAGCCTGTGGGATGCCAGGGCTTTACACCGGGCTTGCCCATGTGCCAGGCGAACCCCTTACTCCTGTACTGGCCCTTGAGCCCTCGGCCTGTATTTTAATTTCTCCAAATCCTAAAGTCCAGGGAGAAAAACAAGGTCATCTTAGGATTTTTTTTTTCAAGTTTTGGGCCACACCCAGCAGTGCTCAGGGCTTACTCCTGGCCATGTTCGGGGACCATGTGGGGTGTCGGGAATCAGGTCCTGGTCAGCTGCATGCGAGACAAATGCCCCCCCTGCTGGGCTATGGCCCAGCCCCAGTGAAGGTTTCTTGTGCCGATGCTCAGTGCATTAAGGAAGTTGTGTGAGGCTGGCAGGCCTGGAAGGTCCCGGGGAAGCTGGCGGGGCCTGCGCTGCCCCTCACCCGCTGCGCGCTAACCCCCCCCCCCCCCCAAGGCAGATGTGCGAGTCGCCTGAGACAGCTCCCAGCAGGGGCCGGCATGTGTGAAAATGAGAACTCTTTCTTATTTTCGCTCTCTCAGTGACAGGCGAGACAGGATTGAAAATCGAGGGCCCATGTCATGTGATCTCGCGCCTTTTATTTTAAGCTTCCGTAATCTCCCCGGGTGGCGGCAGCTGGGACTAGCGCTTTTCCCGGGGCGTAAAACTCGAGGAAACCGTTGTGGCGTCCGAAGCAGCGGTCTCGAGAGAAATGAGGCCGCTGGAGAGCGAGTCCCAGGCACCCTGTGGTGGTGCTCGCTGAGCGCTGTCCGGTTCTCAGAAGGTAGAGTGGGAGATGCAGGGGCTGAGGTTCTGAGCCACACACAGGACTGGCAGGGGGGCGGGGCGGGGGGCCATGTGGCGGCCGTAGATCCCGTTGAACCCTGAGCCCCGCACCGTCCCACCCCTTACCCCGATGGCAAACTTAAAGGAGTTTTTTTTTAGGGTTAGTAGTAGAAAATTCTCTCCCCTGATTTCACAGAAGTACAGCCACAGCCAGTGAAAAGAAATCAAACCTCTGCCCGCAAACTCCGGGCACATTCTAGCCCGGAGAAAGCCCGCCTTTCCTAGAACTGCAGGGTGAGGGCACTGGCGGGAGAGGAAGGAAGGACGTTCCTTGACAAGCTCTGTCAAGCTCCGTTGTCAGCAGCATTTTTCTTTGTTTTGGGGACGGGGGGGCGGGGCGCATACCTCGCCCAAGGCAAACCCCTTTCCGCCGTACTGTCACTCCGGCCCTTGAACTTGGCGGTCTTGATAACTATTCATGTTATTCTTTTTCCTTGTTTATTAGACTCTGTTAACTGAAATGATGGAGAGATGTAAGAAGCTAGGAAATCAGTGAGTATCCCGGAATTGGGCACGCACAACTTTGAGACAAAGACAGCTGCCTCTCAGGAACGCAGTGTGCTTGAGGGGACGTGGGACCCTGTGGCAAGACAGCCCACAGTGACGGGAACCCAGGTGGCCACTTGTGACTCTTCCTGGACGTGGTGGCATAAGGTCACTTCCCTGACCCCTTGCTACCTCAGTCTACTCTCCTGGGAAATGGGTAGAGTGACGGTCCCCTCCCTTGGGTTCTCGGCAGCAGTGACCCAGATGAACTAGAGCCTGGCCCAGGCAGGTGCTGGCCTTTCAGCCCGGAGGGGGAGCAGGGTCGAGCGGGTTTTGTTCAGAGGGTTCCTGTGACTGCAGCAGAGCTTTGCATGGGGAAGAGAGCTGTATACCTGGAGCCGCCTCAGTGCTGTTACTGTTCAGTTTTAGTTCTGCACCAGCCCCTGGAAGGCTTCAGTACTTTTAAGTGGGTGTGTTTGCTTATTTGCCGGTCTGTTGCCCATCTATAAAGTCTCCATCCACCATCCCATGCACCTGTCCAGCCATTAGCCATCCATCCATCCATGCATCTGTCCATCTATCATCTGTCTGCCCATCCATCCACCCATCCATTCATCTGTCCATCCATCCATCCTCCACTCATACATCTCTTCATCCATTTGTCTGTCCACCCAGTCATCTATCTGTCCATCCGCACATTCCTCCATTATCTCAGTCCTCGGCCAACTGATACCCCTATCCATCCATCATCCACTTGTCCATCTGTCTGTCTGTCCTCTAATGCATCCATCCATCCGTCCATCCATTCATCCATCTCTGTATCCATTCATTCGTCTTACCATCTGTCCACTGGTACCCCATTCGTCTGTCTATCCATCTATTCACTAATGCATCCATCCGTCCATCCATCCATACATACATACATACACACACATATACTCTCACCTGTCTACTGATAAACCCATCCATCTATCCATCCATCCTCCACTCATACATCTGTTCATCCATTTGTCTGTCCACCCACTCATCTGTCTGTCCATCCGCACATTCCTCCATTATCTCAGTCCTCGGCCACCTGATACCCCTATCCATCCATCATCCGCTTGCCCATCTGTCCCATCTATCCTCTAATGCATCCGTCCATCCGTCTGTCCATCCATTCATCCATCTCTGTATCCATCCATTCATCTTACCCTCTGTCCATTGATGACCCATCCGTCTGTCTGGCTATTCACTAATGCATCTGTCCGTCCATCCATCTACTCATCCCGTCATTCATTTGGTCATTTCAACATTGATCATTACCAAATATCACACACAAGGCCCCGTGAGTCTCTAGCGTGACCTTTCCTGCCACACTGTTGGGCACCCTTGCTGGCAGCAGACCCCCTCTCCTGCCCCCCCGGGGACGGCAGCACCTCTCAGTGGGCTCCCCGCTGACGCGGCGCGTGTCCCACAGCGCCCTGCTGCTGAACTCCGTGATGTCTGCTTTCCGCGCCGAGTTCATCGCAGCCCGCTCCATGGATTTTATTGGCATGATCAAGGACTGTGACGAGTCTGGTTTCCCCAAGGTAGGCTCCTGCCACCCCGCCCAGGGCCCCATACTCGGCCTGAAAGCTCTGGAGGAAGAGCCCGGCTTTTGGTGCTGCGTGGGCAGCAGGGCCAATGGGAGCTGAGTCCGTGTTGGGGATTGTCACCCGGTGTGACCTGGCTCCCGACTCAGGCCTCAAGCCGTCACGGCTGCAGTCTGCAGGAGAGAATTGGGTCTCTTGCCTCCGTATTTACGGCACGCTCTGTCCAGCGCCGTCCCCAGCGCCAGCTCTCAGCTTGGAGCTTCTCGGTCTGACGCAAGAGGGCTGGTGGAGAAGCTTGCCTCATCACCCTCCTTGGAATCCTCACCTGGGCACGATTTGCTGTTTCCCCCTCAGCATCTTCTCTTCCGCTCCCTGGGGCTGAACTTGGCCTTGGCTGACCCCCCCGAGAGCGACCGCCTCCAGATTCTCAATGAGGCCTGGAAAGTCATCACGAAACTGAAGAATCCACAGGTGGGTGAACACAGAGCCTTGTTCGTATTTTGCAGTGGGCTCTGCCTTTGAAACAACAGGATTGTAGCTAATGATCTTTCAAAGGGCAATCTGCAGAGCTGGTGGTGGGGTGTGTATTGGGGGCCATACCTAGCAGTGGATGCAGGGGTCACTCCGAACAACTCTTGGGTATTGAGCTGGGATTGGCCCCATGCAAGGCTTTAACCACTGTGCTATCACTAACGCCAAAGGGATCTGCTTTGACCACTGTACTAGCAGACCAGAGAAAGAGAGAGTCCAGTGGGTAGAACACTTACCTTGCACATGGCTGACCTGAGTCCGCTCCCCAGCACGCTTTATGGTCCGACAAGCACCATTTAGAGTAATTTATTTACCTTTCAGGGAGATGTGGTAACATGGAAGATGTCTTTCTTAAATTTTGTGTCATAACAACGCCTCATTCTAGAGACCTTAAGATGTAATTGAAAGCGGTGCTGGGGCAACAGTACAGCAGGGCTGGCGCCGGCCTTGCACATGGGCCGACCCAAGTTCGATCCTCACCACCCCCTAGAGTCCCCCGAGCACCGCCAGGAGTAATCCCCTAGGACAAAGCCAGGAGCAAGCCCCGAGCATCACTGGGTATGGCCAAAAGAAAATATATATATGTATATGCATTTATATGTATATATGTAGACTAAAAGGCCACAAATATTCGATACCTTAAAAATCATTATTGCTTTAGGTTTGGGGGCCATACCCAGTGGTCCTCGGGGTTTACACCTGTGTCCTTAGGATCACATAGCCACCTACCTAATGGGAGTTGGCTGTGTGCAAGGCCAGTACCTTCACCCCTGTGCTCCCTCTCTGGCCCATATTCAGCACTTTAAAACACCTGTAACTTGGCAAAGTGTGTCCCGCCTGCAGCCGCTTACAGTATTTGGATTTCACAGTGCCACTGGGGTAGGAGCTTCCCCAAGGAAGTTGGGTGGGTGAGCAGTGGAAGGGAATCCCAGCTTCCAGCCTGTCTGTGGACCCAGCTAAAACCTCTTTCTGCCCAGATGTGGGCTGCAAGAAGAAGGGGAGCGACGAGGGGGTAGGGGGCAGGTGTGACTCGGCAGGAGGCACCTGCCTCGGCTGTGTTGGCCCTGGGTTTGACCCCTGGGAGAAGCAGGCAGCTGGGCTTCTGCTGGTCACGGAACACCACGATGGTGGCCGTGGGCTAAGATTCAGGCCTGTGCCAGCGATGCTCACAGCTGCTAGCCACATCTGTGGTTGCCGGCCCCCCTCCCTGGAGCGGGGCTGCTCCGCCTGCAGGCGTGAGGTGCGAGGCGATCTCTTCCCTCTTCCTCTTTTCCCCTTCCTTCCCGCCAAAGGGGCAGGATCCAAGGAGGAAGGCAGAAGAGGGTTAAGCGTTTTGCAGGACAGGCGGCCCGCCCAAATCTGTCACCGTTGGTTCCAGAGCCTCGCCTTCCTGTTCTCTCTGTGCGTCTTCTGCTATTGAACACTTCATTTCTTTCTCTGTTCTCGTTTTGTTTGGGGGCCACACCCAGCAATGCTCAGGACTCACTCCTAGGTCTGTTCTCAGGGATCACTCCTGGCAGAGCTCAGGGGAAGCATGGCATACCGGGGGATCAAACCTGGCTCGGCCGCACGGAAAGCCAGCCCCTGCCCACTGCACTGTCTCTCCAGCCCTGTGAGCGCGAACTTCTTCTCTAAGACCTTTTGGGCTTTTCCCACCTTTTTACAGCCCCTTGGCAGCACGGTGGACCCACGGGGCCCAGGGTTTCCCTTTGAGAGCTAGGAAGCTGGTCTTACTCAGGACGCCGTCTCGTTGCAGGACTATGTCAGCTGCGCTGAGGTGTGGGTCGAGTACACCTGCCGGCACTTCACAGTGAGTCGAGTTGGCTCTGTGGGGACTGGCCCAGGGCAGCTCACAGCAGGGGGTGAGGGGAGGCTCCTTGCAGCGCTTCACAGGTGGGAGCAGCTCTGCCAACTCACAGTCCGGGTCCCGGGCCAGAGGGATAATACAGCTGGGAGGGCGTTTGCCTTGCATGTACCCGACCCGGGTTCAATTTCCGACGTCCCATAGGGTCCCCCGAGCACCGTCGGGAGTAATTCCTGAGTGCAGAGCCAGGAGGAACCCCTGAGCTTCTCTGGGTGTGACCCAAAAAGAAAAAAAAATAGTCCCTTGTGAGGCGGGTCACGGCCTTCGTGTGGGTCCATCCTGGAAGTGCTGTAGTGGCTTCACGGCTGTCTGACGTGCCTCGCTCCCCGCCATGTAGTTCCTGCTTCCCCCCACCTCCCCCGCCCCCCCAGGTGCTGGGGCATCCTGGCCTGTGGAGTCTCACCCTGGACTCTCTCGTTCCCCGCCGCTCAGAAACGGGAGGTGAACACGGTCCTGGCCGACGTCATCAAGCACATGAACCCTGACCGGGCTTTCGAAGATTCCTACCCGCAGGTAAAGCCGCAGGTCTCCATCCCCCGCGCTGACCACTGGGGAGTTTGTCTCTGCCCCGGGCAGCGGCAGGCCGCGCGGCTCGGGCTGCAGAGTCAGACGCACCTTGGGCCGGGGCCCTCCGCTCGCTTCCTGCCTCTCGCCTGCCTCGGTCTCCTCACCCAGGAGAGGCTCTGCCTTGCTCCCCAGTCTCAGCTGATGTCGGGGCGAGCTCGCCAGGCCAGCACTGTAGTAGCTTTTTATAGGACTCCCCCCCCCCCCCCCCAGCGAAGCCTCACGGGGGTTGAAGAGCTGCTCAACCCCCCATTTCACAGAAGAGGAAGTTGAGGCCAAGAACTTTCCTCCTGAGTGATGAGTGCGGAGGGTGAACTCGGGCTGAGGCCAGGCCCCACCGAGCCCATTCACCCCCTGTTCCTCGCTTCCTGGAACACCAGTCGCCAATGACGGCGTGCTCTGACCCACCCCTGGCACCTCCTGCTCGCTTTGTTTTGCAGCTTCAGTCGATAATCAAGAAAGTGATCGCCCACTTCCACGACTTCGCAGTGCTTTTCTCAGTGGTAAGTAACCATTTCTCGTTATTCTTCTTTTGGTGTTGGGGCCAAACCAGCGATGCTCAGAGGTAACTCCTGGATGTGCACTCAGGAATTACTCTTCAAGGTACTTGGGGGGCCATATGGGAGGCCAGGGATCGAACCTGGGTCGGCCGCAGGCAAGGCAAACGCCCTCCCCGCTATACTATGTCGCGGTAGCCCCAAGTACCCTCTTAATCCTCTTGGAAATATGCTCATGCCCCAGAGATTCTCATCATGTCGCAGTAATGCTTTCATGGAGCCTTGGGCTCTACCCAGCATTTCCTTTCTGTTAAAAATCAGTTTATTTTGGGAACAGTCGTTCACGATATTGGTGATGGCAGGCAGTCACATAGGAGCCGCTGGAGCATCCCAGCTGCCAGAAGGAAAGACGGGCACTGGGTTTCGTTTCTTTCAGTAGCGTGTAAATTGCACACAGCGGACTTTTCTTTCTCTTTCTCCCTTTAGGAAAAATTCCTGCCATTTCTGGACATGTTCCAAAAGGAGAATGTGCGGGTGGAGGTTTGCAAATGCATCATGGAAGCCTTTATCAAGTAAGTGCCACGCGCCAGAAGCTCAGGTCCCTGCGCCCCAGGGAACCTGATGAGTCAGTGTCCAGGGCCGGAGAGTCCAGCAGGAAGCGCTTCCTTGGCCTCACCCGACCTGGGTTTGATCCTGGGCATCACATGGGTTCCGCTGAGCACCACCAGGAGTTTGATCCCCAACCGCTCCATATGGTTCCCTGAGCACCTCCCAGTGTGGCCCAACCCCCACCTCCCTCCTCCGCAAAAATAAAGGATCTGTGACCAGAGGGTCTGGAGAGAGAGCTCAACCGAACCCCATGCTTCGCATGCAGGAGGCAATTTCCGGTCCCCCTGAGCACCAAGTTGGGAGTGACACCAATGACACCCCCCACCCCCATAAGAACAAACATATCCAAGGTGAGGGTAAACAGGGGCCAGGAGGACTTGGTCCATGTTGGGAGCTTGCCACAGGTGTGTGTGTTGAGGGGGTTGGGGGTGCGGGCACAAAGGGCTTTAGGATAGAGGAGGGATCAGCATGACAATGATCGTTGTGGACAGGAGGTGAGCGTTAAAAGTAGTGAAGGGGTGTACCTGCTAACCTTTCGGTGTCTGCATTGCAGACTGAAAGGCCCAAAAGGAAAGAGTGAAGAAAAGTGTCACAGTGAGGGAGCACGGAGGGCGGGAGGGAACCCGGGGACACTGGCGGTGGCAGAAGGGCGACTGTGAAGGGGCGGGTGTTGGAGCCTGTATGACTGGAACCCAGTCATGAATTTCACAGTGTGTTTATCACTGTGATTCAGTTCTTAAAAATAAAAAATAAAGACGCCTCCTTCCCAGTATTTGAAAAGCCAAATGAATGATCTTCCCCGCACTCAGCCTGTGTGTGCCGACTCCAGAAGGTTCCGGACACAGAGTGAGCAGCTTCATCCTGGCCTGATTTTGGGAATGGGGGCATCTGCCGGGATTTTTGCTCTGTTACGAGATGATCAGATGTGCAGCAGAGCCAGCCGGGACCTCCAGAATTCGGGGGAAACCAGATGGTGGCCCAGACCTGGCGACTGGGGCTTGCGTGGGAGCCTGGTCGCTTGCCGTCTCATGCCGAGGCCGTCGGTGAGAACTGGCCACACGCCTCCCTCCCGCTCAGTAGAACCCCCTCTCCTCTTGCCATGTCTCCCAGGCACCAGCAAGAACCCACCAAGGACCCCGTCATCCTGAACGCCCTCCTGCACGTCTGCAAGACCATGCACGACTCCGTGAAGTAAGCCACACTCGGGCCGGGCCGTGGTGGCTTGGATGTTCCCTCCACCAAGCAGAGTGCCGGGGAGGGGCTGGGTCGAGCTGCTGCTGTGGCCACTGGGGTTTTGAGGGTCTCTGTGGAGCCTCACTAATGAGAGCATCCCAAGCGCGCCAGGAGGGAGATTGAGAAAATGAGAAGATGAGGTGGCAGGGCTTTTTGTAGAGGGATTTCTTTTTTTTTTTTTTTCTTTTTGGGTCATACCCTGCGATGCTTAGGGCTGGAGCGATAGCACAGCGGTAGGGCGTTTGCCTTGCACGCAGCCAACATGGCCGACCCGAGTTCGATTCCTCCGCCCCTCTCGGAGAGCCCGGCAAGCTACCGAGAGTATTCGATATGCCAGACACAGTAACCCTACCCGTTGTGCTGTCACTCTAGCCCCTCGTGCCACTTTTTTCCTGATACGGGTTGGAGCGATAGCACAGCGGGTAGGGCGTTCGCCTTACAAGCGGCCAACATGGCCGACCCGAGTTCGATTCCTCCGCCCCTCTCGGAGAGCCCGGCAAGCTACCGAGAGTATTCGATATGCCAGACACAGTAACAACAAAGTCTCCAATGGAGACGTTACTGGGCCCGCTCGAGCAAATCGACGATCAACCGGAGGGCCTTTACTTTACTTTACCCTGCGATGTTCAGGGGTTCCTCCTGGCCCTGCACTCAGGAATTACTCCTGGTGGTGCTCGGGGGTCCAGATGGGATGCTGGGAATCGAACCTTGGTTGGCTGCATGCAAGGCAAACACCCTGCCTGCTGTACTATCACTCCAACCCTGTCGCAGAGGGATTTCTGCCTGAGGGCTAGGCATATTCGTCCCAGGGAACTGAGTCCAGCCTGCGGACTTCCTGAGAGCGGGAGTTAGCACGCCAGGAATGGAGCCCTGGAGTGTTTCCCTGCGCACTCCCACCCTTGACACTGCCATGGCCGCCTCACAGTCCTGCCCTGTGTTCTTAAGGCTCAGTAGCCTGACCCTACCACTCCAAGGCTGACTCCTCCTGTTTGTTTGTTTGTTTGTTTTTGGCTTTTGGGGCCACACCTGGAAATGCTCGGGGGTTACTCCTGGCTCTGTGCTCAGGAATTACTCCTGGCAGTGCTTGGAGAACCATATGGGACGCCGGGGATCCAACCTGGGACGGCCATACACCCCGCTGTACTGTCGCTCCGGCCCCTCCTCATTTTTCTTTATTGATTTTGTTTTGGAGCCACACCTAGCGATGCTCAGGGGTTATTTCTGGCTCCTTGCTCAGGAATTACCCCAGCTAATGCTTGGGGGATCCTGTGGGATAACCAGTTTGAACCCAGTTAAACCCACCTGCAAAGCCAGTGCCCTTCCATCTGTACTACCTCGGCACCCATGTCCTTCTATCTGAAATGTTCCCGTTTTCTGGCTTTGGAAGCAATTCTTATTTACTGGCTGAAATTTTAGTCTCCAAAATTTTCTTAAGCAGAGCAGCTTGATTTCCTGGAAACTTAGAAGAATGGAGAGAATTACTGTGGAGCTTAATCAGCAACAACATAAGCTGTATTTTTCTTTTTTTTTCCTCTGAAATAATAGACGCTCCTTTTTTTTCTTTGCCTGGGGGCCCCCCCTCAGTGGTGCTCAGGGGTTGTTCCTGGCGAGGCTCAGGGGGCCATATGAGATGCAGGGCATGGAACCAGGCAAGAGCCCTAACCACTGTCCTCTCCTCCAACCTCTTCCATCAGAAGCTTTTGTTTTTTTTCTTTTTTCCTTTTTTTTATTGGATTACCTGAGATACAGTTACAGAGCTTTCATGTTTGAGCTTCAGCCGTAAAATGATCAAACACCCATCCCTCCACCAGTGCTCATTCTCCACCACCAATGTCCCCAGTATCCCAGAGGCAGGGGGAGGGTTGGGATGGGGGACAATTTCTTCTATGGCAGGCAATTTCCCCCACACTCTCTCTCTACTTTGGGACATTATAGTTTGCTCGAATTTTTGCACCATCATTCAAGCCTGCCTGTCAGGGGCAGATGCTAGATAATTTGTTTTCTATTGCTCACTTAGAATACGTGCTTCTGGAATTCTAAGATTGTAAATAGGGATCCAGGGACATCTCTGTAGGGCACTAATCCTTTTGGGGATTCAATTGGGAACCCCTGGACGAGGGCCTGAACCGGGGCCTTGCTTATAGAAGCCCAGGGTTGCCGGGGCTTCACCCTCAGAAGCTTTATAAGGCCAGAAAGCACTCGGTGTTCTTCCCCGTGTAGATGGTGTGTGGTGTCAAGACGCTTTTCCTTTCTAACCATTGTTTGGGGACCTTGTGTGATGCTGTCTCTCCGTTTTTAGTGCTCTCACACTGGAGGACGAGAAGCGGACCCTGGCGTATCTGATCAACGGCTTTATAAAAATGGTAAGGATGGGGAGGGCGGGGCTCCGTCAACCCTCCTCCTGTGAAAGCAGTTAGTGGCCTGTCCCTGGGGGCTCCTTCTGTCTTTGCTGGGGGAAGATGAAACCGGAAACCCTCTTCCGGGAGCCAGCACTTGCCCAGGGGTGGGGCGCCCCCAGCCCCCTGTGTCTGGATGGAGCTCTCCCGGGAGCTAGCTCGGGGCTGTGGGGTCATCAGGACCTGCCGTCCTGGCCTCTTGGTGTCCACTGGGCAGGCTCAGGCTCACCTCCCAGAGCCTTGGGCTTCCTGCCCCCTCCCCCACTCCCCTGCAGCCCTCAGCCTGGGCTGATGCTCCTCGGCTTCATTCGGGTCACTGGCTCCTCCCTGGAGGAACTGGACTGTAGGAGGGAGTGGGCGCCGCAATTGGCCAGGTTTGGGAGGCACCCTCACCTCGCCCCCTCCCCACCCCGAAGGGAGAGGGGGAGCTCCTGGAAGTACCCCGTGAGCGCTTCGGGGGGCAAAGTTCGTGCTAGCTGTTCCTGCTGTGCAGAACGCAGCCCTGAACTGTAAGCTTCAGACCCCTGTGCGTGTGCACACGCGTGCATGACTGTCACACCAGTGGTGCTCAGGGCTTACTCCGGGCTCTACGCTCAGAATTACTCCCGGTGCTGGGGATCCAACCTGGGCTGGCTACATGCAAAGCAGGCACTCTACCCACTATACTGTCTCCAGCCCCACCATGCGGGTTGTCTGGACCTGACCTCGGCAGAATAGCCACAGACGGACTCCCACAACTGGGGTCCAGTTGCTAGTGGGGGATGTTGGGGGTCGGGGGCCCACTGCATGTCCCTGTGGGCCTTTTCCTCACCCGCATGCCCTCATCCTCAGCGGCTCCCCTGAATTCTCATGTGGTCAGGCCACCAACAAGCTGTAGGCCTTTGAAGGCTGAGACCTCTAAATCCAGTGACCAGGCCTGCGTCCTGTTGGTAACCAAGTCACAGGGCCCCTGGGTGGGTGCAAAGCAGAGGAGCAGAATCCCAGAATCCCAGCCATGGGAGAGACCGTCCAGCCCAGCCTCCGAGGCCTGTCACAGGCTCTCAGAGCTGCCCAGATCGCCACTGACCACAGCCACAGCAGCTCAGCCGCTTGCAAAGTGACCTTGGCCTAGATGTCGGTCACCCCCACACACCGGACTGGGGTGGGGTCGGGGTCAGTGGGGAAAGACAAGCTCCAAAGGAAAGCTGGCCCCTCGGGCTCCCACAGCAGGAAACGGACCTGGGCTCTCCTCAGCTGCCTGCCACGTGCCCTTGACTTAGGGCTGATCACCTGGTGTTTACCACTGTGGCTTTGTCTGGAAGCCCTGGAGCGCTAATGGGAAAGAATGGGAGGAAGGAAGTGTGAAATCCGACCCTGTAATGGAAACAGCAGCCGGGCAGCCCTCTGGACAGAGCGGGTGCCCAGTGGAAGGTCTGGAGGGTGGGGGGGTCCCACAGGGCCACCTGTGAGCAGCTGAGAGTGGGGTACCCCCCTGGGGATGCAGAAAGGGGTGACTCTTCTCAGGGGAACCCCTACACCCAGGAATCACCAGACTCTGAAGCTGTGAAAAGTGTAAGACCAGTGCAAGCCATGGTCTTGCAGAAGTCGAGCGTGGGGCACAGGCTGTATGTTCCCTAGCGCCTAGCGCCCCCCCCCCCCCCCCCCCCGGTCTCGGTGTGGTCTACTCCGTGGCAGCATCTTTCTGCCGGCACCCCCTTAGCGCCAAGAAGGGCAACAAGGCAAGTGCTGGTAGGAGCACCTGAGGTCATGGCACTTTGCTTTAGAATTCGTCTCTGGGGCTGGAGCGGTAGCACAGCGGGGAGGGCGTTTGCCTTGCATGAGGCCAACCTGGGTTCAATTCCCAGCATCCCATAGGGTCCCCTGAGCACTGCCAGGAGTAATTCCTGAGTGCAGAGCCAGGAGGAACCCCGTGCATCACCAGGTGTTACCCAATAAAAGCAAAAAAAAAAAAATTCTGGTCGTCGTGTGTTTCGAAGCCTCCTGCCATTGCCAGGGTTTTCACAGCACCCATATTCAGTGATGGGCATTGAAAAAGCCAGTGTCCACTCCGGAACCCGTGATAGGAGATTTCAGCCATGTGCCGGGTAAAGTCAGATCTGAGGGGTATATTCCAGGGCCACGGGGGCTGGAGGGACAGCACAGTGGGGAAGGCACCTGCCTGGCACATGGCCGAACAGGTTCAATCCCCAGCACCCCCCAGGAGTGATCCCTGAGCACAGCCAGGTGTGGCCCTACACGGAATGAGTGTGTGAGTGTGTGTGCGCATGCATGCCTACTTTCTCTTTCCAATCCCACCCATACGGGCTCATAGGATGTGGGGCAGCCAGTCCTCCCAGCCCCTTGGCCGCCAGATAAAGCTCAGGTAGGACCCTTCCACTGGTGTGCGCGCCCCCTGTGGAGAGAGAGCACTTTGGGAAGAGCATCTTTGTCCTCGGTCCCAGGTCTCCTTCGGCCGTGACTTTGAACAGCAGTTGAGTTTCTATGTGGAGGCCAGGTCCATGTTCTGCAACCTGGAGCCGGTCCTGGTGCAGCTGATCCACGTGAGTCGGGCTTCGCCTTTATTTCCTGGGGGCTCCCAGGGGTCTGCCCAGCAGCCGCCCGCCCGGGGCGAATTCCACACCAGGCTCCTTCTGGCCCTGGGAGGTCCAAGAGGTGGTTGCTCCCAAGGTGAAACGAATCTGCAACTTGGCTTAAGTCTGCCAGGCGTCTTTGGGCGTCTTTCCTTGGGATTCACTTACGCTTATTTCTACGTGGCAGCAGCCAGTAGTTCATGCCAGCTTCAAGCCCCTTTTGTCCCAAGCAGCTAGACCCCAGCCTCCCTGAATCACAGCACCCGTGGGTAACTTTTCGGTCTTCCCCCAGGCCCAGACACAAGTAACGATTCTCTTTATTAAGAAGCTGGGGGGCTGGGGATATGGTGCTGCCAGCAGGTCAGTCTGTACCTGTGAGGCGAGTGCATCAGCAGCCTGATGATGCCTTCAGACTTCCAGATACCCCAAAATTGCTGCTGTGCCTTTGGCCAGGCCCCAAAAAACTTGGGGCAAAGTTTACCAAGAAAGTAAATGGCCAAAAGTTAGGTATGTGGAAGACACACCCACAAACCACCTCTAGCTCAGCTATATAGTTGGAGGCATGGCCTCTCTGGTTCCTGATCGAACTGCTTAACAGCCATGATCCCAGAGACTCAGAAACAAATATCAGACCCCAACAGCTTTTGGCAGAAATGCATCCGGTCGCTGCAATAGGTTAATGGTGCTGGATCACCTCAGGTGGAAATAGGTTTCGTGCCGTGGCCTGTTCCCCCTGGCCGCCCGGTGGCCATCATGATCCAGAGCCACTGGACAGTCAGGTTAGGGCCCGCAGTGACGAGACACGTGGGGCCTCATGGGAGGGGGTTGGATCCGGCCCTTTCCTCCCCATCCCAACGAGTCACCACCCACGAATGGCCTCTCTGGCTCCTGATCAAGCTGCTTAACGGCCATGACCCCAGAGACTCAGAAACAAATCTCGGAACCTAGTGGCTTTTGGCAGAAATGCGTCTGGACCTGCAGTTGGTTACTGTTGGCAGGCCACCCCAGGGGGGAAAGGGTGCGGTCCCTCTGCCTGCTCCCCCTAGGCGGCTCGGTGGCTGCCATCCTCCAGAGGCCACTGGACAGTCAGGTTTGGGCCCGCAGTGACGAGACACGTGGGACCTCACGGGATGGGGGTGGAGCCGGCCCTTTTCTCCCCATCCCAACAAGACCCCGAGTCGCCACCCATGAACAGCCTTTCTGGCTCCTGATCAAGCTGTTTAATGGCCATGATCCCAGAGACTCAGAAACAAATCTCAGAACCCAGCAGGCTTTGGCAGAAATCCTTCCGGATTTAATTGTTAAAATTTCAAAATCGCATGGCCACTACTGCAGCCACACAACATCATATATTATTCATAACCAGCAATAGAAAACAAACTGTCTACGTTGCCTTTTCAGCAGATCTGAGTGTTGGGGTAAAATCTCAAATAATAATGGTGGGTCTGGTGACAAAATATTGAATGTGATCAAAGTAGAGAGAGAGTAATGTGGAAATCATCTGCCCCACAGGTAGGGGGAGGGTGTGGGATGGGGGTACACTGGGGGTTTTGGTGGTGGAGAATGGGCACTGGTGAAGGTTACGGGTGTTTCATTGTATGACTGAGACTTAGACCCAAAAGCTTTGTAACCTCTCACGGTGATTCAATAAATAAAATCATAAAAAAAAATAAAGAAGCTGGGGGGCTGGAGTGATAGCACAGCGTGGAGGCCGCTTGTCTTGCACACAGCCAACCGGGGTTCAATCCCCGCATCCCATATGGTCCCCCAAGAACCTCCAGGAATAATTCCTGTGTGCAGAGCCATTCCTGAGCTTCGCCAGATGTGGCCCCAGAACAAGCAAAAAACTCCAAAATAATGATAATATATATACTAATAAGTTAGTTCAGGGAAAGGAGAGCTAATATAGGTCAAGGTGCAGCCAATATCGATTCAATACCCGGCACTGCATAGGGTCCCCCAACACTGCCAGGAGTGATCGGTTTGGCCTCAGTCTAGCACCACTTCCCCTAGTCAGAAGAAAGTGATATATAAATTTAGTCTCAGCCAGCCACCCGGTAGCCCAGCAGCGCGCATACTGTGTAAGCAAAAGACAGGGTGGAGAGAGAGTACAGCGGGGAGGGCACTTGCCTTGCATGTGGCTGGCCCAGGTTCAATCCCCTACGCCCCCTATGGTCCCCCATGGAGCCCCGCCAGGGGTAAGCCCTGAGCCCAACCAGGTGTGGCCTCAAAACCAAAATACAATCAATAAAAAGTTGGCAAGAGAGAATACAATGAATGCAAAACAAAACAAAACCAGAAGCTGGCTTTCTTGCATAGGGGCCGGTGCACCCCAGAGCGGGCAGTGCAGCCCCTGGCCCTCGGCAGCTGGTGGATCGCTGCTCCTTCTCTGCTGCTTCTGTATCAATGTCCGCATGGTGTTTGCCTTTCCTCACTATAGTGGCCCAGATGCCAGCTCCCTGAGAGCCCCCCATACCACCGCCCTGCAGTGTTCTGCCATCTGGCCGCACCGGGGCTTCTCAGGAAAAAAAAATGTGGTGCCTCTCTGGGTTTGCTCTGGCACCCCAATGGGGTATGCTGCGCCACAGCCTGGGGACATCGTGGGGGTGTTCTCTCAGACTTCAGTCCGTCCGGTGATGCCCACCCTGTTTTGTGTCACTGGATTTTCAGGTCAGGCTGTATTCCTCAGCTTAAGACCAAAAATAGGGACTTTGGGGCTGGAGCCATAGTCCAGCGGGATGGGCACTCGCCTTGATCCCCAGCACCCCGGAGGGTTCTCCAAGCCCCACCAGGAGTGATCCCTGAGCAGGGCCAGGTGTGGCCTCCAAACCAAAATAATAAGGGGACCAGAGCGATAGCACAGCGGGGAGGGCATTTGCCTTGCATGCGACCGACCCAGGTTCGAGCCCCGAGCACCACCAGGAGTAATTCCTGAGAGCAGAGCCAGGAGGAAGCCCTGAGCATTGTTGGGTGTGACCCAAAAATGAAATAATAATAATAATATAAAGCTAATAACAGGGACTTTGTAGAGTGGGGAGCCAGCATCTGCCTCGTGGGATTTTGGGGACTCCGGAAGCAGATGGGGAGTCCCTCCAAGACAAGCACCAGCCCAGTGTTGGGCGGCGCTGTGATGAGGTCCCGTATGGCTCTGTCAGTGCAGGCGAGTGGGCGGGGCAGGGTGTGACGTCTGCACCTCCGGTCTCTACATTCTTGAACTGCCCTTTGTGGGATTTCTAGAACTGGAGTTCATGAACCCCTGGCTGCCCGTTAAGCCAGAAAACGGTCACTTGGAATGCCCGGTGCGGGGCGCGGTGCCTGAGTGAGCGAGAATGCCTTGTGTTTCAGCCCTCCAGGGAGGTTTGCTCCAGCGGAGGGCAGACCCGCCCTGTGGCCCCAGAGGCGTTTCAGGGTTCGGTACCCGCTCAGCCTGGACCCAGTTAACTTGTACTGTTGCCTTTTCTGGGGCGAGGGTCCCCGCAACATGGCTGGCGGTCACCGGCCTCCGTCACCCTTTCACTCACCCTCTCCCTTTTTGTTGGCTGCAGAGCGTCAACCGGTTGGCCATGGAAACCAGGAAAGTGATGAAAGGAAATCATTCCAGAAAGACGGCCGCGTTTGTGCGGGTAAGGTCCCGAGATGAGAGCGGCTGGCCTTGAACTCGGGTGGGAGGTTTTGTTTGCGAGTCTCTAAATGGCTCTTCCCAGAAAAAGACACAACATGGGTGGTTTCATATTGATTTTCCAGATGCATTTTCTTCGCTGGTCTCTGCACTCTCCGGCTTTTTTTTTTTTGTACTGTTCTCCAAAGAAGTGATCCAAAGCCTCTGAATTCCAATGAATGTGACGGGGAGATGATTTGGAGATGGCTTTGCAGGCCCTGGTGCCAGAGGCTCATCTCTGTGCCTTGTGCCCAACTGAAGGCCTGAGGTCTCGGACCTTGTTTGCCTTCTGACCGGGCTCCCGGCCCCGCAGGATCTCGTGGGCCCCCTCAGTTGAGTTCCAGGCATCCAACCTGGGTTCCCTTTGAGCCACCTCCCCCACCCCTAAATCTCTCAAGATAAAGAAAAATGCAGCTTCAGGGCTGGAGCAATAGCACAATGGGTAGGGCATTTGCCTCGCACGCAGACGGCCCCAGCTTTTCCCAGAATCCCATAGGGTCCCCCGAGCACCTCCAGGAGTAATTCTTGAGTGCAGAGCCAGGAGTAACCCAAAAAGGAAAAAAGAGAATGCAGCTTCTTGCAGTCCATATCCAGGGGGGTCGGTTGGTTGGTTTGTGTTTCTGAGTTCTGTCTGGGGGGCCACACCAGATGGTACCCAGGGGACCAGATGAGATGCCGGGGATGAAACCCGGCTTGGCTGCACACAAGGCAAGTGCCTGACCCGCTGTACTAACTCTCCAGGACCCCTGTTCAAGTTTTGAAAAATGAAATCGTGCCCCAAAAGGTCATGATGAGAAGCAGCATTCCTGTCCTGCCTCTTCTGTCCTCTGCCTTCAGTGAGAGGCCTCCAGCTTTTTGTCACGGCTGCCATACTTTTAAGTCGTTGTAAGAACACCGGCTTCAAGCACTGATTTAAACAGCTCTGCCGTGCGGCCAGAGGGAGAAATGGCACGGGAGGTGGGGCCCTTGCCAGTGTCAGTGCACGCTGGTTCAGTCTGGGCACTGCTTCTGGCCTCCTGAGTACACTAGGGGTCACTCCTGAGCACTGAACCAGGAGTACCCTGTGCACCACCTTGGTATGGCCCAAAGGCCACCCGCAGAGAGCTGCTTCCCCAGTCCTCCCCTCCCGGGGTGGCCGCTTTTTTTCCTGGGACAGTGATGAGGCATTTCGTTTCTTGTGTTTTGTTCGTCTGCTGCCCGAGAGGCAGACAGAGCTGACAGAGGGGGGAGACAGGGGCTTGAAAGGGAGAGTGGACGTCGCTGCCCTTATGACGGGGCGTGGTGCCGGGAATCAGGCCCGAGCCTCCCAGGGAAGGGGCGCCCGGACGCTGAGCTGCCTGCCCACCCGCCCGCCCGCCCCGGGTGGTTGTGGCAGATGGAAGCAGGTCACTGGCCAGCCGGCCACCTCACGCCTGCCCTTCCTTCCAGGCCTGCGTCGCCTACTGCTTCATCACCATCCCCTCCCTGGGGGGCATCTTCGCGCGCCTCAACCTCTACCTGCACTCCGGCCAGGTCGCCCTCGCCAACCAGTGCCTCTCCCAAGGTGAGCCTGTTTCGGAGGCGTGCTTGCTCACGGACGTGAGTGTGTGTGTGAGTGTGAGTATGAGTTTCTGGGTATGTGTGAGTGTGAGTGAGTATATGTGAGTGTATGTGTGTGAGTGTGTGTGTGGGTATAAATGTGTGTAAGTATGTATTTGTGTGTGTGTGTGTTTGTATGTATGGGAGTATAAGTGCATGAGTGCGTGTGTGAGTGTTTGTGTGTGTGAATATGTATGTGAGTATGAGTGTGTGTATGAGTGTGTGCGAGAGCGTGCGTGTGTGGATTCCATTAAGTGCCCCGTTCCCTGCCGATAGCACTGAGGCCTTACCGGCATGCTCTGTGGGCGCGTCAGTGGGTGACATGGGGGTTTCTCTACACAGCGTTTCCCAGCATTACCTCCCTGGGGTGGGCTCGCTGGCATGCTTGGGGGGTGGGGATGGGTAACGTCAGCTGCCGTTGGAGGTGCCTTCTCTTTGCCCCCTTAGAGATAGGTTTCCAGGGCAGGTGCTGAGTGACTTTTTTTTGGTTTGTGAGAGAGAGGTAGTAGGCCCCATCAGTTTGGAAACAGACAAGAACTTGGCCTTGGATTACAAAACTGAGATTATAAATTCATGGGGGTCTGATGAGGTGGCATCCGTGTGATGTGAGGCCTGTGCTGGGGACTCCTGGGCCTCTGGGAGGGGTGAGGCGTGGTGACCGTGTCCATCCAAACCATAAATGTTGATGCTGTTGTACACATGTGACCAGAATATGATAAACTTTTAAAAACAAAAAAAGCAAAAACATGAAACAAGGGGCCCAAGCGATAGTACAGCCAGGAGGGTGTTTGCCTTGCACACGGCTGACCCTGGTTCCATCCTCGGCACCCTGTACGGTGCCCTGAGCCTTTCCAGGAGTGATCCCTGAGTACAGATCCAGGAGTAACCCCAGGTATTACTCCCAAACAACACAAATCCTAAGGGCCAAGGAGATAAGTCCAGGGTCAGGCTGTGCACCCCCAAGTGTCGCCGGGGGCCCCCACCAGCACCCAACCCAGGTAGCCAAGTGTCTCCCAGAGTGACCATCTCCAGCCCCCGGAGCACTGCTTGGGAGTCCTCCGCTATGTCCCAATCCCTGGCAGAGGTTTGGGGCTCCTCAGAACTGCACAGAGGGCCAAGAGCGCCTTTGTCTGGTCCTGGTCCGCCCACGGGGCCAGCCACGCGTAGGCACAGCCGGGTCCCCTGGGTGAGTCCTGAGCAGGAGGCAGCCCCGTTTAATAATTCAGCGGGGATTTTTCACTTGGACTCTTAGAGGCCACCGTGCTGACCGCTCAGCGCCAGTCACTGCTCTCCTGGAAGCCACACACACGGCCGCACTGGCCACGGCAGAGAACGCGCTCAATCGCGGGGAACGGGGGGCTAAAAATAGACAGACTGTGAGCATCCCCAGCAGCTGCGCTCAGCTGCCACAGGACCCTGGCCGCCAGCCCCCCGCCCCCATCCGGCAGGGCTGGCGGTGCCTTCCCGTGGGCTGCGAGCGAGGCTGCTGCGGGACGCTCAGCTGTGGGGATGGTGGGGATTCAGTCCGTCTTGCCTCTTCTCCCCCGTCCTGCTGCCCCCCCCAGTGTTAAGGGGACATTCTGGTCAGTCCTTGGGTCTTTGTCCAAGCGGCGGACAGGCGGGTGACGCCCGGGCCCCGGGGAGCTTTGTTCTTTCTGGGAGTCTCTTGCTCCTGTTCTGCCTCTCCAGGGTCTCCTGTTGGTTTCTATTCAGGGGGCTACCCTGGCAGTACTCAGGGCGTCCTCCCTGTTTCTGCACACAGGGATTGCTCCTGGTGGGATGCGCCAGGGGGTTGCACCTGGGCCCACCTTGTACATGGCCGAGCCCTCGCTGTTGTCCTGCCACTCCAGCCCCGTCTCCAGTTCCTGACCTCAGGAAGTTGTTTCCAAGCGGGGGGTCTTAAGAAGTCCAGGGGGTGGGGCTGGAGCGATAGTACAGTAGGGAGGGTGTTTGCCTTGCACGTGGCCAACCCAGGTTCAATCCCTGGCATCCCATAGGGTCCCCCAAGCACAGCCAGGAGTAATTCCTGAGTGAGTGCATGAGCCAGGAGTAACCCCTGAGCATCACTGAGTGTGACCCAAAAGGCCAAAAAAAAGAAACGCCGGGGGTTTTGGAGGGGCCTTGGGAAGGGGAGAAGAACCAGCCCACGCCGAGACCTCGGGACTGACTTGCCATCGGCACCAACAGCAGGACCTATTGGTTGGATGTCCTCGTTCGTGGTCACTGTCCAATGCGTCCTGGACAGGTGGGCCTGCTTGGTCCTCAGCTGGCCCATCAGCAGCGAGGGGGCGGTGAGCTCGGTTGCAGGGTAGAGAGAACAGGCCTCACGTCCCTGCCCTGTGGCCCATGAGCTGCTCAGTGAACACAACCTTGGTGGAGGCGCCTCGGGGCCCGCTGTCCCGGAAGTGAAGATCCCGGCTCTTCCAGCCCCGCTGGTGGTCAGCAGATCTCATTCCCGTCGGGGTGAGGACCCCTTCCCCACTTACGGAGGACTTGGCCCTGCCCTGCACCATCTGACTTCTTGGGCGTTTTTTGCATCTTCATCTTTCCAAGCTCGACTCACTCCCAAGCTGGGTGTTTAGGAAAACCGTCGTGGGCTCCTGACCCCCGCCGTGGAGAGTGGTGGCGGCACGTCCCGGACGTCACCGGGGCCTTCACACAGCCTGGCACGACAGCTGTGCCGTGAGCAGAGCGAGTGACGCGGCCACGAGGCAGCGGATTTTCTCCCCGACGGGGAGGGTCGGCCCCACCACGTGTCGCTGCACCGCTGCCATCTGGCCTGGCTGAGAGCGCACAGCCTGCCCTGTGGACAGGCCTCTGGCTAAGGAACGAGTGGGGACACTGGGAGAGGATTTCTCAGCCAGTGCAGAGTGGTTGCTGGAGGGGGAGAAGGTCCCCTCGAGGCCTGGTGTTCGGGGGCCAGTTGCCACATTGAAGAGGAAAGGAAACGAGCCGCGGGCCACGGCGTGGAAGGAGGCGTGCGTGGTCTCCTGGCCTGTGGGATGGCCGTTCAGCACAGAGGAAGGCTGGGGCTGACGAAGTGCAGGCTCCTTGTCTCTGCGGACCCCACCTGCCCGACGGGGAGCCGAGAAAGAGAACCTTGTCTCCTGGCCCCGGAGAGCCGCGTCCCTCTCTTCACCCCGCCACGTCTCCCAGTTGTGGGAGGGGGAGGAAGTCCAGTCCAGATGCTTTTGATGGGCGTCTCTGTGGGGGGCTGGAGCGATAGCACAGTGGGTAGGTCATTTGCCTTGTATGCGGCTGACCCGGCCGACCCGAGTTCGATTCCTCCGCCCCTCTCGGAGAGCCCGGCAAGCTACCGAGAGTATCTCGTCTGCACGGCAAAGCCTGGCAAGCTCCCCATGGCGTATTTGATATGCCAAACAGTAATAAGTCTCACAGTGGGGACGTTCCTGGGCCCGCTCGAGCAGATCGATGAACAGACAGTGGGAGGGTAGTGCTCTAGTGCTCTCTGCAGAACATGCCCGACAGGAAAGCTTTCCCTCGAGTCTGGAGGCCTCCTGAGTGGGCACAGCCAGCGAGGTTGGGGGGACAGTCTTGTGTGGGCTGCCACCTGTGGCTCTCGTTCCTGTCTGAGCACCCAGTGGGTGGCAGCCAGCGAGCAGGGGCAAGCATCTCCCCTCCTGCAGCGCTGGGGAACTCGCTCCCTCCAGCTCCGGCACGTGGAAGCCGTGCGCCCAGAGCGGGCGCCTTTCTCCTGGGACGGGGTGGCCTCTGTGCATGGTGACACTGGACAGCAGGTGGCATGTGGCACTGGGGCATCTTCCAGGACAGAGAGGACCCCAGCTGGGTGCAGCCAAAGAGGAGGGGGAGAAAAAGCCTCATCAAAGAGCGGCATGGACGAGCAGGGCGGGCAGCGAGGCATGGGGCATTCCAGGGCCAGCGCCGAGGCCTGGAGGCTAGACACACAGAAGCATCTGGAAGGAATGAGCAGGAGGTCACGGGAGGAAGGTGCTTTGGGGCCTAGCGGGGGGGGTGGGGAGGGGACACTCTGAGTTCCTGGCAAAGCAGTTTGGTGTTTCTCTGCGGGACAAAGGTTTCGGAGATGGGTTCGTGTTCCTTTCTCAGACGGGGAAACTGAGGCTCAGCCAGATTCCCATAAGTAGCTAATATGTGGGAGTCCCAACCAGCTCCCTGTGCGCAGCCCACCCCCACCCCAGACATCCCTCTTTCCTGGCAGACAGGTTTGGCTCTGAACCACTGGGCTTGATTTCTGATGGGGTGAGAATGGTTGTAGCAGACCTGTTTCACCAGTGAAAGTGCAGCCAGACCTGCTCAGAGAAGCGGTGTGTGTGTGTGTGTGTGTGTGTGTGTGTGTGTGTGTGTGTGTGTGTGCGCGCGCGCGCTCATGTGCATTCACCTTTCACATGACTGGCCGGGTTTGATCCCATGATCCCATGTGGCCCCCTGAGCACCGCCAGGAGTAATTCCTGAGTGCAGAGCTAGGGGTAAGTGCCGAGTATTGCCAGAGTGCGCCCCATCCCGCTTTCAAAAAAAAGCAGATGGGGCTGGAGCGATAGCACAGCGGGTAGGGCATTTGCCTTGCACGCAGCCGACCCGGGTTCGATTCTCAGCATCCCATAGGGTCCCCTGAGCACCGCCAGGAGTAATTCCTGAGTGCAGAGCCAGGAATAGCCCCTGTGCATTGCCGGGTGTGGCCCAAAAAGCAAAAAAAGAAAAGAAAAAGCAGAGAGGAATGTGGAAGAGCCCCCAAGCTGCCCGGGGGAGCCCCAAACCTCCAACACAGGCCATGACAAGCTGGGGATGCTGGCATGGGGGGGAATGGGTGTCATCTGCGTTGGCCCAGGGACACCAGTGATGGTGCTCAGGGCCCCTTGGAAGGGCCTGGGTGGTCCGCAGGGAGAGACCAGCCTCATGGTGTGGGGGAGGGGTCCCGTGGGGGTCACGCGTGCACCCATGTGGACTTCTCCTCTAGTGCTGATGCTGTGTGTGAGCTTAAGGCCACTCTGCAGTGCTGGGGGCAGGGCGGAGGGTGGGGGGCGCAGCAAAGAGGGTGAAGCTGCCGGTGCAGGGACCCCTGTCCAGTCCCACAGTAAGGCCTCTTGCTGTCCCTGGGCGAACCTGTTTAAATCTTGGTCTCTAGGCATGGATCGTTAATGTAGGAGCTCTTACGTCTCTGCGCTCAGGGACGAGGGTTCAGCTGTGAGGCACCTGCCTGGTGTCCCATAGGGTCACCGTGGCACCACCAGGAGTAGTTCCCGAGTTGCAGAGCCAAGAGCCAGCCCTGAGCATCACTGACGTGACCCCCAAAAAAGAATTAAAAAAAAAAGCAGACATAAGTTTAACACCAAATAGTGAGTCACCCCGACAGAGTTCGTGTGTCTCGTTCCTCAGACGAGAGGGAGGCGACACTGTGTGGGATGAGTCCTGTGAGGGCAGGGACCTCGTCTGCCCAGGCCGCCTCAGCCCCCTGCTGGCGAACGGGGCCTGGCAGGTGGGGGTGGGGAGGTGCCCGAGGCTGGCTGGCTGCCCCGGCCGACGCCCCTTGGTCGCAGACACACAAATAGAATCAACACCATCCCCGGCGAGCCTTTCCCAGCAGCTCCTTTCTGCCGAGAACAGCCCTTTGCGCCTGCACGGTGGGGGGCAGGGGGGTGCTGTCCGGGAGAAGCAATGCACAGTGAGTGCCCCCCTCCAGGGCAGAGTCCTGGGCCAGTAGGACCCCCGCACCCGCCTGTCACGTGGCAGGACCTGCACACGTGTCACGTGGTATGTCCTGCTGTTCTGTCACGTGGAAGGCTCTGCACACGTGTCTTTCATGGTGGGCCTCCCGTGAGGTGGCCACGTGGGGCTTCCTCCCACAGTCATGAGCGAGCCGGGGAGTCCCTGCCGGGGTGCCTCCCACCCGTGCCTGGGGTTTTCTCGGCTCGGTAAAATACCCCCTCCGAGCCCCAACCTGCTCAACTGCAGCTTTCTGGCTCGGTTTGGCACTGAATCCAGCGCAGGAAGGGGAGGGCCCGAGGTGGGTCCCCTTGCACACACAGGCGGGCCCCGGGGGTCGACAGCCGCCGACACTGAGTAGCCCCCACTCCGGCCCCTCCTCTCGCAGCCGACGCCTTCTTCAAAGCTGCCATCGGCCTGGTTCCCGAGGTCCCGAAGACCATCAGCGTGGAGGGCAAGCTGCGGCCGTCAGAGCCCTTCCTGCTCGAGTTCCTCTGCAACTTCTTCTCGACACTGCTCATCGTGCCGGTGGGTGCCGCGGCGGGGGTTAGGGGTGTCGGGAGCCTGCTCTGCGTGTCCGGCCTCCAGCTCACAGGCCGTGCCGTCTGCCCGGTGGGAGGTTCTCTGTGCGGCTGTCAGTGTGAGGTGCTAGCGTCCCCGCTGGCGGGGGGCCAGTCCTGGTGGGATGCTTTCCTCGTCTGTGAAGTGGGGGTGGCCGTGTCTGCACTTCAGGGTACTCTGAGGACTCGGGGAGCACATCCCGTCAGGGTGCAGCCCCGGGCCTCGGCGTGGTGAGCTGCCACCGGCGCGGGGCATGGTGGGTGCCAGGGACCCTGGCAGCAGAGCAGGGCTCTGAGGGCCAGTACAGGGCCTGCTTGGTGAAGGTGGGAGCCGGGCCCCCAGCAGCTGTGAGAGCTGAGAGGCTCTTCTGGCCCCCACAGGTGCTGGCCTCGCCCCAGAGCCCAACATCTGCCCAAGTCCCAATCTCTTCTCCCTTTTGAAAGCTCTGTGCTGGGGCTGGAGCGATGGCACAGCAGGTAGGGCGTTTGCCTTGCACGCGGCCGACCCGGGTTTGATTTGCAGCATCCTATACGGTCCCCCAAGCACCACCAGGAGTAGTTCCTGAGTGCAGAGCCAGGAGAAACCTCTGGGCACCACTGGGTGTGACCCAGAAAGAAAAAAAAATGAAAGCTCTGTGCTGGCCTTGCTGCCGTCACGGCCTGAAGCCGTCCAAGGGCACTGTTTGGCTTGGTGGGGGGCACTCCTGCCTCCGTGCTCCGAGTGACCCCCGGCAGTGTTGGGACCTGGTGCTGGGATTTGAGCCGGCATCAGCGGGGTGCGAGGCAAGTGCCCTGGCTGCTGTCCAACTTCTTAAACAGCGTTGCCGCCACTGAAGCTGCAAGCACAGGACATTGCCGCCTGTTAGGTCAGAGACCGTCTCTCTGCCCGTGGGCAGGATCCCTAGGGACCTGCACGGCTCCGTCACCCTGACCACCCTCTGGATGGTGTATCGACCGTCCCATCCCCACACCCCCAGCTCAAGGACATCCCACCCTCATCCTCCTGGCATTTGGATCGAAACTGAGTTGCTGGAACATTCCGATGGTTGTCTGTTTCCAAGGCAGATCATTTGAGGAGTCTCGTTCTGACCACGCACGGAGCAGAACGAAAGCGCCTAGTTAGAAACAGCTGTGCACAGAGACGGCCGGCCGGGCTGGGTCTGGAAGGCTCTGGAAACGGATGGCAGCCTGGCGGCTCAAGGGCCAGGGTTTGAGGCTTCCAGAGTGCGGGATGTCCCCCCCTCTCCCTGAGGCCAGTATCATGACAGCGGTTCCTGTGGGTTTCTTGTCCCTTGCCTCATTGTCAACCCCCCCACATACCCACAATGGACCGGATGTGGGGGTCCCTCCCCCAGAGACAGCACCACACATACACACACTCCCCCAGAGACAGCACGCCACACACACACACACACACACACACACACACACACACACACACACCCCACCCCACCCCCACCCCCGGAAAGTTAACATTGCTGCAGTGCTGGGGTCTCACACGATGACTTGAGCCGCATCCTAACCCTCTGATGGCTCCTGCCCCCAACAGGCCCGGCCTGCCAGGCCAGTGTCCAACAATCCCCCAGGGACAGCCTGGAGGCGGTGCCCGCAGAGAGCCCATCGTGACCTCAGGGGCCCCCTACCTCTGCAACTGTCTGTCAGCGGTGAGAGGTGGGCTGGAATCTAGAACTTTCTTTGTAGGCTTGCTTAGGCCCGGTTTGCGAGAGGCCAGGGACCCACAGGTGTCCCCCCATCCCTGACAGGGCCTTGCCCAGGGCCAGCCTTGCCCTGGGCTCCCGGCTCCTCAGCGGAGGGAAAAAAGCAAAAAAGCCCAGAGGTAGTCGGACCCTTGGAGGGAGAGAGATAAATAAGGTGTTCACTCGGGGTGCTCGGGCAGAAGCCAGGGGAGAACTCGGAGCGGCAGACGGCACAGCCACGGGGCACACGGGAGGGTGTGGGAGAGAAGATTCCAGTCAGCAAGGACTGGAGCCAGGACCCTGCCCCATCCAGCCTGTTGGGGTCTGGCTCTGGCTGGCTCCTCTCACCTGGGAATGCAGCCCCTTGTCCTGCCTTCTGCCTCCCTCCTTCCCTCCCTTCCTCCCTCCCTCCCTTCTTTCCTAATCCTTCCGTCCTGCCTGCCTTCTTCCCTTCCCCCTCCTTCTCCCTCCCCTCTCCTTCCTTCCCTCTCTCCTGCCTGCCTGCCTTCCGCAGTGCTTGGACCTTACTCCTGGTTCTGCGCTCAGTCCCTTAGATGGGCTCAGGGATTGACCCGGGTGCATGGACACACAAGGCAAGCCCCTCCCCACCGTCCCAGGGCTCCAGCCAAGGGTTAGGGCTTGCCCAGGAGCCTGCAGCCCTGCTTCTCCCCACCCCCCAGCCGCAGGCCAGGGCATCCCAGCCCCCACCCCTCCCTTTGCTTCCAGCCTGTGGCCTCAGGGTCTCCCCCCTGTTAGAGTTTGCCTCTGTGCACAAGTGCTGAGGGGGTGGGGAGGCCGCAGAGCAAGCAGAGCTTCCATCCGTTCATTCCCCTCCTCATTCCTTCCTTCCAGCATTCCTTCCTTTCTCCCTCCATCCACCCATTCTCGGCCAACTGCTGAGTGCAGGCGGGGGCAGGCGCTCCTGGACAGTGGATCGTGGCTGCTGGCCGTGCACATCCCCGAGCTCTCCAAGCTCTCTTCCAGTCCAGTTTTGCTGCCGGGAGACCTGGAGACCATCCCTGAGCCGGGCCAGGCCCCGGGAGAGGCGTGAGACCGTCCCTGGCTCCATCCCCCAAAAACTGCCAGGACGGGCCCAGAAACAGCTCAGATAAGACCCCCCCCGCCCCCCCGAGTCCTGGCTCGGCCTCTCCCGGGAGAACGTCCTGCTAACACTGCTGAACAGGCTTGAGAGTGAAGCCGGATTTGAGGCTGGTGCCTTGGGGGGTGATGGGGAGGGGACCCAGCCTGGGAGGGGGCTTCTGCTCTCCAAGGCCTGCAGCCCCCTTGGGGTGTTGTCTGTCACTAGAGCGCTGTGCCCATCACAGCAGGGCGGCCCAGCCCAATGGGCTGACAGCAGAGGGTCCCCCTGTGCAGGGTCACTCGCTTGTGTCCCCAGCCTCACCTCAGGCACCGCAGCTGCGTGAGCTGGGGGCTCCACTGGGAGGCTTGCATTTGGGTTGTAGCTTGGTGGGGTTTGTTTGTTTTTGCTTTTTGGATGACGCCCAGCCGATCAAGGGCTCCTCCGGCTCTGCACTCAGGCGTCACTCCTGGCGGTGCTCGGGGAACCCCAGGGGATGCTGGGAATTGAGCCCGGGTCAGCCGTGTACAAGGCAAACACCCTCCCCACCGGCCATCGCTCCGACCCTCTGGGTTGTAGCTTGGGGCCACTCCGCTGCGACTCCCAGCTGGGTGCTCGTGGGGTGGGGCTGGGTGGCCCCATGACCCAGGGTGCGTTGCTCTCTCCTGCTGCTGCTGCTGCCCCTCTGGAGCAGGACTGACCCTGTGTCGGCGCCCCTTAGGACCACCCCGAGCATGGGGTCCTGTTCCTGGTGCGGGAGCTTCTCAACGTGATCCAGGACTATGCGTGGGACTGCGGCGGCGACGACAGGGTGCGGCTGTACACGTGCGTGCTGCACCTGCTGGCAGCCATGAGCCAGGAGACCTACCTCTACCACATAGACAAGGGTAGGCGCTGCCCACCAGCTTCGCCACCCCTGCCAGTCCCTGCCCCCGGCCCCCCTGGCCCTTTGGGGGTGCTCTGTCGCTATCCCGTGTGTAACTCCTTGGGCGAGCAGGGGAGTGGCGTGCGTGCCTGCAGCCCCCACTGTGGGCGGGCAGGGCTGGGGTCCTTCCTTTGCTCTGGCCCTGCAGTGTTCCCTTGCTGGTGGGAGCGGGGCTCCAGGGTCTGAGTGAGGTCAGACTCCCCCCACCCCCCAGCATCCCCAGAACCTCATGGGCTGGGGATCTGCCCATCTGAGGGGGGGAAGGGAGGGAGTGGGGAAGCTCCGCTCGGACTGTCCTCATGGGCAGCCCCAACCCCAGAGTAACAGGCCCCTACATGTGGGAGTGGACACAGGATGTCATGGGGATCTGCTGTTTCATGGTTTGGGGAGGGAAGGAGGTCACTCCTGGCTCTGTGCTCTGTGCTCAGGGATCATTCCTAGCAGCGCTCAGGGACGACACAGGATGCCTGGAATGGACCCCAGGTTGTTCCCCTGCAAGGCAAGTGCCTTCCCCACCATCTTAATCTGTCCGGGCTAGATGCCCACACATCTGCGAGCCTTAATCTCTTGGGATAAATGTCCCAGTAGCACTGTAGCACTGGCCTCCCATTGTTCATCAGTTTGCTCGAGCGGGCACCAGTAATATCTCCATTGTGAGACTTGTTACTGTGTTTGGCATATCGAATACGCCACGGGGAGCTTGCCAGGCTCTGCCCTGCAGGCGGGATACTCTTGGTAGCTCTGAGAGGGACAGAGGAATCGAACCCGGGTCGGCCTCATGCAAGGCAAACTCCCTACCCGCTGTGCTCCAGCCCCAAGTCCCAGTAGACACATGTAGAGGGCTTTGAGAAGGGGAGATTCTTCCCAGGAAGGGAGCATAGAGAGAGCAGAGACAGGACCCGCCCCAGGTGCCAACGTGCTGGGTTTAAAGGTCTCATAAGCTGGAGTAGGAGCTGTACAGTACAGCGGGGAGGGTGCTTGCCTACATGCGGCCGACCCGGCTTTGATCCCCTCCTGGTTCCTGAGCAGTGCCAAAAGCGATTCCTGAGCATGGCTGGGTCTGACCCAAAAACGAAACAAAAGGTCCCATAAGCTGGCCCACCTGCCCATCTCCCATGTCCAGTCCCCGGCAGAGTGAGGCTCGGAGCTTCCCCTCTGCCTCCGTCCCAGGGGTTGCTGCTGAAGGCAGCCCTTTCCCGCATGGGGCGCAGCGCGGCCATCTGTTCTGTTCGCGTGAGCACCAGGACTTTGCTGGAACCCTCTGGAAGGCCGCGTGCCTTCCCTGGACCCTAGATCCCGCCCTGGCTTGGGCTGGCATGTGCGCGGGGCAGCCTCACTCCTCCTGCTTCTCTGTCCTCAGTGGACTCCAACGACAGCCTCTATGGCGGGGACTCCAAGTTCCTGGCAGAAAACAACAAGCTGTGCGAGACGGTGATGGCGCAGATCCTGGAGCACCTGAAAGCCCTCACCAAGGATGAGGTGGGTCCCCTGCCCCTCAGCCTGCCCCGCCTTAGCACCGTGTCCCCTCAGCCGTGAGGGGGGGGGGGGGGTAATGAGGCTCAGCCCCACCTCTGCCTGGAGTCCAGAGAAATGGGGTGTGTCTCAGCCTCACGCCCCTGAACCCGGACTCTTACCCCTGGAATCCCTGGACGTACTGCCGAGTCTGCGGCGTCTTCCCCGTTTTTTTCCAGGTTTTCCCAGGTCTCGGCTGGGAGCAGACTGGTTGGCTTCTCGGGGCTTTCCCTGGCCAGGATGGAGCGGGAGGAACTGGCATCTGGCCTCTCCACTCTCGCGGCATTGCAGGAGCCAGTGGGCTCCTCGAGGGGGGCAGCCGAAGGTCCTTCCGGGACCCCGGCCTCCCGAGGGTGGCTTCTCCAAGCATGACCCAGGCTCCTCCGGCTGCACCTTGGGGATGCGCTCGGGGGAGGCAGAGCCGACCGCTTTCCTCAGACGGGTTCCCCTGAGCTACCCCAAGGGGGACACCAGTGAGGATCGTACTGATGGTGGGGGGCCAGCACGAAACTCGGGGCCCGCCAGGGGGTCACGGGGAGGCCACAGGAAGGAACCGGGCCACCCTCCCACCCAGACTGGCGCCAACTGCCTTCTCCCCGCAGGCCCTGAAGCGCCAGAGCTCGCTGGGCCTGTCCTTCTTCAACAGCATCCTGGCCCACGGCGACCTGCGCAACCACCGGCTCAACCAGCTCTCCGTCAGCCTGTGGCACCTGGCGCAGAGGCACGGCTGTGCCGACCCCCGGGCCATGGTGAGACGCTGGGGGATGGCGGGGCGCAGCGGGCCCCTCCCGGCCCCAAGGGCGAGCGACGTTTCTTTCCTCCAGAGACAGACCAGCCCGAGTCATTCCTAGTCACCCCACATCGGGTTTTCTTTTTTCTTTTTTTTTGGGGGGGGGGTCACACCCGGCAATGCACAGGGGTCACTCCTGGCTCTGCACTCAGGAATTACTCCTGGCGGTGCTCAGGGGACCATATGGGATGCTGGGAATCGAACCTGGGTCAGCCAGGTGGAAGGCAAACGCCCTACCCGCTGTGCTATCGCTCCAGCCCCCCACATCGGGTTTTCTTGGAGGCCGCTAGCTCCCTGAGCAGTGCTCAGTCCCTGGGGTCCTCAGCTTAGGCTGCTTAGGCTGATGGTGGGGTGTTGCAGGGGACCACCAGGGTTGCCCAGGCCGTGTTCTGGGGCCATGTGCTACTGGGGCTCAAGTTTTGTATCCCTCAACCTCTGAACTCTGCACCGCCTTCTGTGGGGTGGGAGTGTGTGTCTGGGGGGGAGTTGGGCCAGAGCGGGCAGCGGGTGGTGCTGGGGATTCAAACCAGGGTCAGTTGCTTACAGAGTGGCACCTTGCCCGTGGGCCCATGTTTAAACCCTCACTAAACCTCCTTTTAAAAGCGCGGAGGGGGACGGGTTTGCCTTGCACGCGGCCAACCCAGCTTCGATTCCCAGTATCCCATGGGGTCCCCCAACACCGCCAGGAGTGACCCCTGTGCATCACCAGGTATGACCCAAAAAGCAAAAAAGAAAAACGTAAGAGAGCGAGGGGTAGCAGAAGCCACTTCCTTCAAGCCTGCAGGGTCCTTTCCTTTCGGTGCCCTCCAGAACTGACCTGCCATCCGGCAGGAAAGTGCCAGCCCAGAAGGTGGCTCGTCCGAACCAGAAGGGACCCGGCTGTCTCTTTCCTCCTAGGTGAAGACTCTGGAGTACATCAGGCAGCAAAGCAAGCAGCCGGAGATGGCTCACCTGACGGAGCTGGCCCTCCGGCTCCCGCTGCAGAGCAGGACCTGACCTCGCGGCCCGGCCAGGGCCTGGGCTCAGGGCACGCCTAGGAAGGCCACGTCTCTGCCGGTCCTCACACACACGGGGCGCAACGATCGTCATCGCAGCCTCCCTGACGCAGCCTCCCGGAGCACCCTGAGCACATGGGCCGCCACAGGGGAGGGGGGGTGTGGGTGAGCCCGAGGAGCGGCAGCGCCACCCGCCTTGTGCCCACAAAGTGCTCAGGCCCCAGCGATGGAACCCTGCCTTGAGCGCAGAGGGCTGGGTGGCCCAGAGAACATTTCCTGTCCCGTGCAGCTCTTTTCGGACTCCGACCATGGCCGTGGGTGGCAGAGAAAGAAGCGTCTACCACAAGGCCCCCGCGGCTTCTGGACGTGAATAATCCTCAAGGAACATGTTGCGTTTCTGCGGGTCCCATTGCTGCGACTCTTCATCCGGGACGAGCAAGTTAGTCACTGCGGCAGCCGCGATCCCAGACCACCCGCCCAGGACCTGCTGACCTCCCTGCTCCCGAGCTGCCAGGCTGAGAGAGGAGGAGATTAGTGCGGCCCGGGGGCCACCGCCTCCAGCGCGGCTCAGGAGCAGGGCTGCCAGGCTGTGGGTCGTAAAAGCCCCCCGCTGCTCTTCTGGAAGCCTTGCATCAGGCAGACTGGCACTTCGTCTGCGCTGGAAAATGCACGAGACAGTTCCTCTCGGACCTCTTGACCCCCCACGTCAGTGTGGACCTGCTGCAGTCTGGTCACGAGCCTCCCGGGGCTTTCCTGGCCTACCCAACGGCCTTCCACGTCCCATACCATCGCCTAGGCCACCCCATCGCCCTTTACGACCTAATACAGAAACTCGGAGAGCACAGTGGTGTGACTCAAATATGCCCAAGGTGGCCTTTATTTCACCCATTATTTCCATTATAATTCTTTCTTGTGACACTTAAAAAAAAAACGAGGCTATTTCAGTAGGTCTAAAGGCTGGGAGGGCTACAGGGAGTGTTTGGGCCACATTGTGTGAAGGTGCCCGGCTCCCTTGGGGATGTGAGACGGAGTGGGGGGCTGGGGGACACTCCTGGTACCTGGAGAGATCAGACGTGGACACATTGGTTCCTGCCATTCGCCACTAGGTCCCCAGAAGAACCCCCAAGATCCTGGGCTCCGAGCTCAGCCCCAAGAACAAAGGGGGAGGCTGGCTTGGCCCCCCGCCCCCACCCAGCAGAGGAAGTTCGGGCCCATCTTTGGGGATGCGAGCCAGGCGCCTCTGCCTGCAGCGGCTGAAACGGGCGAGGAAGACGGATGTTCTCCCTGCCCGTTCCTCGGCCCGCTTCCCGCTGGCCTCTTCCGCCTACTACGGAACTCCCATTCCTGGGCCAGAGGTAGTAGAGGGCTCGGGGCATGCGGCCGAGCCTGGTTCGATCCCACAGCACCAAATACGGCCCCCCCGAGCCTAGCCAGGGCTTGCTCCTGTGCACAGAGCCAGGAAGAGCAAAAGCACCGTGGGGGCGAGGCCCCAACAGCAACCAGGGAAGGGAAAGCACCTTTTCCCTCTGCGGGACCCCGGAGTCCCCAGAGCTCTTCTGAACAAAACTCCCTGGTGGGGACAAATGAGCAGTGACCCAGGTGCTGGCGTGAATGGATTGGTGGGGGGGCTGGCTCTGGCAAATCGATCTCCTTCACCCTTGCACCTCAGTTTCCTCATCTGTAAGATGGGGAGCATCATAGCACCTGGTTTGCGATGAGGAGGAGGAAGTAAATAGGATGCCAGGGTAGTTTTTTCCACGAGGCCCCGCCAGGCACACCGGGAGCCCCCGAGCAGGAGCTGTGCCACCCGGCTCTGGGCCGGGGCTGGGGCCGGGAGGGGCCCACCTGTGCCCGCCTCCCAGCTCTCAACAGCCACTTCCCCACCACGTGTCCGCCACACCCCGCTGTCCCTCGTCCTCTCCAGGGTCTGGGGCCCGGGCCAGGCCGAGACTCCGGCTCACGCCGGCCCGACTCACAAGTGCGATTCTGTGGGGAAGGCGGACAACAGCCGTTTAATCTTCGAACTTGAGCGACCTGGAGCCGTTCTTGTCGATGTAGAAGACCCGGTCGGCCTGGGAGCGGAAGCCAAGGCCGACGCCGCGCCGGCAGCGGTAGTCCAGGGCGCGGTCGTAGTCGCGCTGCAGGTGCCGCTGCAGCATGTCGGCCGCCCGCTGGTCCAGGGCCATGTTGGTCCTGCTCATCACGTCACGGGAGCGGCTGTAGGACGGCGACAGGTTCTTGAGGCCGCCCATCAGCTTGAAGAACTTCAGCCTCTTCTCATCGGTGTCGAACTCCGAGGTGTCCCACTGGCCGAAACGGGTCTCCTGCGTGAGGAGGGCGAGAGGGTCACCCTGGTCCTCGGACCCTCTCCCTGGGCGGGCGCCAGGGCAGGAGACGCCTGCAGGGGACTCCCGCGCCCCAGGAAGAGCCTCACAAGGAAGGCGCTGCTGTCCCATGGGGGGGGGGGCCAAGCCTGATGGGACGGCGACAGGCCAACCGCAGGCCCCCCTGTGCATGGCTCGCCTATGGCGGTGCGGCCCTGCCCGTCACCTCACCCCCACGCCACCCCAGTGGCCTCGGCACTCTCGCCTCACCCCAGAACCCCTACCTCCCCACCCCTCCTGCCTCGGCACCCACCTCACCCGCACACAGCCCCCCTCCCCTCAGCACCCCACCCCCACCATCCCTCCTCGTCGGCGTTCCCCTCACCCCACCTCAAGAGACTCAACCCAGCCTCACCTCACCCCAACACCTCACCCCACGCCAGCGCCCTCGCCTCGCCTCAACCCCTTCCCCTACCTTAGCGTCCTCCCCTCCCCTCCCCCTCAGCGCCAGCAGTCTGCCCCAGGTCTCTGAGAAGGGAGCCGGCCAGAGGGAGGAAGTGCGGCAGTCACGAAGGGAGCAGGGAGGCCCAGAGCCCGCTAGGGAGAGCAGGGCCCAAGGACTGACCCCTCGCTCCCGGGACCCGGGGAGAGACAGGCCCCGGCGCCAGGTCAGATCACCTCACCCGAGCCTCACCGCGCTCAAGGCAAGCTCCCGCCGGCCGCACCATCTCCCTCGCGGCCACTACCCTCACCCACACCGACGGTGCCCTCCCGGGCCCACTGAACGGCAGACCCACGCTTTCTTCCGGTGTGGCTTTGGGAGCATACCTGGCCATGCTCAGGGAGCACTCCTGGCGGGCTCGGGGTGACACCTATGGGGTGCTGGGATGGAGGCCAGGTGAGCCCCCTGCAGAGCCAGCGCCCTCCCTGCTGGCCTATGGCTCTGCCTCAGCCCTACCGCCTCAGCTTGGGGAGGAGAACCAGCGAGGCTATGCTGACCCCCACCTCGCAGAGCCACAGCCAGATCTTTCTAGAACCAAGAAGCTGCCTCCAGCACCCAGGGTCTGAGGACAACACTGCCAACCACACCGGAGGGCCCCCCGGCACCCCACAGTCAAGTGGCCCTGCGTGCACCTCCCGAGCAGAACCGCACCCCTGTGCCAACTCCCCCAATCCCACCCTAGGCCCGCCCCTCACTCGGGGCACCAAGGGACTGGGTGAGAAGTGGCAGAGCCCACCATGACCCAGGCAGGGGCCAAGTCCCTTTCACAGGTGTGAACAGGCTCGAGGCGCGGGAGCAGGGCCAGGAAGGATCTTGGGTCCCGACGCCGACGGCGGGGTTCACACGGGAGGCCTGTGCCTGGCGCTGCCTCCCCCTCCACCCCGTGAAGACCCCATGGACAGGATCCCCTCCTCCCCTCTGCCCCCTGTCCCCACCTCCCTGGTCAGGGGACACCTGAGCTCAGGCAAGTTCCCATGCGGCCAGGGCACTGCATGGCCCTGCCAGGAGCGACATGTCCCCGACACCCCACATGGGTCCCAGCCGCAGACCCAGGGGCTGGCCGGGGTCGCCTGTCCCTCTGCGTCCCCTCCAGAGACCAGGCTAGGAAACTCACCGTCCACTGGCACTGGCTGGAGTTGGATGTTTCAGTCTTGCCTGACTCCCGGTCGATCTCTTCCTGCAAGGCCTTCCGCCTCACCTGGGAGGGGACAGAGGGGGCAGGGGGTGGTGAGGGCCGGGCACACACACAGGGAGAGCGAGCAGCTTCACAGGGCCACACAAGCTGCCTGGCAGCGCCCCCAGGCTCACCTCCCGGCGGGAGTCGCCCCCAGACACACGGGTGATTCGCCAGGGAAGCCTGGCTAAAGCACGAGGGCCCCGGGGCCGAGCCACTCTGAGTGGCAGCCAGCCAGAGTGCCACCTGCTGCCAGCCACATGTTCTGGGCGCGCAGAGGCTGGCTTGGAGTCCCCCGATGCACCCACAGCAGGGCGCACACTGGAGCTTTCTGCACCTCGGTCTTGGAGCCCCACCGGGGGCTACAGGCAACACTGGGGTTTCACAGGACAAGGGACGCCTAGCACCCAGGTCGCGCAACTAAGAATGCCGGTGCCCGCCTGGCCCAGGACGCCATGGGCGCCAACAGGCACACGAGAGAAAGCGCCAGGACAGCCCTCAGCTGCCAACGGAGCGGGCCCTGGGGAGGGGGCGTCACAGACGCAAAGCCCAGCGCCGGCTCGGGAGAAGCCCCACGTGGGCACAGCCAGCAGCATAAAGTGGGACAGGCACGGGAAACACCGCACGCGGGGTGGCGGGGGAGCGAAGTGGCAGCCCCGGCCGGCGGGACGCACGGGAGGCTGCCCTGGGGTCTGTCCCCAGCACCACACGGGGTCCCCCAGCCCTGCGAGGGGTGGTCTCTGAGCACAGAGCCAGGAGTAGCCGTGAGCACTGCCGGGGGTGTGGCCCCCAAACAAGAAGAAATGCGGCTCCTGGAGAAGCAGCAGGCCGCCGAGAGTGGCCTCGTGGTCCTGAACGCAGAGATGCGGATGCCCCGGCCCGCCGCTCCAGGCATCGCTTCCTCCTGTTGACTGGCTGGTTTTGTTTGGGGGCCACACCCGGCGACGCTCAGGGACGACTCCTGGCTCTGCACTCAGGAATCATTCCTGGCGGTGCTGGGGGGCCCTATGGGACGCCGGGGATTGAACCCGGGTCGGCGGTGAGCCAGGCAATCGCCCAACCCGCTATATTTCGCTCCAGCCCCGCCCCCTCAAACAAAATAATCAAAAACAACCACAGTGAAGTTCCAGACTCATGGCAGAGCAAGCATGGGAAAAAGCGTCCCTCGGATTGACAGAAGTGTGTCGTCCCGGGGGACAGACGCTTCCCGATGACCCGCAGGGTTCACGTGGCACGCAGCCAGGAAGCCAAGCGGCGGCTGTTGGGGTGACACGGGCTGGGGCCCCGTCTGGGTCTGTGCTGTGACGTCCCCAAAGCCTCTCGGTCCCACTATGATACCCAGGCCTGGGGAGTCGCTCCTGGACCCCAAGGGCGGCAGATCTGGGACCCCCGGGGGATCCACTGGCGCCCCCCCACGCCCCTTTCTGGCACGCTGCCGCCACCACACCCTGTCCCTGCTCTCTACCCCCGCGGGCCCACAACTTCCTGCCCAACCCGGGGGACGCCATCAGGGCACGGCCTGCCCTCCCGCCAGCATCCGACAGGCCCCAATCCCACCCAACAAAGGGCGCGCGGGTGGGCAGAGCGGTGCTGGGGGACCCGCTCCCGACATGAGGCGGCAGGCTGACCTGGTCAATGTGCAACTCGTCCATGTTGCCCTTCTTCTCCAGCACCACCTCCAGGTCCGTGTCGGGGGCCTGCGCGAGAGGACAAGGGCGTCACAGACCCGAGGGAGCCCCCGGCCACCACTGCCTCCCGAAACTGGGTCCAGCTGGGAAGAGGGGGTGGCTCAGGCACGCACCCCCTCTCCTGCCCAACAGCTACCTGACGGCCCCTGGGCCTCCCCAGACCGGGAGGGGGAGGGGGCGAGGGCAGCCGGGACGGGGTCCAGGCACATCCCCCCCATCTCCCCATCATCTGGAGAACCTCATCCCAGATGCCTGTGCCACCACTCCTGCTCCATTCCCCACCGCAGCTCCTTAGAGCTCTGCACCCAGTGGGATTAGGAAACACCCCCGCCCACCACCCACCTTCAACATCAAGAGAGAGAGCCGACAGAGGGGTTCCTATGAAACCCCATCTGGACATGCCAGGCTTTTTTTTTCCCTGTTGGGTCCCACCCGGCAATGCACAGGGGTTCCTCCTGGCTTATGCACTCAGGAATTACTCCTGGCGGTGCCCGAGGGACCCTACGGGATGCTGGGAATCGAACCCAGGTCAGCACAGCTACCCACTGTGCTATCGCTCCAGCCCCATGCCAGACTCTTCTGTGCAGACGCAAGAAGTGGGACGAGCCTCAAGCACGAGGGGCTCCCGCACGAGCCCCTGGAGGCAGAGGCTGGAGAGCTCTGCCCCTTTCAGGGAGTCGGGCCACAGGGTCACAGGGAGCACCGGCCCCCAACTCTAGCCCGGCTCGTCGCGAGGCGCAGCAGTCCCTGCCGCGGCGGCACCCACCTCCTGCGGGGTCTCTTCCGCCGCGGGGCACTCCCTCCTTTTCTTCTTCTTCTTGCGCTTCGCGGCCAGCTCCTCCAGGTCGGCCAGCCCCGCCTTCTCCTTGCACTTCTTCGGCTTCTTCTTCGTGGGGACCTTGGGGCCGTCGCCGATGGGGAGGCACTCGGCGGCGTCCAAGCCCTTAGCCGGCTTCTTCTTGCCGGACTTGCGCGGGCTGCTGTCCAGGGCCCGGGAGCGCCGGGCCAGGCCGGGGGCGAGCTCCACCTCTGGGCAGCAGGTCTTCTTCTTCCGCTTGAGCTTGGCGCCGCTCCTGGGGCTCCCCTGCTTGCGCTTCTGCCCCCAGGCGGCCGGCTCGTCCCCGGCCGCACCCCCCAGGGTGTCCATGGCGTCCCCCGCCTCGCAGAACCAGGCGGCGTGGCCTGCAGAGAGCCCGGGCTCCGGGGATTTCTTGCGGGCCTTCTTCAGCTTCTTGCTGCTGGCCTTCTCGCTTGGCCGGGGGTCCAGACCCTTGGTCCGGGCGTCAGGGGACAAGGTCAGCGGCCACAGCGACTTCCGCCTCTTCTTCTTCTCCCCACCACCCCCGCCAGCCAGCTCGGACCTCCTGGGGCTCGAGGGCTTGGAGCGGCGGCCCCGGAACTCAGGGACAAGGGACTCGTCGCAGAGCGGGCTGTAGGGGCCTTTCTTCTTCTTCTTCTTCTTCTTCATCAGCGGTGACTCCGGGCCCCGCCCCCGGGCCCCACACTTGGTGGGGGACGCAGCCCGGGAGGTGGAGAACCCCGAGAAGTAATTGCCACTGTCCAGCACCGAGTACTGAGTCTCGGGGTCCCGCACCACTTTCTTCTTCTTCTTCTTTTTCTTCTTCTCTGGGAGCCCCAGGCCCAGATCACCCTTGTGGGTCTTGGTGATCATCACTGGAAAGACAAGAAGTGGCGTCAGTTTACCGGCCTGGGAGCTGCGGTGGAGGTTGGGGGGTGCCCCCAGCCAGCTGCTCCCCGCAGTGCCCCTGGGAAAAGGACATGGGGGGAGGAAGACACTCCAGAGGGTGACACCCCAGGGTAACGTCCAAGAGCCCCTCTCAGCTGGGGGAAATGACCCTTTCTGCCCCCAGGGGCTGCTGGGAGGACCAAGAACACCCAGAGCCTGCAGATGCCCATGACACCCTCACAGTCACGCCCTCAGCACTGTCCCCTTCCCTGGTGGACGGGGTTGGCCAGCCCACGGCAGCCTGACGCCCCCATTCCCACCCGAAAGCAGCTGCAGCGACCTGCTCTGGGCTGGAGACCCATTCCCTCTGTGTGAGGAGCCGACCAGCCAGATGCTGGGCCTCAGTTTCCCCTAAGTGGGGAGGGGAACAAGAGCTAAGCGGGGCTCAAGCACCCGCCATGCAGGCAGCTGACTCAGGCTCCATCTCAGCACGTCAGTGGCACCTCCCTGGACACAGCCCATTTCCGGTTCCTGCCGCTCAGGGCACAGGGATGACCCCAGCATGGGAGCACTGGACATCCAGAGGCCAGGCCAGGAGTCTCTTCAGCTGCGGCTCTCCTGGGCATCAGATCTGAAGTTGGGGGGAGGGGTACACCACATGACTGCAAAGAGTCCTAGGGGGACAGGCTGGGGGGGCAGGGCAGAGAGCACCTACCCAGCATCCACTCCTGGCCCATCTCTCTGGAACCCCCAGAGGCTGGCTCTGGACCTGGCACAGGGCAGGGGCTGGATCTTCCCAGTGCCAGTGAATGCCAGAGAGTCAGGAATGAACGGGGTAACTGCCCCCAGGGCCGGAGGGCTGCCTCGTTGGGTGGCCCACCCCAGTTCAATCTCCTGCACTGCACAATGCCCTCAGCATCCTGGATGATGCAGGCCTGAAGGCCCCCCAGCGCCTCCAGAATGGACTGGACGGATCCCCAGCATCGCCATGAAAGGCCACACCACCACCACCCGAGGCAGCATCAAGAAGCGTGCAGGTCATTTGTGGAGCTTAAACCAACATAACATGAGGCTGACGCCAAGGACCGTAGAGGGTGAGGCAGTTAGACTGCCCCATAGCTGGAAGGCTGCCTCATGAGCCGAGGGGGGAAGGCAGCTGGACCAGGAAGGGATCACCAAGTCGGTGATGGTCGGAGGGACTGCTGGGGATGGGAGACGTGTGCAGAAGGCGGACGAAGGGCCAAACACGACAACCTCTCGGTGTCACAACGAGCAAAAGTAGAGAGGGAGTAGGGGGCACCAAGTCTGCCACGGAGGCGGGGAGGGTGGGAAACGGGGGCGCGTGCCGGGGATCCTGGCGGTGAGGAGTGGGGGCCCCGCTCGCCCGGGGTGGGGGAGGGGCTGGTCCCGGCCCGGCGTCCGCCCGGGATTCGCACCCCGCCCGCGGGCTCGGGGTCGCCGGCCCTCCCCGCGCCGGGGCCCCGCTCCAAGGCGGGGGGACTTCCTGCGGGCGGGGCGTCCGGCTCCTCCCGCGCCCCCACCCCGCGCCCCCACCCCGCGCCGCGCGACCGGCTCACCCGCGGGCGCCACTTCTCCGGCCGCACGTGAGAGCGCGCTCCGCCGCGACCCGGAAGCGAACCGTAGGTCGCAGGCCCGCCCCCGCGAGGCCCGGCTCCTTCCGGGTCGCGGCCAGGGCGCCAGCGCCGTCGCGGCGGCTGAGCCCGCGGCCATGGCGGCGGCGGCGGCGGCGGCGCCCGAGGAGCCGGCGGGCTCGGCCGAGTCGGTGGTCGCCGGCCGCACGCCGGTGCCGTCCGCGTCGCCCGGGAGCCCGCAGCAGCCCGCCGAGCCGGGGCTGTGGGAGCGGATCGGCGCGGGTAGGCGGCGGCGGCGGCGGGCGGGGGCGCGCGGGGCCTCTGTGCGCCAGGCGGCTGACGCGGGCGGGCCGGACGTGCGCCCTGCGGCGGGGGGCCCGGTCCGAGCCCCGGCACCCCGAGGCGCCACCGAGCGTCGCCCGGTGTGCCCCGGCCCCCAGTGAAAAGAAAGAATGGGAAGTTTCAGCCGGTGCCAAAGCCCAGCCATGCTCCGTTCTGAACCGAGGCGCCAGGGAGACCCTCCCTGGGCTTCCCCCGCCCGAGCGCGAGCCGGGGCGCCCAGCGGCAGGAGGGGCCAGCCCCGAGGGTGGAGGCACCCGAGGGCTCGGGCGGAGAGAGGAAGGGCAGAGCGCCCGGGCCCGGGCAGGGGCGAAGGATCGTGCTTTGGAAGCCAAACTCGCCTCCACACGAAGACACAGTATCCAGGAGCCGGAGAACAGGAACAGTAACAAGAGTCGAGACACTTTGTTGCCCTGCGTCCAGCCAGCCCCGATTCCCTCCCGTCCCTGGAGCCAAGAGTAGCTGGGTATGGCCTAGAGCCCAGCCCCAAATCAGTTTTGCCTTTTTAAGAGGAGAAGCTGTTGTCGGGGCAATAGTACGGCAGAGAGAGCACTTGGCTTGGCCGGCCCGGGTTCGACCCCTGGAATCCCCTGCGTCCCGCCAGGAAGGATTCCCAAGTGCAGAGCTAGGAGGAACCCCTGTGCATCTCCAGGTGGGGTGATCCAAAACAGCAAAAATAAATAAAAGCAGGGTGATGCTCATCACCCCGCGGGGGGGGCGGGGGGGCGCCTTGGAGGCTCTCAGCCAGCCCCGAGGTGAGGGCTTTGCGGGGTGCAGCTCGCACCCCCCCAAAAAAAATTGACCGTCCCCAACCCGCCCACCCACCGAAAGCGCTCCCAAAAGCGCTTTAGCACCTCTTGGGGTAAAGGGATGCAATTCGGGTATCCCACCCCCAGCCCCACCATCTCGAGGCCCTGGAATTCAAGTTGTGTTGTTGCTGTGTTTTTGAATTGTTTTTGTTGCCTTGTTTTGCTTTGGGAGCTCACACCCAGCGATGCACAGGGGTTGCCCCTGGCGCTGCACTCGGGAACCCCTCCTGGCGGCGCTTGGCAGACCAAAGGGATGCTGGTGTGCAAGGCAGATGCCCTCCCTGCGTACTCCCACTCCAGCTCCTGTTTTGTTTCGTTTTTTTAATTCTGTCCCCCCTGCACTGTCCTGTTGACCCTTCCACTGAGGGTCATTGAGCTGCCCCCAGAAGGGGTTCTTGCGATCTGGCTTTTTTTCATCTCCCCACTTCTCACCGCTGCCTCCCGGCGACTGCTGCCTTGGAGTCCTCACCACACCTGGGAATTGCCGCCTGCTCTCCAGGGAAAGGCTGCCTCCCGGGCCTTCCGGGTCACAGGATTCTTGACCCGCAGCGGTGATTCAGGACTTCCTGGGAACCAGGAACTCCAAATCTCAGCCCCGATGCCTCTTCTCGTTCTGATTCCTGATGTTTTAGGTTCATCGCACACCATGTACACAGTTGGTGTTTGAGAAATTAAACTGTCCACCTGGAAGATACTGAGTGCCACCAAACATGGTTAAGTGGTAAATTTTATGGTCTATTTTGTCACAATAAAGAGTACAAAGGAGCTTTAAAAACACCCGTTCCTCCCTGGGGTCTGAGTAGGACTGCTCAGCGCAACATTGTTTGTAGCAAGGAGAAACTGGAAACCTGGAACTAAGGGAAGTGCAGTGCCCCGACGGATCATTCACGAGGCGGTGTTGAATGAGGACCAGGATGTAACACCTGCAGTGGTCCCTGGCACATCGTGGCTCTCGGAAATAGGAACAAATGACCAGAGAAAGAACCAAGTTCGTTCACTCAGCAAGTGTTCTTGGGGAATTTGAGGACAGTCCTCCCCCGCATTGTGTACTGCACACAGCAAGAGGATCATTTGCTTTTATACATTTAGAATAAAATGAGAAGCGGAGAAAATTCAGGTCTTAAGGGCACGTGCTTTACTGAGACCTCACCCAGGACCATGTGGTCCCCTGAACACTGGCTGCACGCCCGGAAGTCCCCAGGCCCTGAGACCAACAAGTGCCTTAGCGGCCTCAGCTCACCCGAAACCACGTGGTCCCATGAACACTGGCTGTATACCCAGATCCCCAGGCACCAATATGTATCGCCCTGAGACCAACAAGTGCCTTCTGGGTATCCCCCGAGGGCAGCCCAGGAGCCTTTTACCCTAGCATCCGTCTGCTGGTCTGGCTGGCTGAGAATCTCTGCGACACTCCCACCCCCAAATAAAGCCGAGGACTTATGAAGGAGAAAGGACCAAAAAGAGTGCCTGTATTGGGGTGATTTGACCCAGTTTGGGAGATTTAAAGTAGATTAAGATTATAGGCATTTGTTTGTTTGGGAGAGGCAGTGTCTCTCAAGCAATGCCCCTGCAGCACCTGGGGCCACGGTCATTGTTTCTAAGCCAGACTGTTGGGTCAGTGCAGGCCACCAAGTGACACCACGCTACTGGACACCCAAGGTGTTTGCGCCACAGGCAGAGCCCTTTGGGGCACTGAAGGAATTCTCTGATTGCAGTGAGGCAGTGGTGGTAGGTGGGGCAGACTTCACTGGGTGAGCTCTGCCACCAGCACCCAGCTCCCACACGTGCATGTTGTAGACCGTCTCCCAGAACCTGTTTGTTTTTATATTTTTTCCAATAAAGTGGTTCGTTAACCTGAAATGACTTTTTCATTCATTTAGTTTTAAACGGATTCATTCCACTTCCCTTTTTGTTGTGGTATCTGGGGCTCACCTGCTGTCATCGTGGTGCTCTGCACACCTCAATGGAGAGGGGAAAGGGAGGGAATGTCCTAGAGGGCAGTACTGCTGCGGGCCTGGGGGGAGGGGCGGAGTTCCCACTTGTAGCCTGATGCTTGCTGGGCACGCGCCCTGCCACGGAGCCATCCCGGGACGCCTGTTTCCTCTTCCCAGGGGCCAGATGGAGCCGCTGTGGATCTCCGGGATATTCCCTGGGGGTCACATAGATGGGGGTGTCACAGCACAAGAGGAGGGGAACAACCAGTAGGATGGTGGGGAGGCAGGGGCTGTGGGGGGGGGGGGGGACAAGGTGAGCCAGACCCTCGTCAGGAAAAGGCATGGAGGGAAGCTGCATCTTCAACCAGTGTCGGTCTGTGGCTGTAGAGAGCTTAAGAAAAACAAAACACTGGGGGCTGGAGTGATAGCACAGCCGGTAGGGAGTTTGCCTTGTATGCAGCCGACTCGGGTTCGAACCCCAGCATCCTATAGGGTTCCCCAAGCACTTCCAGGAGTAATTACTGAGTGCATGAACCAGGAGTAACCCCTGTGCATCGCCGGGTGTCACCCCCGCAAAAAAAAGGAAAAAAAATAACACTGGTCAGCCACCTTTGTTACCACCACCAGGGTGCTGCCCTGGTGAGCACCCCAAATCAAAGCTAAGAATGCTTTCTGCTGGGAAAGGAAGTGTCACTGAAGGGGTCTCTCTCCACCCTGCTCCTGCAGAGATCGAGGCCGAGAAGCCTTCCTTTCCAGAAGGATGCAAGGCGAAGCAGGAGGTCGTGAGCACTGTGAGTACCACCCAGCCTCAGCCTCTGTGGGCAGGAACAACAAGGTGGTGTCAGGAAGAAGGGCGGAGGCGAAGGGAAGGGGTTGATCCCGGCCACACCACCTCGGGGTGACTTCCAGGGCCTTGCATCACCCCTTGGGAACCTTGGTTTTGACATCTGTTCAAAGGAACACGTCCTCCTCGACTGATTAACAGGGACCTCAGCTGTTAATCAGATCAGCAGGGTTCAGCTAAGATCCCGAAGGAGAACGGCCCGGGCCAGGGTCCCCAACGGAAATAGTCATGGATAGAGAGTAGGAATCTCGTGGATGCCAGGGCTCAGTGCCAGAGCGTGCTCAGGATGGCTCGGAAGAGGCTCCTTGGGAAGTTTCCTTGCGTGCAAACGGGGACTTGCTTAATGGGGCTTAACAGACACGATTTCAGGCGCTCAGACAAGGCCAGAGCGATAGCACAGTGGGCAGAGTGCTTGCCTTGCATGCAGCCAATGGGGTTCAATCCCTGGTATCTCATAGGGTCCCCTGAGCACCTCTGGGTGTGACCCCTGAGTGCAGCTGAAGGGGTGAGGCCACTGGGCAGGATTGAAGTCTCTAGATGCTGTGTGACTTCAGCTGCAGCTGCCCTTGTTGTTCAGTCACAGCCTGAGTCTCCTCGCTCCTTGAACCTGTGCCTTTTTCATAGTAGCCGGTTCTTGTTTAGTGGCGGCTAGGCTTTCTCAAACCTCTGCAACTTCTTTTTTTTTTTCTTTTCATTTATTTACTGATACTGTTGTTTTGTTTGCTTTTTGGGTCACACCCGGAGATGCACAGGTAGGGGTCACTCCTGGCTCTGCACTCAGGAATTACTCCTGGCGGTGCTCAGGAGACCATATGGGATGCTGGGAATCGAACCCGGGTCAGCCACGTGCACGCAGCCAGCCCACCTGGCCGAGCCGGGATCGATTCCTCCGCCCCTCTCAGAGAGCCCAGCAAGCTATCGAGAGTATCTAGCCTGCGTGGCAAAGCCTGGCAAGCTACCCCATGTCGTATTCGATATGCCAAACACAGTAACAACAAGTCTCACAATGGAGACTTTACTGGGCCCACTCGAGCAAATCGATGAACAACGGGAAGACAGTGACACAGTGATGCTGTTGCTTTATCCTTTGATCGGATATAGAACTAAGCCCTTGGATCGTCACCCTTCTCTGTATAAATAATACTTCATTGATGATGCTATGTAATCTTAGGACTTTAAACATCACCAGTAATCTGTTTCCCCCACTTATCTATATCCACACCAAAACTTTGGCCAGAACTCTAGATTTGTATATTTAACTACCTAATCAATAGGGCTGGAGCGATAGCACAGCGGGTAGGGCGTTCGCCTTACAAGCGGCCAACATGGCCGACCCGAGTTCGATTCCTCCGCCCCTCTCGGAGAGCCCGGCAAGCTACCGAGAGTATTCGATATGCCAGACACAGTAACAACAAAGTCTCCAATGGAGACGTTACTGGGCCCGCTCGAGCAAATCGATGATCAACGGGAGGGCCTTTACCTTTACCTTTATATTCCACAAATGGGTGCAGTCCTTTTATATCTATCCCTCTCTTTCTGACTCATTTCACTTAGCATGATATTCTCCATGTCTATCCACAAATGGGTGCAGTCCTTTTATATCTATATTTATATCTATCTCCATGTCTATCCACAAATGGGTGCAGTCCTTTTATATCTATCCCTCTCTTTCTGACTCATTTCACTTAGCATGATATTCTCCATGTCTATCCACTTATAAGCAAATTTCATTACTTCATCTCTCCTAACAGCACCTCTGCAACTTCTAACTCCAGTCTCCTTCCCAGAGTCACTGCAAGCCCCTCTTTGATGCTTCAAATCAGCTTCTAGGGGCTGGAGCGATAGTACTGCGGGTAGGGTGTTTGCCTTACACACGGCCGACCTGGGTTCGATTTCCAGCATCCCATATGGCCCCTTGACACCGCCAGGAGTAACCCCTGCGCATAACCAGATGTGACCCCCCAAAAAAATCAGCTTCTATGCCGCTGATTTCCTTGATGCCTGTCTAGAGCTTCAGTGGTTTATTCCAGGTTTAAATGGAGGCCTGAGTGGATTTGTCCACAGGGCTGCCTGCCTGCTTTTCTCCTTTTGCCGGCCCTTTTCCCCCTCCTCTCCACTCCCTCCCCTCTTTCTCCTCCCCCTTGCCTCCTCTCCCCTCTCCTCTCCTCCAACAGCCTCGCTGGAGCTTCTGGGCAGGCGAGTGTTTTGGGGCGAGCAGTCAGGGAAGCTTCAGATCAGCAGTGAACGTTTGTTTTTGTTTGTCCCCTTTTGGCCCCAGCCTGCTGCTCCTGATCCTTCTGAGGGGTTGTTTTGTGCATGCGCAGAGTTATTGGGAAGGGAAGGAATGCTTGATTTAAAAAAAATAGTGATGGCTGGAGTGATAGCACAGCAGTTAGGGCATTTGCCTTGCACACGGCCGACCCGGGTTCAATTCCCAGCATCCCATAGGGTCCCCCAAGCACCTGTCACTGTCACTGTCCTCCCATTGTTCATCGAGCGGGCTGGGCCAGTAATGTCTCCATTAGAGACTTTGTTGTTACTGTGTTTGGCATATCGAATACATCACGGGTGGCTTGCCAGGCTCTGCCGTGCGGGCGAGATCCTCTCGGTAGCTTGCCGGGCTCTCCGAGAGGGGCAGAGGAATCGAACTAGGGTCGGCCATGTTGGCTGCGTGCAAGGCAAATGCCCTACCGCTGTGCTATCGCTCAGCGGACTGGAGCGATAGCACAGCGGTAGGGCTTTTGCCTTGCACGCAGCCGGCCCCCAAGCACCACCAGAAGTAATTCCTGAGTGTATGAGCCAGGAGGAACCCCTTTGCATCGCTGGGTGTGACCCAAAGAGAAATAATAATAATAATAGGGGTGGAGGTAGTGTGTGTATTTCAGGAGACGGGAGAGAACAGGGATGGGGCAGCCCACAAGAGTGCTCTGGCCGGATCTCCCTGAGCCTTCCAAGTCCTGTTTCTGGTTCCCTTTGTCATCCACAACCTCTAAGTAACTGCTGAACCGCTGAGCATCACTGCCCTTTGGAATTGTGTTGGTTGTTTTGGTATGGGGCCACCCCGGTGTTGCCTGGATTCCACTCCTGGCTCTGTGCTCAGGGGTTGCCCCCAGGGCTGCTCCTAGGAGCACTCAGAGGACTGCAGCGTCGGAAGTCAGAGCCTGGGCCTCCCGTGTATGGGCATACACTGCCCATTGAGCTCCCTCTCTGGCCCACACGCCCTGTGCAATTCTGGTGGGACCTCTGGCTGTGGAGACCTCCTGTGGACTTTCCTCCACTGGTGCACTTCATTCCCCCCATTAGGGATTGATTTTTTTGTCTTTTGGGGTCACGCCCAGTGATGTTCAGGGCTGTTGTAACAGTAATAGCGAAGTTCCTCCTGGCTCTGCACTCAGGAATCACTCCTGGCGGTGCTCGGGGGACCCTATGGGATGCCGGGGATTGGTCCCAGGCAGACCTGACCCTGTGCATGACGTATGCCCCTACCCTCTGGGCTATTGCTCTGCCCCCGCCCTTAGGGATTCATTCCTGAGTGTCATATGAAAGGTCCCCAGAAGGAGGAGAGGCACAGCTGTATGCTCAGTCTGCCCCTGGAACCCAAAGTCTGAGGTCCACTTTTAGCCTTTCTTGCATCAGGCCACGCGAGAAAAGACAATGGTCTAAAGAACTCTGGGGCCTCGATCCCTCCCTCCCCAGGCCTCGCTGGAGCATGGTTTCTACGGCTTCAATGCACAGCACCTCCATTCCCTTCCTCGCGTGCCCGGCATCCCGCACCAGCCCTGTTCGCAGGTGAAGCCCGAGGAAGTCGATCCCCAGACATGTAAGTCAGGACATGAGATTCCAGCCTTTCGCATGTGGGGCTTCGAACCCTGCCAGACCCGGGGGCGCGGGGAGGGTCAGCAGGGTCAGGCAGAGCGTAAGACAGCAGAAAGGGGGGCTGGAGCGATAGCACAGCGGGGAGGGCGTTTGCCTTGCACGTGGCTGACCCGGGTTCGATTCCCAGCATCCCATAGGATCCCCTGAGCCCCTCCAGGAGTGATTCCCTGAGCACAGAGCCAGGAGTAACTCCTGAGCACTCCTGATGCGGCCCCAAGCAATCGAGGTCATGTAAGAAAGAGTGTTCTTAAACTTTAAAATTCTATTTGATCAATAAAATTTATTGTATGAATTTTAAATTTTACATTCACTGCTGGGGGGGGGGGCGTTGGTTGCACCTAACAGTGCTCAGGGGCTACTCCTGGCTCGGTGCTCAGAGGGTTGCTCCCAGTAATCACTCCTGGTGGTGCTCTGGGGAGCAACAGGTGCTGGGAATCGAGCCTGGGTCTCCTGTAGGCAACGCACGCACAGTGGCCCTGGGGTCATCTTCCGGCCCTGAATCTGGAGTTTTCAGTGCAGCTGAAATGTCCGAGTAAAGATCCTAACAGCAAGCATCCTTGGAGTCTCCTTGAAAGGGAGGAAGGCCACCGATGGAAGGAATCAGCACTGCGCGCAAGTTGGGTGGGAGTCACCATCGAGGCTTCCGGAGTCCTCCCTCCGAGTCCTCCTCCCTGAGACAGGGGTCTCCCCTCCTGGCTGTTTCCTCAGCCTCGGTCCTACGGTCTCGGATACTGTACCCAGCCTCACAGCCCTGCTCTCTGAGCTCAGCCCCCTCTGCCCTTCCCTGCTCATCCTCCAGGCCTCTGTGCCCTGCCCCTCCCCCCACCCTCCTGCCTCCCGCAGAGAAAATCAAGCCCCGAATGGAGATGCTCACAGGGACTGACCCCCTGACCTGCCACTTAACCCCACAGTGGTGCCAGCCTTTCCCAGAGGTGGGCTTGTTGTTTTTTTGATTTTTTTTTATCCTGGGATTGAACACAGGAACTCATGCATGCCAGGCACATGCCCTCCCCTGGGCCAAGTCCCATCTCTGGTGATCTTTTTTTCTTTTTTCCATTTTGGGTCACACCCAGCGATGCCCAGGGGATACTCCTGGCTCTGCACTCAGGAATGACTCCTGGTGGTGCTTGGGGGGCCCTATGGGATGCTGAAGATCGAACCCGGGTCGGCCGCGTGCAAGGCAAATGCCCTCCCCACTGTGCTATCGCTCTGGCCCCAACTCTGGTCATCTTAAGCAGTTAACCTGAAGCCACCCACGGTATCCAGCGGGAGGGCAGCTTAGCTGAGACTCTCAGAGGTGAGCGTGTGTGCATGCGTGTGTGCGTGCAGGCTTGGCATGCCGGGGACCTGGGTCTGATCCCAGCAGAACATGGTCCCCCAGCACCACCAAGAACTCCTTTCAAGGACAGAGCTGGGAGGAGCCTCCGAGCACTGGAGGCTGTGGCCAAGCCCCTTCCACCACTACCCCTGCCCCCCAGTAATCTCTTCCTTAGCTAACCTCCTTCCTGCACGTCCCTGTTCGTCTATAAAATCCCTTCTGGGGGACAGACCCTGTCACACCTTCCTGCCTGCTGAATGGGAGGGGGCCCTGTCCCCAGCGGGTTCAGAAAGTCACTCGGACCCTGACCTCTGAGCAGGGGTGTTGCCAACCCCACCAAGCCTCAAAGGATATTTCCTGTTGCTTTAGTGATACAGCTCCACTTGGCAGGGCTGCACAGAATGCAGTTGGGGGGGTCCTGTTGGGGGGATGCTCCCCTGCCCCCTCTCAGTGCCTCTGGTACAGGGAAAGATCAAGCTGGTAGACATGACAAGAGGGAAACCCTCAGAGGAGGTCCAGAATGACCCAGATACCGCCTGTGTCCTGGGTGAGGCTCGCGGGGGCATCCTGGCTGTACTCCTCGGTGCCAGTGTGGGATCCAATGCCCGTGCCTGCCTCCCTGGACTCAGTTTAAGCTCCCTGCCCCCTTCCCCCAGCTCCCATGTCTCTTACAAATGGCCCGACTCCTGGAGTCCTTCCCGCGAGATGATCATTCTGCCAGGAGACAACTGGACACGTGTCTTAGGGTGTCAGGTTTTGCTCCCCTGCTGAAACATTTCAGGTCGGGGCTGGAGTGGTAGTGCAGTGGGCAGGGCATTTGCCTTGTACTAAACCCAGGTTCCATCCCCGGCGTCCCCTAGGGTCCCCCGAGCACCATCAGGAGTGATTCCTGAGTGCTGAGCCAGGAGTAGCCCCTGAGCATCGCTGGGTGTGACCCCCAAAGCCAAAATGATCATGGTAACAACAGCAGCAATAACAGTACAAAAATAAAACGTTTGGGTTGTATATTTCAAGGACCATGTCTCCCCCCGGCCCCCATGGGCCCTCCCCAGCATGTCAGTGGGTGTTCCCGCTTGTTTTAGGTTCCCCCAAGGAGTACTTGGAAAAGTTCGTCTTCCCGACGCTGCTGCCCGGGATGGAGAGTCTGCTCCACCAGGCAGAGAAGGAGAAGTGCTTCGAGGTCAGTGATGCGCAGGCGCGCTCGCGGGCCCTGGGTGTGTGATTCGTGGCTGGGTTTCCACCAGGGCGGCTCCATCCTTACCAGGTGCGATCAGGTGATTGTTCTTAGCCAGATCCCTTTGGAAGGGAAGAGCCTGGCTTAGCCACGTGCTGCCACGACCTTTGACTGTGTTTCCCCGGGACCCTGACCTCTGCTTGTGCCTCCACTCCCCCGTGCCCTGCCCTGTCTGACATCTCTCTGGCCGCTGGTGCTCCGGAGAGGATTTTTCGCCTTGCTTACCTCCCTCCTGGCAGTGTTGGCATATGCTTCTATGCTAAATCCATTCCCCATTAGCGATGTGTGTGGTGGGGTGGTGAGACTTCCCTCCACTTCCCACCTCCCCACCATACACGCATGCGCGCGCGCGCGCATACACACACACACACACACACACACACACACACACACACACACACACACACACACACACACACACACACACACCCCAGTTCTGTCTGATCAAGCAGTCAAGGCAACATCAGATAGTTTCAGTCAGAGAGAGGGGAAAAAATGATTTTTTCACATGCATGTGGAAAAATCTACATAGAGATTTATAAATCTGTGGGCACTGGGGCTGGAGCCATAGTACAGCGGGGAGGGCATTTGTCTTGCACGCGGGTGACTCGGGTTCAATCCCCAGCATCCCATACAGTCCCCGCAGCACTGCCAGGAGTAATTCCTGAGTGCAGAGCCAAGAGTAACCCCTGTGCATTGCTGGGTGTGACCCAACAAATAAATAAATAAATAATCTGTGGGCAAAACCAAAGGTCTCAATAGGGGCCGGAGAACTTGAGGACTAAGTACATACTTTGCGTGAGGGGAGGGCCCTGGCACTGTGGTCTTCTAAGCACTGCCAAGGGTGATCCCCATGGAAAGAGCCAGGAGGAGCCCCCGAGGACTGCCAGGCGTGACCCTCACCCCCACCACCCGCAAAACTAACAAGAACAAAATCAAATAAGGGTCTGTCAACCCGGAGCTAAGGAGGACTAAGGGGTAGGGACCTGGGGCTTCGGGGAGTGGAGGGGGCGTGTCTGACAAGGAGGCGGGTGCAGGTGATAAGGACCAGGGGTCTGTGAAGGGTGTTTCCATGTGGGGCAGGGAGGCTCTGGACAGAGCGTTGTGAAACCTATGGTCTAAAGCGCCCCAGCTTGAGGGGTCTGCTCTGCGCATCTTGGAGAGGCCTCTCCCTCACGTTTCGGAAACAAGTCCAGGCTGTGAAGGGAATTCAGAGTCTGACCAAGGGGCTGGAGCCATAGCACAGCCAGTCAGGCACTCACCTCGCACGCAGCTGGCCCAGGTTTGATCCCTGGCATCCCTTAGGGGCCGCCGTAGCACCAGGAGTGATTCTGAGTGCAGAGCCAGGAGGAAGTCCTGAGCGTCACCAGGTGAGACCCAGAAACCAAAAACCAAGCAAACAAGTTTAAGGAAAGGGTTTGGGGCTGGAACGATAGTACACAGGTAGGGCATTTGCCTTGCAAGGGGCCGACCTGCGTTCAATTCCCAGCATCCCATATGGTCCCCCAGCACCGCCAGGAGTGATTCCTGAGTGCATGAGCCAGCACCGCCAGGAGTGATTCCTGAGTGCATGAGCCAGGAGTAACCCCTGCGCATCACCGGGTATGACCCAGAAAGGAAAAAAAAAACATCCAAGGAAAGAGCTTGATCGAGAGCATTGCTAGGAGTCAGCTTTTGAGCTCCAGGACTAGGAAACACCCAATGGACCGCTTTGAGGGGCTGCCCGGCTGTTGGGGGCTTGCTCTGCATCAGCACCTTTGACACCTGTCCGGTCACTGCCTATGCATTTGCTTCTGTTATCACGGTCGGCTTGTGTGTAAGGAGCAGAGGGGGCCAGGGAAGTGGCTTAGAAGCCTGGAGGCGTGTATCCTGCATGCGTGCATGCCCTCCAACCTCACCCCTGAAGCACCAACCAGGCCCTGGCGGCCCTCAGCATTGTGGAGCCTGAACTGTATCACAGCATTTGAACCACGTGGCCTGGTGGCCTGGTCCCTCTGCGGAGGGACCCCCAGAGCATTGCCAGGAAGCCCCACAAAGAGGCTCAGAACTGTGACGAAGCTGCAGCCCTAGTACATCGTAGCAAATTCGAAAGGAGACGAGACAGCAGGAACTATTTCGCTGTCAGAGTGCCTGGCCCGGCCCCTGAGCATTCCTCGTTCATGAACAGTGCATCCACCTGGCCGTGCTGCCCTCAGTCCCCCCTGAGAGCCACCGGCCACTGACCTTACCTCATACTGCCGCCCTGTGTCCCCCCGATTCCCCCCTCCGAGCCAGTCACCACAGTTGGCCAGCCTCACGGGACTGTGTCCCAGGCAGAAGACACTGAGACATTGCTGAGGGTTCCGGCAGTCACACCCCTAAAGGAATAGCTTGGGGATGCTCCCTGGTGCCCTGGCACACGGTCTGGGAGCCCAGAGCTCTGCCCGCCCTTCCTGCAGGTGGCTCTGCTTCTGCCCGCCCTCCTGGGTGGCGGGTAGGTGCCCGCAGCCAAGCCAGCCCAGGGGTCCCCAACCCAGGCCCGCACCTCAGGGCCTCTGTGCAGGGCATCCTTGGGTTAGAAAAAGAAAAAAATTCCTTGCATTTCTCCTCCCTGCCTACCGAACCCCTGTTTGCTTTTCTGAACTCTGCTTCCCGCTCCTGTCTCAGGCTGCGTTCGAATCCGTGTGGGCCCCGTCCAGGAAGTGATTGATCCCAGCTGTCAGATTCCAGAGTCTCTCAGCTGTTCCTTGCAGAATGGGAAACGGAGGCATCTTTCATGGAGGCATTCGTTAATATATGTTTGTTTATAGAGGGGCTAGAGCGATGGCACAGCAGGTAGGGCATTTGCCTTGCACGCCTCCGACCCAGGTTCTATTCCTTCCTACTGAGAGTATCCTGCCCGCACTGCAGAGCCTGGCAAGCTCCCCATGACGTATTCGATATGCCAAACACAGTAACAACAAATCTCACAATGAAGACGTTACTGGTGCCCGCTCAAGCAAATCCAAGAACGGGAGGACAGTGCTACAGTGTGGTTTAGATAGATCTGTATTTAAGGTCTATTTCATTTTCTACACTGCTCTCTCCTCCCCACCCAATATTGCTGGTTTCATTTCTGAGGACAGACTCTTTCTGATTTATATTAGTGCTTTGCATGCGGCCGACCTGGGTTCAGTTCCTCCATTCCTCTCGGAGAGCCCAGCAAGCTATCAAGAGTATCCCACCGACACAGCAGAAACTGGCAAGCTCCCCGTGGTGTATTTGATATGCTAAAAACAGTAGCAACAAGTCTCACAATGGAGAAGTTACTGGTGCCCACTTGAGCAAGTTGATGAACAACGGGAGGACAGTGCTACAGGGCTTCTTTGGTGCCCTGGATACTCAGTGTGGCCGCAGAGAACAAATCCTCTGCCTGCGTCTATGCCAGGAGGTGACCAAGCCCCAAGGAAACGTGTCCTGATGCTCAGTGGACCACTTAGTGAATGGCTTCGTGGAGCCAAACTTCATCCTTGTAGGAAGGCCGGTCTCTCAAACTCACCCCTAGAGGGACATTCTTGAGGGATCAGGACAGGAGCCATCTGCTTTCTGTGTCTTGTCAAGGGGAGAGGGGGAGCAGGGGCTGGCCAGTGGCAGTGCCAGCCCTCCTTGTAAGTTATTATGAAACTGAGAAGAAAATGGGGAGGGGGGAGCGGAGCGATAGTACAGCTGGGAGGGTGTTTGCCTTGGGTGAGGCCAACCCAGTTCAATCCCCGGCATCCCATACGGTCCCCAAGCACCGCCAGGACTGATTCCTGAGTGCAGGGCCAGGAGGAACCCCTGTGCATCGCCACGAATGACCCCAAAAGAAAAAAAATAGGGCTTTCTTTTTCTTTTTCTTTTTTTTGCACAGCAGATGAGAACCAGTCTCTGGAGGCAAAGTTCCTTGTTTTGGAAGTTGTCAACCTAAACATTCAGAGGGCAAAGTGCATTTGCTTAGGATTTGAGAATCACAGTTCCCTGTATGTGTACACAATTCTATGTAGATTGTCAAGTTGACAACCTAGGATGTTCCCCCAGGAGGGTCAGGGCCAAGGGGTTTATGAGAGGAAAAGAGGACAATGAGGTAAGTGGTTAAGAATTGATTAGTGACTAAGAGTTGATTAGTTCACAGGCCGTTCGTACACCTTTGACACCTTGGGTTACTCATTTTCTAGAAAGGATGAAAAGAGACTTGGGTCTGTCCTCCAGTGAAGAGTCCTTCATCACCAGTTCTCAAACAACTTTTTGCTTGATGGATTCTTAAAACAGTTGCTTTGGGCACAGTGCAAAGGTCTTCGACCTCGCTCTAAGGGGACAGAGTAATGCAGTTTCTCCTCGTGGCCTCCAGCTCGGCTTTAAAATGACCTCCCACGGGGCTGGAGAGATAGCACAGCGGGTAGGGTGTTTGCCTTGCACGCGGCCGACCCAGGCTCGATCCCCAGCATCCCATATGGTCCCCTAAGCACCACCAGGGGTAATTCCTGAGTGCAGAGCCAGAAGTAACCCCCTGTGCATCACCAGGTGTGACCCAAATAGCAAAAAATAAAAAAATAAAATGACCTCCCAGCTGGCCGGTTTCCACGCCATCCACCTCTGCCCAGCCCACTGCAGGCCTAGGGCCACTGAGTTCATCTTCCAAGCCCCCTCGGCTTTCCTTGAGAGGAAAATTAAGATAGTTCTGGATCCCACCTGCTCTGGGAAATCTCATGCTGATGGAATGAGGGATGAGAGAGGACAATGCTTAGAAATCAGGGACCCTTAGAAATCAGGGACCCTTAGAAATCAGGGAGAACCGGAAGAGCAGAGCACAGGCTAGCCAGCCCTCTCCATCAACAGCCTGGCCAGGTGCTGTCCGGCTAGGGCTGTGATGACACTTCCTGTTTTGTGGCTCCCTAGGGGCCTGACTCAGCCCTGGGTCCCAGCCGCAAGGATTTCCTGAGGATGGAGGC